ATGTTCGCTTCCTCATAATATTATCTAGTGTCCACATATAAATGACTCATAATTATTATGGTCAAATACCTTTTAAAATATTTTTTTAAAAATCATAAAAAGGGAAATTATTGGGCCATATATTTTGATGTTGACAAGAAGTCACATAAAGATAAAATAAAACTTGTTCATAAATATGTTATCACTATAGTAATGCATAGTCTTTTTGTGGGTGAAATATATTTTTCATGCAATACCAAGAAAAAGGAAATCATCAAACATATACTTGAAAATAAAAATGAAATTGGAACAAAAAAAAAGGTTTTTAGAAAGAAAACTAAAGCAGGAAAATGTGGTGACCCATGTGTTGATGCATAAAAGTATACATCTACCTCTTCGTAACCAAGGAAGAGATAGAAAGTGCATTGACTTAGAAAAGTTGTGTTGACTTATCCTAAATTGAAGAGAGAATCTAGCTAGCTAGAGATAGAGAGAGAGAGAGAGAGAGAGAGAATGTGTGAGTAGTGTACCTTATGTGAGAGAGAAAAAAGAATTTTCTCTAAGAAATCTATCATGTCAGACATGTTAGAAGATCTTACACAAGTAGTGTATCTGGACATTTTATATGTTTGTAGTGCAATAAAGTTGAAATGTTAGTCAAACTAACAACTTAATCAAAAAAGGGCTTTAAGATAACTTATTGCAAGTTTCAAATAGCACCTCAACAATCAATCAACTCCATGCACCTCAAAAATAGTTCTTGAAAGTTTTGTTGTGAGCGCAACCTCACCAAGGTTTCCTTAGGTGATCAATCACCCAAAACATGAAGAAGCCTCATCTTCTCAGCATGTTGATTGAAGTTTTAAGTTATTAGAACTTCATTATTTATGTAAACTTATTCTACTGAATTGTTGTCACAAGGGATAGAGACACAAGCTCACACCTTAATTTCTAAGATTCAATGATAAACTTGTAAATCTATTATGCATCATGTGTCTTGATCTTTTGAATTTTAGTTGTATCCCTCCATAGAAGAATTATTGAAACCAAAGGTAGAAACCCTTAGAAAGAAAACAAAGGATAGGGAAATTTTGACCATAGGGAATCTTAATGAATTTAATGTTCTAATGAATAGTGTGTTGGCGCAATCAAGCTAGTGTATTGACCTATGCCAATTTGTGTCAACCCAAACAAATCTATGCCAAACTATGTGTATCAACCCATGCTCGACTATGTTCACCCTCTAAGTTATACTAAGATATATAATTTAAAAATACTTAATAAAATTAAAAAACTTTAAATAACTAGATTGAGAACCAAGAAGTGGGTGAATTACTTCTATAAACATTTTTAATGTTAAAAGATTATATATGTAGAGGGTTAACACAATCAAACGGGTTAACTTAGAGTAAGATGGAGAAAATTGACATGAGATGACATATTAGGCTAATTGGGTCAACACATTTTTGAAACTTTAATGCTATGTAAAACACCAAGTAAATTGGGATTTCTAGAAGTTTTACCTAATTTTAAGATTTCTATTATGTTTTTACTTAACCTTGTCTACTAGATTTGTGGACACATATATTACAGTAAGACTTCACAACACTTTTTTACTAAGAATATCATTTTTTTTATTTTAGTTCACCTCTTTCACTATTTTAGTTCATCATATACCTCTACTTTACTTGACTTGCAATGTTCAAAATACTTATTCAAAAGTTGTCATTTTTTTAAATAGAATGTAATGATTGTTTGACATTCCAAATTCTGAATTTCTTTATTTTTATGGCCTTTTAAAATTCATATTTGAAGTAAAATTTCCTAGTTTGATGGAAAATGATTGAGCATCTATATCGGATCCAGGTTGTTAAGCTTTTCTTTTCTTTTGGTTCATATAAGCATCTAACATGTCACTTTTGAGATATTCTTTCTATGAATTAATATTTGATTCATCCTTTGTTCTCTTGCTGATTTAATGCATGTGATAGTGTTAGAGAAATTTTCTAACATCATAAAGAACTAATAAACACTATGACTATATTATTGGATCATTGCATATAATCCCAACAAAAAGTACTTTATTTTCATGAATGTGCCAAGACGTGTTGATTCATAATATCTGAACATATACTTAAGCTTTTATTTCTAGATGTGCTTTCAACTGATAATATTTTATTTTTAAATATTCTTAAGATAGAAAACCACTTAATATCAAGGAGTAAAGTCTTAGATTTGATTTAGTGATGATATCATAATCATTTACTACAAAATCAATATAATGAGTTTCTTTAATTTATTTGAAATATATAAGTGACAAAATAAAGAAACATCCATATTACATAAAAAAATATTAATAATTTTTCATTTGTAAATATCAAAACCAAGGACATCAACACACACTATATGTTAGAATATGAAAAATATTATGATTTTGAACTCTTGTTAAATGGACATAGGGCAAGGAAGACTACTAGTGTAAAATTAATACTTGTTTGATATTGTGTTGACTTGGTGAGTCAACATATAGTGTGTCAACTGACTTAATGTAGTCTCAAAAAATTGATAAAATTAGACCAAAATGTTGAAATTATAAATAACTAAAATAGTCCACCAAAATGTGTGAAAATTTTAGTTCCTTTAAGTAAAATGGAAATCAAAGGTAGACCCATGGTAAATGGACATAGGCCAAGGAAGATCAGACCAATGTAAAATAAACTGTAGATTATTAGCATGTTGGATATTGTGTTGACATGGTATGTTGATGAAAAACATTTGACCTAAAATATGTCAAACTACTTAATGTAGTCTTTAGGAAAATTGATACAATTAGGAGAATGTGAGAATTGTAAATAACTAATTTACCCCCACTCCACCACCCTCTTAATACATCATATAGCCTAGTTTGATCAAATTAGATGAAATTTTATACTCATAGCAAGAAAGACAGCATAAAAGGAAAGCATGGTAATTAAGATGCATAAGCATATTATGGAGCGGAGACCTTATAATGTTAGAAATAATTTCTCTAGTTTCAATCTTTGAACTATTTTTCCTTTACTTAGACATTGAGGAGGACCTTCCTAAAGATTTCTATTACTTTCATGATTTCATATGACTTTTGATTGTCAAAAATGGCTCAAAATGTAGTTTGTCAAGGTTAAAAAAGTAAATTTATTTTTAAAATATTTTAACATCTACATCTCCCTTGACCATGTTGTAATTGTTCTAATCTAACTTATAGAAAAACCAATAAAAAATTTAAGCATTTTTATTTACATATTTTTGTATGTTATACTTCCTTGAACAAAGTGGGTAGACTCATATTTGAGAAGTTGGATTACCATGTTACAAGACAAATAGAAATGAGACAAGGTGTGATAGTACCCCAAAAGTTGGGTTGAGTTTTTTTAATTTAAAAAATGCAAAATCTAGAGAAAAATATGCACTAAAAACATATGCTACAATTGTTCACATGAGTTATCTTTGAAAAACGTTTCTATACAACTAGGCCATGAATTTACACCAACGAAAGCTACAAGTAAATCTCGTGAGTGTATCTAGAAGAGATTACTAGTTGAATACTAGTTATAAAACGTTTCTCATTGTTTTACTAGTTGAATACTTTCACTACTTGGGCGAGTATAGAATAATGAATCTAGAAGAGATTAGTTAGGCATTAATTTAATTGAACCCTTAGAGCCATGAATCTAGAATCAGTGCTTTGGGAAACACTCAAGATATTTCATGTCATTAAACACACAAGTACTTTGCATTCAACAACTGTTTTTTTACTAGGGTTGAGTAAAACCTAGGGACAAGATCCTTAGGAAGTGGAGTAGGTCAGACAGGTCAAACAATTATGAGGCTTGAATCCAACATTTTGATGGGGAACAAACCAATTCACTCTCCTACTTAATTCCTCTTTACACTTCCTTAAAATAAAAACATAGTAGAGAAATCCCTAGGGGGAGTTTCACATAGAATCTTAAAAAATAAAGCAAGTTCGAAATTAATTAGATTATTATAAATGTTTGTCTTTTGTGTAGTTAACTTCCATGAGTGATTTTATTTTTGATGACATCTTGATTAAATCTAAAACATAGTACTCACAATGTTCCTAAATGGGACATATTAAATTGATGACAACCTAAAAAATACCCTTGTAAATCTGCCTCACTATGATTGTTCTTCTAATTCAAACATAAATAAAGCTAATGGTATTTGAGAAAATTATTAATAAATCTAATCAAATTGTAGGCTTCATAAATCTGGAAAAACTAGCCCTTATAACTAAAATTTTGCACCTAAATAATAGTCATATCTAGTCTTTGAGAGTAGCAACTAAGTTTAAGTGAACTTTTTCTCATGTCAATAAAAGACTTACGTAAATTGAATGGATGACCTCACATGTGTGTGAGAGTAGAACACTCAATGAATTGAATGAAAACAACATCCGGGAGGCATCTTCGGGGTATAATCTTTGGTAAATCACAGAATATCCAAGATAACGGATCTTTAGTTTATGACGATTTGTGTGGTTGTGTTGCCCTGAAGTCAGCCAAGTAGCCCTCTCACGGGGTCATTCAGAAGAATAGAAAGATGTTGAGTGGGGAGACCATGCGTCGGCGGGGAATCGGATTCCTTCAACCCGACCCAAGATCGACGGGCATCGAATCCACAGACATGAGAGACGAAGATCGCACGGTCAATGCTCGCCCACGTCATTGCACATACCAATGGCGGTCGTCTTCTCTTTCTCTCTCGCTCTCTTCTCTCTGTTCCCCTGATTTCTCCGTCCCAGGTTGAGAGGAAGGGAAGAAAAGGTGGAAATTTTATCGCGAAAACCCTAGATTCGCCCTGTCTGTGCCTTCCTTTATGATTTATTCCCGGCCGGCTCCCACCACCCAGTGGTCTGATTGTTCTTGGCTCCTCTGATGCCAGAATGAGGCTTTGTGTTTGCCGTATTTATCGGAGCAGGATCCTCTAGTTCTCTGGGTCACCGTGGGAAGAGGTTGGCCATGGCGGAGCAACCGAGAAGGTTTGCCATAGGCTATGCTCTAGTCCCAAAGAAGAGGCACAGCTTCATCCAGCCCTCTCTTGTGGAACGCGCCTGCGAGCGTGGCATCGATCTCATCCCCATCGACCTGGACATTCCCCTCTCCGAGCAGGGTGCCTTCGATTGCATCATCCACAAGGTCTCCGGCAAAGCGTGGAGGGCCCAGCTCGAGGACTACTCGGCGAAGAATCCCCGTACCCCCATCATTGACCCTCCTGAAGCCATCGAGCGACTGCACAATCGCATTTCCATGCTCCAGTTCGTGTCGGAGCTTAAGATTCCCCAGGAGAAGGAGTCCCTCGGAGTTCCCAACCAGATCGTGATCTACGACCAGGCCGCTCTGGTGGACGTAGGAACCGTCGGCGCTCTGCGATTCCCCTTGATTGCGAAGCCCCTGGTGGCCGACGGGAGCGCCAAATCCCACAAAATGGCGCTGGTTTACCACCGGGATGGGCTGCTCAAGCAGAAACCTCCTGTGGTTCTCCAAGAGTTTGTGAACCATGGTGGAGTCATATTCAAGGTCTACGTTGTCGGGGACTACGTCAAGTGCGTGAAGCGCAAGTCCCTTCCGGATGTCTGTGAGGAGAAGCTCGAGGGCTTGGAGGGCTCCGTCTCCTTCTCCCAGGTCTCCAACCTGACAGCCCCCGAGGACTGGGAGGAGGACAAGTACTACGAGACCATGCACCTGGGGGAAGCTGAAATGCCGCCCCTTAGCTTCGTCACAGAGGTCGGACAGGGTCTGAGGAAGGCCATGGGCCTTCATCTCTTCAACTTCGACATGATAAGAGACGCAAAGGTCGGCAACCGCTACCTCGTCATCGACATTAACTACTTCCCTGGGTACGCCAAGATGCCGTCCTATGAGACTGTTTTGGTCGAATTCTTCCTTGATGTTGTCCACAAGAGCTCGGACGAGCGGCCGGATTCTGCTTCAGATGGGCAGGAAGTGGCTGAGGACGTGTTGGACAGGGGTTGGTGACGATGATATAGAGAAGAAGATACATTGAGGCATAATCATTCGGCGCCAGATAAGAAAGGGTGATCATGGAGTGGTAGATAACACAGCAGGCTTTGCTTACTCCACCAATGTCTTTTTCCTTCGTTTCAACACTTCCGTCCTCCATGAACTCCAGGCAAACCGATGACATGTTTGACAGATGAATGAGAATAACTGGATCAAATTTTGGGATGCCTTTTCCTTGCCGTTATTTGTTTCTCCCAGTTGCCATGTATATTCTTTCCTTATGCTAGAGATGGTTATCCTTCTGAAAGTGCTTGAAATTCTGATAAAGAACGGTGTGCCGTGTTTCCATGCTAAGACTGCTGTTCTGGTTTTTGGCGTTGGGTCCTTTCCATTTTATAGCCATTCCTAAGGTGGTGGCTGAGGAACACTTTGGGCGATGGGCTAAAGTTGCCTGATACGTCAATCTGCAAAGCTCATGTGATTGAGGTCCGTTACATTTCCACAATGGTTCCATCTTGGTGATCTAACTAGCATGCATAATGCAGTTTCTAGCCAATTGAATCAAATCCTTGAAAGTGAAGCTTGATTTTGTTCATCATCGCGATGGGATGGATGCAGACATTGCCTTTGATGATGCACGTACTAGTTTCAGGCATTCTGACCAGTGTTGGTCATTGTGATAGCTGTCTTATTATTTAATGGGAGTTGAGGCAGTTGATCCTCCTTCCTTTCGTTTTTAATATCGGAAACAATAAACATGACCTATTTCATTATCTTTGTATGGAACTGGAGTGGATGGCGGGGAATGCTTAATATTCAAATTGATGTTTTTTAAATAGATAAATTTGGTGACAAACTAGGGTTTTGTCATCATCATCGTTGAAGCAAATGGATTCCGCTGAATAAAAGATGGGTTCTCATGAAGATGCACCATGTGGTGGAATCAGAGTTGGAAGAATGATGAAGAACTCCACCTGCTAGTCTTTGTGGGATTTGCAGTTGGCGTTTTTCTTCAAATTTTGTTGACAAGCTTGAGGTTAATGTGAAGTCAACCATTGTCTTCTTACAGTTCGGAGATCAGATTCAGATGATCGTTGACAGTTTATTTCCTGCTCGCTTTAATATTCAATGTGAAATTAAAGCTCACGCTCAAATTTATTTAAGTTCTTCTTTTCCTTCATTGTTTCCATTTACAGTTGGTCTTTTCTTCACTATTTTATTCGAACCTTGGGCAGCAAGTAAAGGAATTAGTCGCTTTTCTTTTCTAATATCTTGGATTCACAGAGTCCGGTAAATTGAGAAGTTTACTGGGGTCTATTTAGTTGGCTATTTCCGTTCTTCACCGAATGAGTTTAGTGTTGTCCCGGGGGGAATGCAGGGGTACGTGATGCAGACCAAGTTAAGGAATCGGCAGATGCACATCGTCCGTTCTGGAGACAAAGTGGGGTCGTCTTCGCCAAGCGCAGGAGCAAGCGCGTGGTCTCGTTCCTGAGGCGGTCTGGTTTTCGTGCCCACAGATTCAGGCCAGACCGTTGATGGAACCACTTGTTTATGTGACATGTGGGATTATACTACATAAGATTAGCTGCCTATAATAATTCCCCATCGACAAACCCTCTCTGTCCCTTTCTCTCTCTCTCTATAAATATATGCATATATATGTACGTCTATATCTACCTCTCCCTCTGTCTCTAGAGGGAATGGAGGGGGAGAGAGTCTAATGGTCAAAAGGACCTTAAAAAATGTCGATTATTGCTCGATCTTCTCTGATGTGACCTGAACAGGTTCTTGGTGTTTCATCATCTCCGAATATTTGAAACGAGAGAGAGAGAGAGAGAGAGAGAGAGAGAGAGAGAGAGAGAGAGAGAGAGAGAGAGAGAATACTAGTAGGGACATTGAAGGTGTTCCAAATCTCTCAGCGCCAGGCTAATAATATCTAAAATACAGTGGAGCTACCCTTTGATTAGTTAAGTTATAACGCTTTCTTTTTAAAATAATTGTGTCTGAAAGCTTATTTAATGGAATGCCAGATATAACGCTACTCGGGACTAAAGCCTCGCTTTCTTTGCGGGACGTCACGCCGCATTTTATTTACATTCAAGGCATCTCTCTCTCCATCTCCTCCCAAGAGCTGAAATGTGCACGTAAAAGGCTCTCAATTGATGGTCAGAAGGATATCTTACTCTTCTCTGTCTCTGTCTCTCTCTCTCTCTCTCTCTCTCTCTCTCTCTCTCTCTCTCTCTCGATTCATACTGCTCTTCAAGTCAAATCTCCACAACAGAACGCGCTGGACTGATGTTCACAAGGATATCTTTCTCGACTCAAGCTATCATTCGAGAAGAGAACCCACCGCACAATACGAGGCTGTCCATTTCTGTTCCAAGGGCCAGCTTCACCCCTCTCTCACTCCCCCACCTCCCATCTCGACTTAAACTACCTTTTAAGAAGTGAAATATACGCATAAGAGGCTGTCAACTGATGCTCAGAAGGCTACATTACTCTCTCTCCTCTCTCTCACCCGCTCCCCATTATGGACCCAGATTACTCTTCAGGAAGTGAAATCCACACCAAATATTCTCTTCGAAACGATACCTTTGATATCTATCTATCTTATCTATCTATCTATCTATCTACCTATCTATCTATCTATCTATCTACCTATCTATCTATCTATCTATCTATCTATCTATCTATCTATCTATCTATCTATCTATCTATCTATCTATCTATCTATCTATCTATCTATCTATCTATCTATCTATCTATCTATCTACCTATCTATCTATCTATCTATCTATCTACCTATCTATCTATCTATCTATCTATCTATCTATCTATCTATCTATCTGTCTATCTATCTATCTATCTATCTACCTATCTATCTATCTACCTATCTATCTATCTATCTATCTATCTATCTATCTATCTACCTATCTATCTATCTATCTATCTATCAATGTATCTATCTGCCTATCTATCTATCTATCTATCTATCTATCTATCTATCTGTTTATCTATCTATCTATCTATCTGTTTATCTTTCTATCTATCCTGTTGACTGCCAACGGTATTCAAGAGGGAAACGGTTCTTATTCCTTTACGAGCCCTATCAAGTGAAGTATTTCTTTTTCTCGTTTCAATTGTCGATGAATCTAGATATCGGTACGTGTGCATGAAGCTTCAAACCACCTGTTACGACAGTCACAGGCTCGCCTAATTGGCGAGCCGAACTTTCTAGATTAATGGTTAATTTTGCCCAGTGGTTAAGTCACCGGAGATATATCATAGTTATTATACGGGCATCATATTATTTTGAAATAATTTTACACTTAAGATTATCCAAAGTCTCAGCAATCACGGCGTAGTCGGCTCTATTCAATCAAAGCTCATCTAAAACTTGGAGTGGCTTCAGTTGGCCAGCCGTCTAACATCATACTGTCGATGAGACGGGATCGTTCGCACGATTATCGTATCTAAATTCATGAGTAAACTACTGTCCGAGGAAGAGAGTTGTGGAAAGAAAAGAAAAGAAACCGAGATGTAGAAGGGGCGAGACAGGAAGAATTACGAAAGTTGTAGAAAGAGAGACAGATTAAGAAAACACAGGTCGTAAACATGGGAATGGTATATATACATCGACATATGTATAGCAGGGAGGGGGAGGCAGAGAGAGGAGAGAGGGAGGGGGAGGGAGAGAGAGAGAGAGAGAGAGAGAGAGAGAGAGAGAGAGAGAGATTCGTGTGTATGATATGTCTGTAGATGAGCCTCGTTGCTTTCGATAGTGACGTGCGCCTGGGTTACGATTGTTCACACAGAAAATATACGCGGGTAGATGCACAACTTCTTGCGAACGAATGGGTCCTGCTTCTCGGGGATTGATCCTCCTCCAATCTGATGCGATCGGCTAGCTCTACAGAACCGTTGGTATGCTTCTGTAACACAGTAGAACGCAGAATTGAGCAAGGAGATGAGGCGGAGAGAGAAAATGTGATAATGATGATCACGAAGAAGAATAGAGAAAGAAAGAGGATGGGGATGTGTGTAGGGGAGGGAGAGAGAGAGAGAGGGAGAGACGTAGGAGGAGGTGCCGAAGAAGAAGACGCACCCCAGAATGTCCTCCCAGCAATAATCACCGCCTGTTTCAGACAAATATCGCCATGGCTGAAATGCACCAGCCGATGCGGAGTTAGCGACCGCTTCGGCGGCCGGGTTGATCATATCCTGCAAGAGTTCCGACGTGACGTTCTCCGGCGAGTTTGAAGAAGCCAGTGAAGTGGTGGCCGTGGCCGTCGGATTGCTGTATGGGCTCTGCGTCTGGATGTCACCGGTGGAAGCAATCGATGGATCGGCAGCGACGATATTCGGGAGGTAGAGACCAGAGCTGAGGAGCTCGGCGGAAGTCAAGCTGCTCTGACACTCGGGCCTCTTGAGGAGAAGATTCCTCAGATCGATATTGCTCGGAGGTGGCGGGCTCACAGCGCTGGCGAGTAGAGCTTGGACCATGCCCTGGAGCACCAGCTGAAGTCCAGCGATTTGCTCAGCCGCCGGACTGCAGCCCACATCTGTCGTAACGAGCAAAGCGGGGAAATTGGCGAGGAGGGCGAGATCGGCACGGGGGCGGTGGGTAACTGGATCTATGCCCATGCGGAAGAGCTGCTTCCTCAGGTGGGTATTCCAGTAGTTCTTGATCTCATTATCGGTCCTTCCGGGGAGCTTTGTGGCGATCGCCGACCACCTGCAGGCAGTGTCAGCGATGATGGAGGAAGATGGTGGCGCACCGTGTTAGGGAATCAGATTGGAGAAGTGTGTAGGGAGGTGTGAGGAGGAAGAGACGCACTTGTTACCGAGGATGGAGTGGAGGTGGATGATTAGACGCTCCTCCTCCTCAGAGAACTTGCCCCGCTTGATGTCGGGGCGGAGGTAGTTGGTCCACCGGAGCCGGCAGCTCTTACCGCACCTGTTCAGGCCGGCGTGCCTCGGGAGCGCCCTCCAGCTTCCGTGGCCGTTCCTCTCGATGTAGTCGACCAGCTTCCTGTCCTCCTCCGGTGTCCATGGCCCCTTCTTCAGCACTTCCTCCTTACAGCAGGGAGACCTCCCCATTTCTCTGTCTCTCTCTGTCTCTCTCTGTCTCCCTCTCTAACTGGACGAGCGTCGAAGGCGAGTACCAAAGAAGGGGTGGTAAGGAGTTGCTTTTATTCCGGATGCCGATCTGAAAGAGACAAGTCCGAGGAACAAGAGGACGACGAGGAATAAGACGAAGATGACTGCGACGAGAAGATGGCACGCGGAAGTTACAGAATGGTTTCACATTCGGTAAATATAATCTTAGAGATAACTTCTGACGTAATGAGGTGAGGAAGGGGGAGTAAAACCCCCCCCCCCCCTCCACGCTCTGACCAGAGCCAAAGTAGGTACGCTCGTTCCACCATTCCTATAAGATCGCCAGGACCCAGATCTCGCGCGCTACCCACAATCCAATATATTATCGAGAGAGAATAGGCAGGGAGCGATCCGTGATTTTCCTTGCCCCCACAGATGAGACAGGTCTTATCTGAAGGTAGATCTTTTCCTTTGCTAACGGAGATCAGACCAGTAGTTAATCCTACTCCTACAGTGAACGCAGACGGTCCTCATTAATACAGGGATAACATCACCGAATTTTCTACGACCATGGCGGAGATACCCAGGAAAAAGAAATAACACGGTAGGAAGTCCTCAATCGATCCACGGAAGAAAGGAAACCGTAATCTCCAGCAACGAAACGCAGCATATTCTCTTCGGTGATGATCTGGGTGGCATAGATCACCGCTGATTTCCTTCTCCCAGGTCATATTCCGAGTGGTTGCAGAAGTTGCGTGCATAGATCTCTTTCATACTGTTACCGCCGACGCTTACTGGATTTAATTAGGGTTCCTATTGGTCGTGACTCGAGGTCGTTGCGTCTTGTTCGAGTATCTTAGGAGGTTTAGTTGTCATTTGCCGCCGCCGTGTGCATCATCAAATGGCTTTATACGAAGGGCGGCGGTGTTTCCACATGGCGATCAACCGGTTGATAAAACCCTCATGTTCTAGAACCAGCTAGTTGGGTTTTGATCTTGTCCGCACCCCGAGGACTCAACATCATCATTATGTGTTAATCCGCCTTGATTATCCGGGCTGATTAATCAATTAAGCAAGTGGCTCGAATATTAGCCAGTTCAGACAATGTGATCACCGAAGGGGTCAGAGGAGGGGGCGGTGGGTGTTTGAGAAAAACCAGAGTTTGGTTACTAAATTCCTTCGCTCGGCATCAGCCCCCGGTTCGTCCCCTTTGAACTGCTAGGGTTTCACAATCGCTCCAAAATCCCAAGGACCCACCCTCCGGGCAGGTTATGACTTTCTCATGTAATTAGGGAATAATCAGAAATAGTAGTCGACTCCGAAGTCTTTGCTCACAACTTTCTTCCGGATTCAATAAAATGTTGAAGTGATAAAGTGAATGGAAAAACAATGAATAATTTCTTTACATCCGTGGAGAACCAGAGCACCAGTCGGAGCGAGAAACACTGGAAAATAGATAGAGGGAAGGCCCCCAATCCAGACATTTTAATAACTATCAGATTGCGCAAGTCCTTCACTCAACATGCAGCAAGAGCGGTGGTTAAGCGACGACCGGAAGAAACACACGTCCCGGTCATCGGAAGAAGAGAAGCTGGGTCATTAGCATCACTGATGACGTCATCATCCTATCAATCAGCATCAATCCCCTCCCTCACCTCCGTCGTAGTCGTCCCCTGGTTGCTGCACTTAACCCCCTCCGAACTCTCTTCGTCGCTGCAGCTTCTCTCACCCACCAGGTTCATACGTGAATTACGATAAATATGATACGCAGAGAGAGAGAGAGAGAGAGAGAGAGAGAGAGATGAACGTAATAATATAATAGGAATCCGTTAGAGCCGCGGAAAGGATCGTCAAGAGACGTCTCCAAACAGCGAATGATGACGTACTTTTACCTTTATAAGTCGTAGGGCCACAAGAGAGGAGGTCTGCATGCATGCGGACGTACGTTTTTACAGGACAGACAGGTAAACATTACGAGAAGAGGAAAGAGGGACCCAGGAAGACAAACAACGCGGGGCAGTGGATTTCATGGGTCGTTTCTTGCCCTTAGTGAAAACAGCCAGATTTAGTTCATTACGTAAGACCCCATGCGTGCACACGTGTGTAGAGGGAAGTAGGATCCGAAAAGAGAGGCAGATGGTGGGAGTCGTCCAATGGGTTCCTTAAGGAGAGGAGAGGAGGAGAGGGAGCCATTTAATTGTATCCACCCCAGGACCACTTCTTTGCCCTGTAGAGCCGGGGAGCTAGGCCTTCTACCAGTTTAAATGCCCTAACCCTATTTGACAGGGTGCTCTGTGGGGGCTGCAACCCCTTCCATGAAGTATAAGTTTTAGAAGAGGCGATTCCTCCCCCCAGCTCACATGACCGACCAACAACCCAATTAGACTCTAGGAACCAAGAAGCTTAGCATCTGTAATTAATATAAAATCAAGAAGTTTACACCGATGTAAATTTCAATGGTCTTGTTGGGAGTTTTCCTCTCTCTCTCTCTCTCTCTCTCTCTCTCTCTCTCTCTCTCTCTCTCTCTCCCTCCCTCTCTCTCTATCTCTTCCACACTAGATCTAATGATATGGGAGCTGAGTGATTAAGACGGCCCTTGTCGGCGGAGGCTTGGGAGTGAGAATGGGGCCCCTCTCCGTAGAGCGAGAATTGTAAATAATATAAACGGCACATCAAGTCTAATCGTCTATCCACCTGACCCAGGGGGGAGGGGGCCTCTCTATACAAACTTTGATAGACAATCCGCCGACTCTTCTTCCTCGTCTGGACGGACGGCTAGGAATTGATGGTGCATCTGGATCAACGACAGGGGGGTGTGGAATCTGAATTAATGGGTGCATCTGAATGAACACATGAGAGCACGTAGTAGTTAGTCGTAATGCGAGCGATGATGGTACCAACTAATAACAACTTCGAAAGTATTAACTATTGAGGGATCGGATCATCATGGGGCAGATTAGGAGCGCAGGTGTTCCTTATAATCGTTCTTCTGGGGTTTTCTCGCGGGGGGATTAACACTCAGCTGGTGGCAGATAAGGAGCACAGGTGTTCCTTATAATCATTCTTCTGGGGTTTTCTCGCGGGGGGATTAACACGCAGCCGGTGGCGGCAGTAGCGGTGACAATGGCGGCAGTAGCGGTGGTAGTGGTGGCGGTGGAGGCTGCAGTGCTTGCTGATTAATCAAGTAGCAGCTGTTGCAGAAGGCCTTGAGGCACCAGAGAGGCGGGACCTCTTCCTGGCCAAGCTCTCACTCCGCCGCTCGCGTTGCTCCTTCAACCTGGCCGCCAGCAGCTTCTGGTACTCTGCGGCGTCTGACTTGGCCTTGGCGATCCGCTGTTTCTTCTGTGCGATCCTTGCCCGCTTCCTCTGCAGGGTCAGCGGGGTCACCAGTCTCTGGATCTTTGGTGCCTTGCTACACTTCTTCCCTGAAAAATTCAACAGCACGAGTAGAACGATGAGGAGGATTGAGATAAAAGGTACAGACGAGAAGAGCACTGAGGAAGGAGATGGAAAGAATTGAGGGAAACAAATATGACGCCAAACATGACAAACGACTTTGGCAACAAGTCATTTTGTAGAGCTATTTATTTCCTTATTCCGACAAGAACACAAGAACACTTGAGATCAGATGATGCCGCCTCACGCGGTTCTCAAAAAAAAAAAAAAAAAAAAAACACCCAAAGAAAGGGAGGAGCAATATTCATAATAATTTGGAAACCTTAGGAATTTGAAGGTGTTACCCACGCATTGAAGGTGTGGATGTGCCCACCTTGAGCTAGGAGGGATGTGGATTAAGTTTTTTGGATAGGAGAGAGGACAGCATACCAGACTTTGTCGTGAATGTCCTTCGGTAGGTGTTGACATATTTACGCACATCGTCCTCCTTGGAAAGGTTGAAGAGCTTGCGGATCTTTGAAGCCCTCTTCGGACCCCGCATCCTGGGCTTCTCGATGTCGGTGAGCCCAGGCAGGTCATTTTCACCTGAACTCAAAATACCAACGATGAGCATCTAAAGAAACAAAAACCCCAAAAAAAGGAAACCAGCAAATTGAAAATAATTTCTGCTTATGCACGAGAAGATAGATAGATAGATAGATAGATAGATAGATAGATAGATACACAGATTTCACATCTACGTTGTGTGTCAATCTCTTCCAATAGATAATAATATAAAAATGAGGGGGCACAAGAGAAAATCCTGGCATTACCCTTTTTCACAATAACAAGATTCAACACCGAAAGGTCAGGGCTGACAATACATCCACGAACAGATTTCCGACGACGCTCTCCATTTCGGCGGCCATACCCACGAAAGCAAGGCGTACCTATGCAAGAGACATGATGATATGCGTACGGGTTATGATCAAATAAAAAAGGAGCAATAAAATATTCCGAGGGCAAAAGACTGTTAAACCTCTGCGGAGAAGCAGGCGGACGCGACCAGGAGTAAGAACTCCCTGCTTCATTGGAAAACCCTGTTTATCACATCCTCCCATAATCTTGAAGACGTACCCTTTGAATTCCTACATTGGGATAATTAGCCAGTTCAATGTCATCAATCCAAGTATGGCGGTCGGAGTTTATACTAATTGAGCAAAGTACTGCTTAACGTCAAAGTTTTCAATTCAATAGAAACCATATTTCAACTATAGTTATGCGTGATTTTTAATGTTCTTGAACGCGGATTTTTCGCGCCAATCAGATCCAGGTTGTACGGTTACACCTATATTTTACCTTTTCCAGACAAATGATCCATGATCAACATTACTTGGTCTCCTACGTAATTAACACAATGATCCAGGCCTTTCAAATGGACTTATCTCAACAAACCCAATTGATGAAATTTCCCAATGTTGTTCCCTTACTGAAATTTAGCAATTCAATGATAAATTAAAGTGTAATACCTCTCCAAGAGCATCTCCATTGACTTCCTGAGAGATTCTCTTGTCATAGAATGCTCGCCTGCAGAGTAATAGGACGTTACTTGATGTATTCAAAACAAGAAGATCTACTAAATCTCGTAAATCACAGTCTCAGAAAGAACCCAGGAATGGAAAAAAAATTACTACCATAATTCACTAGGTTTCCGTTCCTCATTCTACTTGGCTTCAACCAAGGTTTCCCATGACACACTAAAACGTCGACTGTCTCCATGACCCAAAGCCGGCCGACTTTAAAATTAGGTATCACTTCAGAACCATCTACCCTTGGAGTTAAGGCTCCAAAATCAAAATGACTCTTAGCTAAATGGACAAACAACCTAAAAATCTCTTGTCAACCTCATATTGGCTCAAAGTCTGCGTTGATGCAAATGTGTAGATTCAGACGGGGCAGGCTTCCTCGGTAGGGCATCTTACATCCACACTTTTGCAAAATCAGACCATCTCGAAAACGTATTTGGAGTTATTGGTCCCATATATAAGAAAACTTATTTACAACCTGATAGACTTTTCAAAATCAGACCACCAAAACAAATGCAGAACTGTTGGTCCCATAAACAATAAAAGTCTTTTCACAACCAAATACACTTTTTTCAAGATCAGACCAATTATAAAACGATGATCTTGACGATAACCATATGTGCAGAGGACTCGGCTCAAGGTAAACAAAAAAAAACTATGGAAGAACCAAGAACAATTTCGAAAAACATGGGAGCCAAATGTTAATACAGTTGTCCAGCTCTAATGTTAGCTATTTTCCAGGTTAATATTCACACTTGCCTAATGCAACAAATATTAATTTCTTCAACTGTCCTGCCATGCAGTTCACATATATTTTATACTACACTCAAGAAATATTTTGCAGTTCAAATTCACAGAAATTAAATGTTATACTTGTAGTGCTCGTAAGCCCAATTTATGACAAGAAAACCATTACACTACAACTGAACTTATCACCCGAAAAATATTTCATATTTGGCCTTAAGATCCCATTACATAAATAGAAACTCCCGTATGGCTGAATCAATTACAGGAACAGCAACTTGCGGTTCACTTTGAGATTGGTTAAACGTATCACACAATGGATTTCTTCTCTACATAAATTTCAAACAATAAGACTAGGGTAGATTTATTGCAATTTTCAGTCCAAGTGAAATCAACATCTTCCACGTCCAGAGCTAGACACATGAAAGCACAAGTCGCATAATTTGGAAGTCTAGTATTCACTGAAAGAATTGAATCTCTTCCATTGACGAGAACTTGCCTCTCCATCCCTCCACCATTAGATCAAAACTTCTCATTAACGTGATCCCCATACCCTAACTAGTCATTTAAAATCCGACATTAGAAGAAAAATGATTGATATAAGGACATCAAGTTTCACTAGATAAAAATCACATTCAATCAATCTCTTCCTGTCGGCGACTGATCATCAATGCAAACCCAAAAAGGCATTCTCAAATTCTGCATCATCCCTTTGGTTAAAAGATAGGGTGATAACCATTTGTTTGAAGATGACTGGGTGTCATGTCATTACTGCAAGAAAATTCAGCTGCAGGATTTCTGAACAATTAGTTACCTTTCTTGAGGAGCATCCATTTAGGATACTTCAAGTATCAAAACTTCGAGACCATCTATCTTATGTTACCGTTTATCGAAAATAGTCAGTGTTCCTATGTTACCGTCTCCAAAAATGGCTATTTGACTATTCTACATTTTCATGTAGTCTCTGACACATCATAAAAATAAAAATTAAGACTAAATTTCTTAGTTTAGGCGATTGCATCCCCCATCTGTTGTTCTGTTCCATCCCCCATCTGTTGCAAAATCAAAGAACATCACACTATGTTGAACGACTTCCTTGAAATATTTGGACAGTTTCTACATCGCAGAAGTTTCTACTTGGGTCTCTTGTAGCTACCTAAGATGACAATGCCCTCACATGTTCAAATGAGAGAAAATATAATCAAGGAATCTTGACCAATTCGATTTAAATCAAGTTGGAACCCTTTTACATTTTCGGGAGAAAAGCCTACTTACCCCATTCTATGTTCAAATAGCATAACCATGAAGTTGCATTAAACACAAGGCCACTTTCCAGTTTGTAGTTAGTGGAGAGAATTATGCAAACAGTTCAAAAAGGATTACACATGATTATGATATCAATAGCAGCAATGGCATAACTAGAGTAATGAAGAAATGTAGGATGCAACCAGTGAACAAAAGTAAGAGACCATACTAGTTAAGTTCATATTTAGGAGAACACTCATAACCTACTTAAGCTATTATAGGAACGCAAACAAATCGATAGCTAGCCTTACGGCTAATTCCGAGGATGAGCTGTTACCAAAACCTAGATAATACTAAGTGGTTCCGCTGCATAGATCTGTTTCCCAAAATCGTGAAACAAGAGAGCATAGATAACTATGAAGGTGCTCACAATTAGGAATGCACCCCAAGACATCTAAGACGAGAAAGGGGAGAAGGAATTGAGGGTATGCTAGACAGTACAGCTTCTGGTCGTCATCAATCTCGAGCTTCTTCTGACAACCGGTGGTTGGGTTGGCAATGTTAAACTGCAATGAAAATCGAGGAACAAATCAAGGACAGGTAGAAAACAGGAGAAAGAACTACAGCGAAGACTGATGTCCGCGAGCAGAGATTATCAGAGTTCCCCGTGACGCAGACCTTCATGGTGGCGTATGAGTCGGAGTCGGAGCCGCAGCTCGCAGATCCGCTCTCCAAGGACTAGGGTTTGAAACTCCACTGCCCAGAAGTAACAAAGAAGGGCAGTGGAAGGGTTTTAAGAAACCTCCCGGAGGCGGCAGTCGACGAGGCCTTTTAGGGCTTCAGTTGTCGATGGAAATCTATTACAACCAACAAAGTTACATATAATTACAGAAAAGCCACTTATTGCGGTCCTGCGGAAAGAGAAAGCTGACCCTAAAGCAGATATAATCTTAATTTTTTGCCTCTTAAAACTTATTATATAAAATTGTAAAATAGTAAATTATACGGAATTTGTTCTTAAGAGGTACGTTTACGATAACTAACTTCAAAATCAAGACACTATTAGTTTAATTTGACTTTAATCATTTTCAAATTAGAAGAAACTTTGTGAAATATTGCACCAAAGTTTTTCTCCCTCTAGATAGTTATAATTCATTTTTTATAATTCAAAAAATAATTAAAAAATGAATTCTAAAAGGTAGTTACATTTCTGGCAAATGTTCTATGAGAGAATCATGATGAGTGAAGGCAATAACTCAAAAACATTATTAGAGTTAATATATTTCAAATCTAAATTTGGTGACTATATGACTTGGTGTAACTTAGATTTTTACTAATACAGCATACTTGAATTTTTTTCATTATAAATTTCCAAACATTTTGATATGTTTGGAAATAAAATATAAGAGTATCATGGTGTGTATAGGAAATAGATCAACAACATTTTTGGTGATGAATAGTATTTTAGATTCACATTTGGCGATTATATGACCCCCATATTACTTAGACTTTTCAATAGTACAATATATCTGAATATTTTTATTATTTAAATGCCAAATATTTAAATCTATTTTAATACATTTTAATACATTTGGTAGAATTGATGAAAGACAATAAAATTTAATAAGATTTTTTTTGAAATCAATACCTTACAATTATCCAACCTTTGCTTCATTAATTGTATTGGTGTCATACTTGACATATTACAAGTTGAGTTTTTCAACGCACAAACTATATCTTTTAAATAAAATAAACCCTGCTCAACAATAAGCTTCTTCATATACAATTTAAAAAAAAATAAAAAAACGTAAAAATTATCTAATAGATGAGAGAATGATATTGTTGAACCAACTGAGATGATTTTGATGATTACAACAAACATTAGGTTATTATGGTAATTTGCTTGACATTTTCGAATAAGTTATAGAAAATGAAATAAAAAATATTGAGCCTAAATTGTTTGAAGGTCAATGTCATTGAAAACATATTGATCCTCTAAAGTTATATGACAATATATATTGAAAAGAAGCTACTTTGTATTCAAATTTTTGAATCAAAATGTAGGTGTTGATGTTTATCAAATTATATGTCAAAATGAAAGTGTTTACCAATATGTAAGTATCAAAGCTATTCCAAAAGGGTAGAAAATGTTGGAGTCAACCTTACAATGTGATAAGAATCAAGTCTTCTAGGTCAACATACTAGATTTTAGCAAGCCTTAGATGTCAAGAGCGACTATTTTACCCTTAAGCAAACTACGTTTTAGGTTTATGCCCAGAAAATTAAGTATTCTACCTTTAGGATTAGTCACAAACGAATTTTCCTTATTATTTAATAAATATCTGAACAATTGATTATGTCAACAATTACTAAAGTACCACATAGCAATCACAAAAATATTTCAAGTTTGCCAAAACCTTCATTTAGCACATAGCCTTGCTAAGCCCTATAGATTCAATCATTAGTTTCTATAGCTATAGGCTCATTGAGGACTATACATTGGCTCTATTGGAGCATTAATTAACATATAAAGTTTTGATGATGACAAAAACATATAAGTTAAATAAATATACTCAATCAAAATGACTATTCATTATACACATAAATAATTCTGGACATATGTATTAAATTAATTAAGTATAAATTCACTGATTATGTACATTTGTGATGACCGCAAGAAACTTTAAAATTACTTGATTTTAAAAATTTTAATTTCGAATATCTGATGAGTTTATCAATCAAATCACAACTTCATTTATTTTTATTCGTGATAATAATGAAAATTATCATTAACGTAAAGTCATGATTAGCACATTGGATTTCACAAGAATCATTAAAGTAAAATGTGGATATTAAAATTTTAATCAGTGTAATTATAAGTAATATGTATATCCATGATTTGAAATTATTACTTCTGATAATTCTTGATGGATAATTAATGGATTGAATCTAGACTATTTAAATGGTCATTTATAATTTTTTGACTATTATTAAATATTAATGTAAAAATAATTTTGAGATCTAATTATTAATTTAATTAATAATTATCTTAAATTATAATTAGGATTCAAATATGTCTAATTAATATTCAAATATTAATTTAGACTAAATTCAATTGGAAACTCATTAATTTACTTCAAGATGTATTTATGGTCACATTTTAGTAATACCAAATTCTTATTAGATACGTCAGAATTGACATATTAACAGCCACATTGATTTTTTTGAACTTAAGAGGATATCCAAACTGTTCAAAGATGTATTGTATTAGTTTCCTATCATATTCTAATTTCATTATATTTTTTGAAATAGTAACAATAGAATGATAGAAAATAGACCTTTTCCAATTGCTAAATCTGTTGAATAATATTAGCAACTCTCTACCCTACATCTCTTGTTTGTGTTGAAAGCATTTTACTGAGAAATTCATAACAAATTTGGAGAGAAAACCGAAGCTTTCCACAATGACGCAAGCTTATAGAAGTGTTATAATAAAGTCTCCTCAAGTCAAATTTCAATAATAAGGTCTTCATCCATTCAAGAGCTTATAGAACTGAAAGAAGCTAAAATTCAATATCAAGTTATTTGTCTTCTTCACCAAATTCTAGATGTGACTCACTTCTCATCTTGTATCAGAAATATCAATGATGGTGTACTTTCATGTGGGATGAACTCGTAATTCAGTTTTATCTTAATTATTCAAGGGGGCTGAGTTCTAAAATCAAAATTTTTCCACAGCCATGAATTTAAGTGTAGCCTTAAATCTATAACATAGTGGAGGGTTGTTGAAATCAAGATTTAACTTGTCACTCAAAACTTAGAGAGACCCAAGGACTTTGTCCTTTGGGAGTGAAGTAGGCTAGATTGACCAAACCAATACAAAATATTTTTGTCCCACAAATGTACAAAAAGATAAACATAAAACACCAATTCATCTCCCTCTATGATTATACTGTTGGCTAAGCCAAACCATCATATATAGACCTCAATAAAGTTATGAGTTGAAACTTATGGCTCTAGCAATAAATTGTTGAATATGTACACACCAATGAGCATGCAATGAATCTTATAGCTCTAGTAACTAACTATTCACTATAAAATGTTAGTGAACATGTGTGATAATTTTTTTGGTTTCAACAAACTGAGCAAAAATAAGAACAATTCAACGTTCCTATAAATTCACTCCTTACTTTCATATGCTTGAAATCTTTGCACTTAGTAGAGGAAGTGCTTGATGTAGGAGTCAATGAGTGCTTGAGCACTTCAAGTTTTCCTTCTCTTTCATGCTCAAAGATGCAAGTATTACACTTAAACTCCTTGCAAGAAGGTGAACATAAGGCACTCTATCTCTAAATTTCTCCTCCTATTTTTTTCAAAACCTAATTTGTGTGAGGATCTCTTTAATATGCAACATATTGGGATGTCCAATAGGTATTCCAATGATTGGATAAATTTCCATTTTGGGTCATGTCAGCATGTGAAATTTAAACTTCATATTGGTTTGAAAATATTTTTCAATTTTCATAATTAAAAAAATTCTAATTTTTTTAATGTCATTTGTTGCATTGTGTTTCTCTTTCAATTCTCATTTTAAAACTTTTTCGCATTTTAAAACTTACTTCTTGCCTACCTAAGGCTCCAGCTAATGTCCAAAATAATATAATAATCTACAATATGTATATGGAAAATTTTGTGTTTGAGATAATTTTTCTAGTTTAATTATTTGATTTAATATTTTTTAACACACTTTGAAATAAACTATCATCTAAACATTATTGGATCACCCCTTTATCATCATCAAAAGAATCAAAGCTCCCAAAGGCAATAAACCTAAATCAAATTGTGTTTACCCCCTAACAATAGAATAAATTAGTAAATGCAAGTGTCAACAATTGAAGAAAAAGAATTAACCCTTAAGGCTAAAGTATTGAGATTGAAAGAAAAATAGAAAGAAAAGCATACTTTTAAAATATCATGAGAACATCTAGAGATACTAGTTCTTTCAAGAGACAATTCGGAAATCACTAGTTTCATAATTGAGGTCACAAAAGAGCAAGGAATGAGAGGTTATTCAAGGTCTTTCATGAATCCATTTCAAGCCAATTGTCCTCAATCTCTCAGTGTCTAAGTTTTCCATTTGGTCATGCTACATTGGAAAATACTTCAAACATAACATAAAGGTAGTGCAATTGTATATTTTGTATTTTATATTGTATATGAGTTTTGTTACAAGGTTTCTACTGAACAATATTTGAAGGTCTTGTTGATAACTTGAGAAAGACATTATTTTAATTGGTACTCTTTGAAGAGACCATATATAAAGGTTAGGATAAAATGTTATAAAATATCTAGGTAAAGACAGAAATTGTAAAATTTGAGATTTGAGAGAACCACTTAATTGTGTTTTATGCTTGTATAGTTAATTTTCAATATCAACATTATGGTATCCAGCTGAATGCCCTTCATAACTATATTGAAATTTGAGACCATTAACTTCCATGACTTCAATCAGCTACATTGATACTCATCCTTCTCTAAGTTTTCCAAGTCACTTGGTAGGCAGTTGACATATAAACTTCACATCCTAACGAACAGGTAGGTGCATACAAATTCCTTTGGCTCTATGAAATTAATTATTCAGAAAAATCTGTTAAATATCTTTCATTTAATTTTCTCATTTATCTCACATAGTTACTAAAAACCTAAATAATTTACTTGAATTTTATATACATGATACGGTTTATTATTTATTATTTATTTATTTTTGGAAATAAGAGATTGTAGAATAACTTCAAACAGGGTTTTTGGGTGGAGACAATTAGTAAAGGAAAAAAATAAGAGAATTACGCTGTCAGCGGGTGACCCCAACTCTCATCAATCCTAGGTAGGCGGCGAGCCTGTAGAAGAAGAACATGGCCAAGAGGGCGGCGATAGAGACATCGCTGCGGTCCAGGCCCACGGCCTTCACGGCAGGGTAATCCTCAACGTAGCAGGCGGCGCCGCCGCTGCAAGGGTAGGTCTCGCCGGGGGAGAACTGGGACATGAGGGTGAGCCGGAAGAGGTGGTACATGATGGAGAGGTACTTGATCCAAGCCATGAACAGCGGCACCTTCTGCACGAAGAACCCCCCGGCGAGCATGAAGGCCAGCATGAGCACGGAGGCGAGCGTGGTGGCCGTCTTCAGGTTCATCACCAGAGCTCCCAGCGCCAGCCCTAACCCCTGCGACACGAGAACTCCCAGAAGCATCACCCCCATAGTCTGGAAGAAGGCGCCGCCGCTAGGCTCCATGCCGGCCATCCAGTACACCGCCGCGATGAGCGCCGCCGGCAGGGCGAGCTCCATCGGCAGGTCCCCCGCCGTCCTCGCCGCGAAGTAGGACGAGAGGCGGTACATCCCCGAGGACCTCTCCTTCGCCAGCACCGTCCTCTCCTGCGGGAAGGTGAAAATGGCCTCGAAGAGTGGGAAGAACCCGCAGAATCCCGTCATGAAGAAGACCAGCCCGATCTGCTCCATTCAATCATCAATGGATGGAACCCACAAAAAAAGAATAAGAGGATAAGGGTTTTGGATTTGTTTGAGACTGGACCTGGTCCTGGAGGCGGTCACCGGATCTCCACCAGAGGAGTCCGGCGAGGAGCGCCGAGGCGGCGACCTGGGCCATGCGGAGGCCGGAGAGAGCTTCGTGCCGCCGCTCCTTCATCCCTCTCTGCAGGAGCACCGTGAATTGCTCCCACCACGTCGTCGCCCACTGCTCGGACCTTCTTCCGGCCTCTCCGAGCTCCTTGAATTGACCGCCGACCTCCCGGAGCTCCTCATCCAGGTCTCGCCGGGCGCTGCTGGCCGCGAACGCCGCCACGAGCGCCTCCTTCGTCGCCTCCTGATCTTCGGAAACAATGCCTGACAGAAAAAATTAAAAAAAAAGAGAGACGAGGATAACCTATCGTTCATGATCTTCTTCTTCGGAGAATATCGTTTTGATTACACCGTTTTTAACAGCTGCTTCGGAGGTTACCATTGGCGAGATCGAGGAGGAAGTCGGCGGGGTTCATGGCGACGGAGGGCTGGTACCCTACGCTGGAGAAGTACGCCATGGCGGCGGAACCCTTTCCAAAGTACACGAGGCTACCCTGAGATAGTAGCAGGACTTTGTGGAACATGTAGAAGAGCCTGCTGGAAGGCTGGTGGATGGTCATCACCACCGTGCGGCCGCCGTCGCCGGCGAGCTCCCCGAGGGTGGTGACGATTCTCTGTGCGGTGGTGGAGTCCAAACCGGAAGTGGGCTCGTCGAGGAGGATCAGACTGGGGTTTACCAGCATCTCCTGACCTATGCTGACCCTCTTCCTCTCCCCGCCCGAGATTCCTCTCAGGAGCGGCCCTCCGATGATGCTGCTCCGGCAGGCGGCGAGACCCAGCTGGACGACAACGGCGTCGGCGGCGGCAGCCTTCTGAGAGCGAGAGAGCGAGCGGGGGAGACGAAGAAGGGCCGTGTACAGGAGGGTCTCTGCGACGGTGAGGTGAGGGTAGAGGACGTCGTCTTGGGTGACGAAGCCGAGGTTGCGGCGCATAGCGGAGGAGAAAGGGCGGCCGTTGTAGGTGATGGAGCCGGAGAGGGCGCCGCCGCCGAGACGACCGCCGAGGGCGGTGAGGAGGGTGGTCTTGCCGCTGCCGGAGGGGCCGAGCATGGCGAGCATCTCCCCCGGGCGGACCAATCCAGACACACCGTTGAGGATCGTCCGCTCCGACGGAGGCTCTCGCGGTTTCTTGCACTTGATCTTGTACACCACCTCCTCGAACTGGATGGAGATCCAAAATCAAGAACAAAACGAAAAATCAAGGGAGAAGCCCAGAGCGAGGAAGATGAGCGAGATCTCCTCCTTTAAACGAAATCTATCTATCACCCAGATGAAATAACCGAGAGAGAAATCGAAATGAAAGAAAGAACGGTTAGAGAGAGAGAGAGAGAGGCGTGCCTTAAGGATGACAGGAACCTGACATCTACGGAAGACGGAGGCGGCGTCCTCGGCGCCGCCCCCGTCGGCTACTCTCATGGTGTTGGAATGCGCCTGCAGCTCCACCATCGGCATCAACAACGTCTTCTGCACAGCCGGCCACACCTAGGTAGAAGAGGGAGGACGACGAGGCGTTGGGAGGTTGGGAAGGGCCACCTTCCCTCCTCCCCCCCCCTCTCTACATATATAGACGTATCCTCCTGACACGTTACACATCTATATATACCGAGATACACAGAGAGAGAGAGAGAGAGACCTGTGTAATCCCAGCTTTACGGATCCTCTGTTTATACCTTATATATGTGGTTGAAGTTGGAAGATTTTCAGGGCACATTGTGCAGATCCGAGCACGCGCTTCCACGGGCACGGTTGCACCGGCAAGCCTCCACTCGCTGCTATTTCACCATGCATGTACGTGGCCGGCGAATCCACCGTCGCCATTAATCATCGCCGCCGTGTCCCCCGGTTGACCTCGAAGAGAGCCACACGGTCGCAGAGCCCTACCCCTCCCTCTGTCGGTGGCTCGCCAGTGGATAGCACTGCGGAACCGCCAAGTGGCGGCCTTTTCCGGCGCCCCATCAGCGGGCCGCCTCCGCCGGCAGTCCCCTCCTGCGCCTTCCTCTGGAGTCGACGGTGGCGCTGCCGGCGGCGCCTTTACTGACCCATATCGAAGGCGGATGGGGCTGAATATATTTCGGGCCAACTGAACGGGCCGGGCCCATCAGGGCCTTTTCTCCCTGCCCCTCCCATCCGGCCCCCCCTTCTCTGCTCATCTTCCTCGGAGCTCGGGGAGGCTGCGTTCCCTTTCTCCTTCCTGCATCTTCATCGCCGTCACCCAGTTCGGAAGCTATTTGGATCCTGGGGAGGAATTCGTTTCCAGCCGTTCGGCGAAAGGACTGCTGTTGCTTGCTTCTTTATCTCGCAACCCGGGAAGGGTTGACGGCCGTCTGTTCTGGACAGGCAGCCGGGGAAAACGAGGTGGAGTCGTCCTTTGTTGGGATCCCTTGCGGAGTTACCCAGGTAATCGTCTCCGATTTCACCCACCGCAAGAACACCTGCGTTAGACGAGTTCCTTTGGTGTCCCTCGTCGATCAGATTCGAATTTTTGATATCCTACTGATTTTGGATTTCATGGTGGCGTGGATATGATGAAATTTATTGAATAATCAATGTCAATCCACTCTCCTCTCTGCGCGAGACTTTGGGGCTTTTCGGGATTCATTTTTTCTGGGATCTCGATTGCCCTTTATGTTCCTTCAGCTGTAAAAAGCCATTTATTTGTTTTCTGGTTACTGACACTCGCATTCGATCCATGATGATGGGTAAGAAATGCGGTCTCAGGGCGTGCATCTCACGAATCAGCAGTAGAATGCCTCATTCATCCTATTTTCGCTTCTGCCGATCTTTGATCTCTCAGTTGTGGCGAGCTGTTCGCTATCTGGACTTTTTAGGTGTGATTGAGCGCAGTATTGTACGAATTTAACGTCGTAAATCTCCTTTTTCTGAGAGTCATCTGCGTGTCCCAGGCGTTGATCATCTCCGAAAGGAGGAGATGATTGGTTCGACAGATTCCATACCCAAATATCGTGTGATATATTTTCTTTCAAAACACGAATAGGTCACTCACTAGGTTGCAGTTTGTTCCACCATTTCCTTGAGAGCATTTAGTATGTCCCATCATTTTTAGGCCTCGGGGATTTTAAGTCAGCACGTCTGTTACCGTTTCATCAGAATATAGCAACTGATGGAACCACGAACATGAAAAATTTAGAAAGAAGAAGCTGGTAAAATAATTGGGGGAACATAAGAAATGAGAATGAAGAAATCTACTCTGCTCTTGGAGGGGGGGAAATCCAGTGTTTACCATGTAATCGGTTTTCCTACTACGCAAACTGTATGCGAAGGGAGAAAACAGAGAAAGCTAATGTGCCAGTCTGTTTTCTACTGAAGTTCTTTTCTCTCATGACGATTGCAACTGGTTCCTGCTGCACCAACGCTGGGATGCGGGGATAAAAACGGAGAAAGCTCACGCCCCAGCTTGTTTCCGACTGAAGTTTCTTTCCTCTTATGACGGTGCTATTATAATCGCTCTGAAAAGTTAACCAGACTCAGATTCTCTTCGCTACAAGTGATATTTTGCAGCAGCACGTTAGAGGAAAGGGAATTACTGATCCTTTCTTTTTCTGGGCATATATATATCCACGAAGTGTCCCATAATTCATCAGTTTCTGTAATAAGAATGAAATAGAAGAAGGGCTACGTTTGCAAGGACCAAATATGGTTTGAGAGCTTCATGGGAAGAATTGGTAGGCGGGCTTCATGAGAGCTTCTGGAAGATGATGCTGCACTTTGGTACATTATGATGGCAGTTTTTCTGTACATTTTTTTATTTTTTTTTGTGTGTTAAACATATTCATGTGCTTCAAGTTTCTTAAGCTGCTATTTCCTCAATTCTGGGTAACATCACATCCTTTTTTATTTAAACCATTTTATTTTGTTTTCCACATACCAATGTTGACGGCGTACCTCTGGCTCTTACAGTTGATTAAGGCATAATTTCTCAAGCCACCGAAGTGGAGTTCATGGGAGTGGAAGCATGTATGTCTTAACTTCAAGCAGCAGATCTCGTTGAAGGTGGCAAGCAATAAACCATCCATGTTAGACAAAAAGATCACACATCGTCCAACCATCACTTACCGGCCAATGCGGCCCACTGATCTCCAAGCTCTACAGCAAATCCATGCCGGCTTATTTCCTATAAGGTTAGTAGCACTGTTTTCAGGTGTGAGACACCAATCTTTGCCTATACTAGAAGACTTTCCCAGCTAAGTTTAGTCCATCTGGGTCGTGCAGGTACGAGTTGGAGTTCTTCTTGAATGTGGTCAATGGTCATGGGATAGTCTCTTGGGCTGCCGTTGACATTAGCGGGTGCGACGACCGGATGGACAGACTCGTTGGCTTCGTCACCACCCGACTGGTCCCAGCAAAAGAAAGTGAGGTGGTGGAACACATATGCAACAAATAATAATAATATGAGCATATTATTCTACAGTTTGGTGGATTGGTTGCCACCATGCTCAACTTATTATTATCTGGGCTTGTGATTTACAGATAGCAGATTCACTCCGATATGATTCATCAAGATCAGAGAAGACATTAGTATACATACTAACCCTTGGAGTTGTCGAGGCCTACCGCAACCTCAGGATAGGTCAACACACTTTCTCCATATTATTATTATTATTATTCTGATGATTGCTATTATTATTATTGTCGTTATTATTATTGTTATTAGCATTGATTTATCTTTCCTTGCGGGGTTCTTGACTTCACTTGCAGCGACTACCCTGGTCCAGGAAGTCATCAAGTATGCGTCGAGTATTCCCACCTGCCGGGGGGTTTACCTGCATGTCATTGATTACAACAACCCGGCGATCCTCTTCTATCGTAAGATGCTCTTCAAGCTCGTCAGAAGGCTCCCAAGCTTCTATTACATCCAGGGTCGGCACTTTGATTCCTACTTATTCGTTTACTACCTGAACGGAGGCCAATCCACCTGTTCTCCACTGTAAGTTCCAGACTCACCCACCCAGATATCTATATATTTATGTCTCGCTATGTTTACCGATGAGGTGCATAATCCGACTTGTGTTTCTTACATTTTTCATTAAAATAATAAAATAATATAATAAAATGATCTGGGCTGTTGATATTTCTTGCCCAGCAGGGGGATGGTGGCGGCGGTGGCGGCGGTGGCGGCGTACTTGAAGGGGCTGGTGGCCTCGCTGGCATCGGTGTTGAGGAAGAGCAGCAAGCCGGGAAGGTCTCGGAAACGGGCCGACAGCAAGGACACCGGCTCCCTCCTCTGTACCCAAGAAGGAGATTCTGGGCTCGTTTAGCCACGTGGGTCAACGGACGTCGGGTCAAAGGCTTTTTTTGTGGGGCCTCCTTCTGAAGATCTGTCTAATTCTGATTGGATGATATCCGCCATGTCTTGCCAGAAATAAGCGGCAATGCCCGATCTTCCCAGCTTCTTGAAGAGGAAGCCCGAGAAAGCTAGTACATGATGTACTTTGGGCCCCATGCACCTCGGGTTGACCTTGCTTTTCCCTCTGTAGCGCCCACATCGCAAAAGGTCGACCATGTCGCTTTCATGCGAAGCGGATGCGTCAGACGGTGAACTGTACCCTAGGCTCACCGTGATTTCCCCGAACGGCGGGGCCACGTCGCCGCAGCCGTTACACTCGGCCAACCGCCGGGTCGCGGCGAGTTTTTATAACGCACACCGATATCTCGCGCTGCTTCGGCCCTATCTGTCCTTCTCGTCCCTTCTCTCGATTTTCTCGCCTTCCGCCGACTCGCCCCAAATAAATTCGAATCGATACGCACAGAGAGTCGTGCGCACGACTCACTGAGTCGGTAGCGCGTCGTAGGAGCGGGCCCCGCCCCGCCTGACTGACCGCTAGAAAGTGGCGGTACAGTCTCCGTGCGCTACACGTATCACCAACGGGGGAATCTCAAAATGGACGGCCAGGATCTGATCCCTGCCCACCTCATGCGCCTCGCATGGGGAGAGGGTAAGCGGGAAATAGGCGGCCGGTGAGAGTGGATCGGACGACTGAGAGGAGAGGGTAGAAGGGTAATTCCACTAGGGGCGGGGAGATCGGTGAAACCACCTCCAACTACCGCATTTTTACTATTCATATCTCCTTATGTATTAAATAATTATGAAATAGCTGTATTTTTTATTTTTAATTATTTCACGCTTCCTACTACCCCTCTTCTTTTTCCTGTTTCCGGTTTTCCGCAGGTCTCTCTCTCTCTCTCTCTCCTCTCTCGCTCCTCTCCCTGCGTGCTGGCTTTTCCCGGGAAACTTCCGTTCGTCACCGGAGATCGTCTCCAGCAGGGGGGGCTCGGAAGAAGTGAAGCGGGCGCGGGAAGAGGAGGTCTATAGGGTCGTCCTTGTGGTGGGTTGCCTTGCAAGGGAGGCGTCGAATTTGGCGGAGAACCAGAGGCGGGTGTTGCCCTGCGAAGGTGCTCTCGGGTCTCACCAGGGATTCACCGTCGAGAGGACAATGCAGGTTCGGCAGAACGACAAGGCGGCGGAGATAGATCACTAGAGTGTACTGCTGGTTCGTTGGTCGTCCGTCGTGGCCACTGGCGTTTGTTCGCAGGATTCGTCGGAGTAGAGGGTTTGCGGCTGTGGAGGACGGTATGAGATGGTAAGCGGACGGCGTCTTGAAATTCGGAATTCTCATATCCAAATTTTTCTCTTCTGGTTGCTCACTCTGCTTCATATCTATCGCCGTTTGGATGCGATTTGCGTATTTGACGTGGATTTGTAACTTCGTGGGTTCGCGGGTCGGTGTGATCTGATAGTAGGAATTTTTCCCGCTCGAGTCGGGCTCCGTGTCCGACCGAGAATCCTCGATTCGTATTCGTCATTTTTCTATCTGATCTTTACCTCTGCGGTTAACGAACTAATATGGCAGATGCTTCATGAATCCCGTGCGATGTCTTTGATAAACGGTTAATTGCTTTGAAAGAAACCGTCCGACTGGCAATGTAGGTTAGACAAGATAAAAAAATATATATATGCTTTATTTCCTGTTCCTCCTCGGCATCTATTTTTTATTTTCTGGAGTCATTCGTACAAAATTCTACTATTTCATGGCTTCTGAAACTTCCCAGCGTGAGGTTATTGGGGTTGAAATACATGAATATTTTTCCCCTAGCGTTGGTGATTCTTCCGTCTGAGTGGCTGTAAGACATGAAGGGGATGCACTTGTCTCAAGACGTACAGTTAGACTGGTATTAGTGTTTCTGGCCACACAAAATTAATAACTGGTTTAAATTACGAAATTAGTGAAAATGGTATCTGACACAGTGCGACTCAAAGAAAAATGCTTAGTCAAGACTGATTGTTAATCTCCTGGGAATCTTTCGTTTTTATTCGCTCTTAGCTTCTTTATTTTCAACAATTATTTCCTTTTTAAATATAACCTTAGTGATACAGTTTGCCACTGTTTCAGTCTTAAAGACCAATACTTTTTTTATGTAGCCTTCACTGGGATCAGGTTCAATTGCATTGTGTTCATTCCTTTGTATTGTGAATACAACGTATTTTCTCTGAGGAATACTTAAACTTTTAATTATAATTCTATCCTACGTGCCTGTAGATAAATGGAAAAAAATATGTGTTCCCTCACGGAAGATTTTGAATGAATTATGTTCAATAGATAAATGGAAAAAGAGTGCTGTTGTGTTAAATTTAATAATTGTAGAAATGTCGAATTAATTTTTTTCTTGATTAGATTGAAATTTATTGTCTTTTCCTCTACCCAAGTCAACACTCGGTCTCCATCCTGGTAACACATCGGTTTGAGTTATCAATTTTCAATTGTCACTGCCTGTAATCAATTGCCAAAATCATTATTTGGCCGCCGAATTCTTTCTTGCTACCACCGTTAGTGATTTTTGCCTGCCTCTCCTGGAGCTCCCCATGTATGGGCAATGCCTTCTCTATAATATGTTTCATCCTAATATCAGTTTTCTTCATCACTTTTGAGTTGGACAACACTATGATCTAGGGATCCACTATTTGAGGACTATTTGTTCTGTCATTTTATGTGACTGTGTATCCCTGCAATTGATCTCGTTGATGTTGCCATTTTCCTTGGATGTCGCCAGCCACTGGACATTTCTGGAGTGAAGCATTTTTCCTAATTTAGGACGTCTAACTTATTTGGTTAATGAACAAGGTGTGTGACAACACTTGCAAGTTGTGTTTACACTGAATGGTAGTAACTTTTACTCCACCCTATATACTGCACTGCATGTGTGCCATAGAGGCATTTCATACAGCTTGTATGTGCAAAGTGAGAATCTCTGAAGGTCTGTCCTCACAAAGACGTGGAGACTCTCCATGTGGGTTGTTTCAATCTAGTCTATTTCTGATGCCTTCCCACGTCTGTTAGAATAGAGTCAAACGCATACCAATCCAATAGTTGGATTTCCTCTCGAGGCTTCAAAAATCCGTTTTCCTCTGAAGTAAAAGGAAGCTGGGGACAACTGAACTTTATGCGACAAGGGAGAAATATCATGAAACTAATACCTGGAATGTGAGGTCTACTCTGGAATTAATGTTTACCTATATCCTAGGTATGCACATAATTACCATCCCCAAAACCAATTGTCAAGGGCGTATTATTCTATCACTATTTACAAGAGACATCAAGCAAAATGGGTGGCATAAATTCTTTCTATTCATTCGTGGCTTATCTTTGATGAACATTTACATAAACAACATTATCTGAAAATGATGGGCAAAACATTACAGTCTAGAATTGTGTTTATTTTTCTCGTATAATGTACTCTGTGCATGACAATTCATTGACACATCGATAGAAAAAAAACTGGAGCGCAGAACGTTATAGGATCTTCCATCCTCTGTTACACAGTCACCAATTTCTTTTGATTTGTGCACCTAGTTGTTACTGTAGCTTCCATTTTCTCACTTTTTCTTGGTAGTAACATTATTTGTTTTTTTTTCTCTTTATCTTGTAGGTGGAAGGACGAATTTGTTTGTCAAGAGAGGTTAAGAATGCCTTAAATATTCTGAAGCAAAAAAGGATCAATAAATCAAAACTGGATGTGAAACAGGGAGGAGATTCTGGCGTAAGGATGATGAGAAATGCTGCAGATGCTCTGAAAGTCTCTGCTTCTTATGCAACTGATCTGCAAAGCAGTGCAAATGGATTCTCTCATAGTAGCAGTGCTTTAAGTGAAACTAATGTTCTGGCAAAGCATAAAACTGGAAAGTCCATCTCTACTATAGAATGGATTGACAGAATCCCCGAATGTCCCATTTATTATCCTACAAAGGAGGAATTTGAGGATCCTCTGATTTATTTGCAACAAATTGCCCCTGTAGCTTCAAAATTTGGTAATATCCTAATGTTTACTTTTTAGAAGCAGTATCTCATGTTTTTGTCTCTCTTGAATATTTTGAATTAATACCATGACTAGGTCACTCCCCTTTTTCACATTTGATGTGGCCATTTATTGATTTAAACGAGGTTTTTTCTGTTATCCTTTGTCTTCTGATTTATTGGAGTTAAGTCTAATTTTATGCTTTCTAATGAATTTTAAATCAATTTATTTTGTGGGATCTGTTTCTCTAATTGAGTAACCTTATGCTTCCACTTCCTCCCTAGGAAACGAGAAAATTACTTTGTAGAATATCTCAAAAATGGTTTTAAAGGCGTTAGTTTGACATACCTATGGCAACAAGTCGATGTAACAGGGGCAGGGCGCTTATGTCTCTAGCCTCGCGTGTCTCTAAGTGTTCCCTTCAGTCACCTTGTCTATGGGGAATCTTATTTCTCTCTTTGGTGCTTTGTAAAACTTTTGTAAGGGAGGTAAACGTCCGTATTATTCAAGAAAACTCTAAAGTCACAAAGGAAAAGCATAACATTTATCACATCGTTATCTAGTGAAAGTAGTCAAAAGGTTCTATGTTATGATGGCATGCCACTTATTGTTTTGCTCAAGAATCTTACAAGTTCAAGTCCAAAATATTTTCCTTATCACCATCAGCACTCATCAAGTGACAGATTATGAAAGTATGATTATGAAGATTCCAGCTTTTATAAAATTGTTGCATTATAATTTCTTCAACAGGTTAATATATTTTCCTTTTGGTTAAATGATGACTTAATACGTTGTAAGATAAATCCAATGACCATCGCATCTAAGATAGTGATAGAACATGTGGTGATGCCTCACAAGTATGGTGACTATTTTTCTCCTTTCAATGCATGTCGAATGGACATGACTGATGGTAAGTCAAATTATCTTTATATGAAACGGTCATGGTAATAGTAGTTTACGTATGAATCGTTTTCACTAGAATAAGTTAACATTGGTTTGAGTGGCATATGTCCTGCATTGTTTTGTAAGCACCAAGGCAGTACACGACTACGTTTCTCATGCTAGCCACTTATTATGACCTGAAGTAGCTATTTTGTTTTTCAACTCTCTTTTTTACATTTACAGAGATTTACCAAAATTGATGTCATTTTAGGTATCTGCAAGATAGTATCCCCTTTGAGTGCTTCAGTACCAGCTGGTGTTGTATTGATGAAAGAGAAAGCTGGATTCAAGTTTACCACGAGGGTGCAGCCACTTCGACTTGCAGAGTGGAATATAGATGATAGGGTCACATTTTTTATGAGCGGAAAGTAAGTGCTCGGTCTCACACCGGAAAAAGGGCAGTATTTTGTTTACAAATTGACTAGAACATCTTATATTTATTTATATGACTTTTCAGAAAGTATACATTCCGTGACTTTGAGAAAATGGCCAACAAGGAGTTTTCCAGAAGATATGCTAGTGCAGGATGTCTTCCTGCAAAATATTTGGAGCAGGAATTTTGGCATGAAATAGCTCGTGGGAAGTCAGATTATGTTGAATATGCATGTGATATTGATGGCAGTGCCTTCTCATCATCTGCTAATGACCAGCTGGGGAAAAGCAAATGGAACCTTCAGGTAGTTTTTTCGCAGGATTGTGAGGTTAACATCTGAAATACTGATTATGAACAAGTGTGTTTCACGCTGTTACCTTCTATCTGAGTAGAATCATAAGAAGGTTCATGTATTTCTTTCTTTCGCATACACCGTCCAAAATTTATCGATCTTTTGTTTTTCTCAGTTTGAGATGATCTTATCTTTCTTATGGTCTTCTTTCCTTGTTTATGAACTAATTTCTGCTAGTAACTTCGTCGTCTGTTTCTTTGCTTTACGACCAGACATTTTCGCGGTTGCCCAACTCCATACTAAGACTCCTGGAAAGAGCAATACCGGTCGGGCATTTTTATTCTTTTTTATTTTTATCTGCTGAGATCCCACATCCTTGAATTTCCATTCTCAAACTGGGATGCTCTTGTCGTTGCAGGGGGTGACTGATCCCATGCTTTACATAGGGATGCTATTCAGCATGTTTGCTTGGCACGTGGAGGATCACTATCTCTACAGGTATGATAATTCTCTGCCATTGCGCTTGACTTTCTGCATGATTCACTCTCGCATTCGTGGCATTCAATTCTTCCTTGCCTGGCAGCATCAACTATCATCACTGTGGAGCGTCAAAAACTTGGTACGGGATTCCTGGGCAAGCCGCTGCTGACTTTGAGAAGGTTGTGCGGCAGCATATCTACACCCGCGAAATTCTGTCGACAGACAGAGAGGACGCCGCATTCAATATCCTGACAGGGAAAACGACCATGTTTCCGCCGAGTGTTCTGGTGGAAGACGGTGTTCCCGTCTACAAAGCTGTGCAGAGACCTGGAGAATTTGTGATTACCTTTCCAAGGGCGTATCATGCGGGTTTCAGTCATGGTGAGATTCACTCTGCCATCCCCTACCACTCCTTGTTGCGCACCCTGGGCATGGACAATAACTAACACCTTTCTGAACGGGGGATTGAACTCCACCCACCCGCTGTCTGCCTCCATCAAACTCAGGTTTCAACTGTGGCGAGGCGGTCAACTTTGCAGTGGGTGATTGGTTCCCCTTGGGGGCAGTGGCGAGTCAACGCTACGCTGTTCTCAACAGGGTTCCTCTTCTCCCCCACGAGGAACTTCTCTGCAGCGAAGCAATGCTTCTTTACTGGCGATCATCCGATGCCACAGGCCCGTCTTTTTCTGTGGCGCATTTGCCTTCTTCTACCCACGGCATCAGAGCTTCCTTTGTGCAATTAATCCATCTTCAGCAGCGTGCTCGCCGGTCACTGATGAACTCAGGAGCGAGAGCTGCCCACTCCCCAGATTCTCATGGAACCATTCTCTGTGGGATCTGTAAGAGAGACTGCTACATAGCCTACGTGTCATGCAATTGCCACCCGGATCCTATTTGTCTTCGGCATGGTACAGGTCTTTCTACCCCTCTCGCAGAAGCCTCGCCTCCCTGCTCGTGGTTCTTACTGTACATCCTCCGATCAATTATTTCTCTAATTCTGTGGGATCTAACTTAGAGACGGAGACGAGCAGCTGCCCCTGCGGACCAGAACGCGTCGTCTTCTCCAGGGAGAACATCTTAGAAATGGAAGCTGCGGCTCGATCGTTTGAGCAGGCTGGCGGAGCTCCAGGGGACGATCTTTGCCTGCAGAACCCCAGTGGAGATGGAGATGGAGATGCCCCCCACTGTTGTGGCATAGCCGTCAACCTGGTCAACCCTGAAGAAAGCTCATACTGTAAGAATGTAAGTTCTACGATCACTGAAGTGGAGAAACCGGTGGTGTTCATCAGCCATCTATCTGCTCTTCATTTTTCTTGTAATCATCTTGCAGGAATCGCTCGGTGGTTCTGGAATCTCCTCCGCCGCCTCCGCCGCTGCTGCGCCGCCGTACGATGACGACTCCGACTGTGAGATATTCAGAGTGAAGCGGAGGTCCATCTTCAGGGTAGAGAGGAAACGCTCCTTCCCCGTAGCAGCAAGCTCAAAGCTCCATGGCGATCGGGTAAACTTTCAGTTTAGAGTCAGATCATATGGTCGCCTCTCTCTCTCTCTGATCTTCAGCGCGATCTTCTGAGGTTGCTTTTCATGCGCTACCAGGGCTTGAAGCGTCTGAGGAGGTCAGACTTCTCCGGCGAAGCGCCGCCGTGGAACCGCCGCGCCTCCGCCGCCGCCGTGCCGCCGGCCATCCGGATTTCTTCTAACCACGGTAACGAGCGAAGATTGGAGAGGGGTTGACCCGGCCAGCGGTAAACCAGTTAACAGGTTGCGTTGTCTTAGGAGGGAGGTGACGTAAGTAGCTCATTCTTTGCGCTACTCGCAGGTTTGGCACGTGCGCGACAGCGGGCCCCAGAGAAGATGGGGCCCACAAATTGTAAATGTGGTCATTGGTGCATTCCCACGTGCCGGGGGGGCGAGATCAGCCTAAATATTCACCCCGTTGACCATTCGTTCTCTGATTCTTTTTTTAAAAAAGGCAATCTCTGTGAGGGCACTGGCCGGTGTAGCCACCGGTCCGAAAGAGCAATGTGGATACTGTAGACCGCGGTCCCGTCACTCTCCATTTAAATGAAGGCGGAAAGGGAGAGCGACGTGTCCCCGGCACTGCATGGCGCCATCGTGAGGTGGCCATTCGGCCACGTCCATCAATTAGTAGGTGAGGACAAACAGCGGTGACGGAGACAATTTAAATTACTATTATTATTTGTTATTATGGGAAAGAGATAATTGGGATCCAAACACTGGACATTTAAGCAGATCATTCGTTGAGTAGGTCGTCATGCTCAGAAACCCAGCGAATTTGTTCCGACCCACGTGAGATATTTGTCCATGGAGACGAGCTCAGCAGTCCAGGGTTTGTCCAAATATTGTGGAATCGGTCACGGTGATCGTAAATGACTGAGAGCGACCCATGAAGTCCGTATGAAGAAGCTCTGGTCTGACTTGGCCCTACCCACCCATGCACAAAAGGTTTAGAGAGAGAGAGGGCGTGCCTTGTAGCTGAATTTGAAATGGCCAAGTTCTGGATTTTGAGGCCGAATGCTGAGGGAGGGTTGAGCTCTGGAGATTTGCCTGGCCTGGTGAGACTGCCGGGTAATATAATTTTAGAGTAGGATAGGGTTAATGGTGGGATGAAATAGGTGGATCATGGCGGGAACGATTCTTTGGTCTTCAGGCAGGAGAAGATAAGGTTTCCGGAGGGTCGAATTAAAGAGATTTACTGGGGTACTTCCCACGACCTGGCCTTTGTAACTCCCGAGAGGAAACCCCCCGGGGGGGGGACTGAACGAACACCAAGCTGAAGCTTGTTTGGGGTTCTCTCTCTCTCTCTCTCTCTCTCTCTCTCTCTCTCTCTCTATCCCATCTCTCTAATTCGCAGAAAAGATACTCTCCTGTACACCCCCCTACATCCACACACACCCCATAGAAGAAGCAACCTCATTCAGTCGCATCTCGGCACGTTTACCTCCCCTCCCCCTTCTCCCTCAAAACCCCAACTCCCTCTAGATCAATCCATTCCGTCCCTCTCATCCGCCCATCGCAGCTGCTACTCCTCTCGCTTTACGCCCTTCCATCTCTTTGGAGCAGGCCAGCAGATCGTTGCGCAGGCTAGCAGAACGAACCCAGATCACAGTGGAGGGGGAATACACCATTGCGCAGGTGCAAGGAGAGAGCAAGAGAGAGAGAGGTGGGGAGGAGGGACGGGGGGACAATGGACCTCTTCCCTGCTCAACCAGACCTTTCCCTACAGATAAGCCTTCCGAACACTAACGGCAGGCCAACAGAAACCTGGGAAAGGAACTCAGATGCTAGCATCAACCTGGAAGTGGGAGGAGGTCATCACCATCACCATCACCATCACCATTCGAGGAGATCATCACCCGGGGATTCCCTAGGCAGTTCCACGAGCTCTCCCCCTCCCGCCCTTCGGTCTCTCCCCTCTTCCTGGCCTGCTGCTGCATCCCTAGAGCTCACTGTCAGCATTTTAGCGAGCCGACCAATCTCCAAACCCACCACCATCACCACAAATGGCGGAGAGCAAACCCACCTCCACTGCCAAGACTTCCCCCAATGTGATCTCCAGCAGCAACTACAGCCCATTACTGGGGTCCCCGTGTACTATAATCGCGATGCCTCTCCCTTCCCCTTCGTGCAGCATCAGCCAACGAACCGCCACCGCCGACGCCGCCGCCAACCATCCCATCCTGACTCGGCACCGCCACCACGGCTGAGGATTCCGGCAAAGCGGATTAGAAGGGCGCCCAGGATCCGCTGGAGCACGACACTCCACACCCGCTTCGTCCACGCCGTCGAGCTCTTAGGAGGCCATGAGAGTGTGTTTTCTTCTTCAGAACTCGAATAGTCCCCTTTTAGTTAAGATAAAAATCAATCTGCGGTGATATTATATGATTGCCAGATGATTCTGATTTGAAAGACTCGATCATAACTCACAATATGGCTGAATTGTTTTCTCTGGGTTTCAGGGGCCACCCCTAAGTCTGTTCTTGAGCTTATGGATGTGAAAGATCTCACCTTGGCTCACGTGAAATCTCATCTGCAGGTAAGGAAAGCAAACATCTGCTTCTGTACTCGATCTTCCGACGGAAACCCTAACTGGGTTTTCTCAGATTTGCACAAAGAGCTCAGCTTTCTACTTCTCTTCGATTTTTTCCCTACCCCATTGATTCATCTGAACGATCTCAGAAAGGAAAAGGGATCCATTTTCCAATCTTTTCCTTTTACAACCTTTTCCCGTCAAACGAGCCTTGAGGATGTTGATCATTTGAGTCCACCAATCCCAAACTATCCTGGAAAATAAAAATTCTCCAACCGTTTCAGGTTCATGACTAGACATATTTATGGATATCGCCATCTATGATGAAACTAGAAGGAAACTCAGTCATTTGCTCATGAAAACCCATGTTCACGGTCAATCACTCCCACGTCTTCAGTGGTCAGCACCCATCAAAAGGGATAGCAACCATTGATTATCATCGGTCAAACTATCCTCTCCTTCTCTCTCTTCACCACCCTCAGCTTCTGCCGATCATAGTTATGTTGAAATTGTGGCGATATGATCCCACTATATATGAATTTTTGTTTTTTACTTCACCTGCTTCTGAAGCTCCAGACTTTTTCATCTCAGATGTATCGCTCCGTGAAGTCCACCAACAGATCTCCCGCGTTCACAGGTGATGATAGTTCCTTCTTTCTTCTCCTCGTTCTCATTCTCCTTCATGCTCTTGTCCTCCGCATCCTCTAGTTTGTTCCTCCACTCCTCATGCTCTGACTTGTTCTTTTACTCTTCTTCTTCTCATCTGTCTGATTATGGGGGGTGGCTTTCGGTGGATCTTCTTAGCTAATGCAGACTGTTTCGAAAACGGTTCAGCTGGAGTGATCTCCGGCGAAAATGTACCCGGCATACGCAATCTGCATGAAGCGTCAGCTCACCAGACAAGGTCTCCAATGTATCACTGCACTACTCACGGCTACTCTTGTAACCTATAGAACGTTTCTGCCAGGTGATAACGGTTTCTTTTATTTTTACATTTTTCATGAAGGAGATCTCGAGCTTTTCCTCGCAGGGTTTCGATGTATCTCTCCTCCTCCTTTTCTAGCAAACTCCGATCTACGAATAAATTGATGTAATAAGGTTTTACCAATGTAGACGATATCGATTAAATAAAGATCACTCTCTAAAGCACATCAGTATTGACTGGAGATGGTAAGGAAGCCCAAAAAAACGGTGCAGATATTTCATAAAATGACCAAAAGTATCAGTTGAATGATAAGAAAACGCACATTCAACAGTGCTTGCTCCATCATCTGGGGCATGACAGCATTGCTACAGCGTTCTCCACAGCCACCGCAAATCAGCCGGTTCTACCACACTTGGAGTCGCAGGGTTGTCTCCACGTTCATTGAAGTATGGCCTCCTCTACTACAGCATCCTATCCCACGACTATGGAGGGTATAGCTTGGGCTTCCTCAAAACCAGAGAATCCTCCTCTCTCTCTCTCTCTCTCTCTCTCTCTCTCTCTCTCTCTCTCTTACAGAGTTATCGGCCTTCGTACTTCTGTTACGTGTCGATGTATGTGCAACACAGAGAAAGAGAGAGAGAGAGAGAGAGAGACGCACACTGATGGAAACGTGGATAGGTCAGACTCCACGAAAGGAAGCACAGATGAGAGCCTTGTTGCATCTGAGTGGGAGGGAACTAGTGACCACCATGATAGAGTGATATCTATTGCGTACTTCAAGGCCAACGTGGAAAATTTCCACGTAACCGATGTCGAGCAACAATAGCCAATTAAAGGTCATCTAAACTCTTGCTTTTGAAGATCTGGTGGGCGCCCACTCCCGCTCCCACCGTCCAGCGGGAATAGGCTAAAGCGAGAGGCGATTGAAACTTCCTGGCAGCTTCTGATTGGACGTCACGTGCGAAGCTTAATCTCCAACCCACAGCGGAAAGTGAGAAGGCTAGCTGGCATATTTACGAGATAACAGTGAGCACCCTGGCCGTTTTCAGCTGCTCGGTTTGGATTTTTCACGAGTGGGGGTCTCCAAACCGCGTACGACGACATTCCTCTCTCTCTCTCAATCTACCGATATCTCTATCTCTTTATCTATCTCTCCCTCACTCCCACCCCATCCCCCTCTCCCTCTCGTCGTGTCGTTACATCTTTGCGGCAGTTTCACGCCAGACCGAGAGTTCATCCCCTCTTTGCATTTCACGGCGATTTCAATCCCACCGGGGGATAAGTGACAAAAAAATATGGGGCGGGACGGGAGAAGAGGGGGGTGGGGGATTTTGGACCTAGGGTTTCTTCGCCATGCTCTTGGATTTGTCACGTACATGACAATGGATTGCGCAGTCTCTAATCTGATTAAGACGCGCGCATCCCTTGTGAAAAAAATGACAAGAATAAGAAGCATTAAGCATTAATAAACATGATCGAAAACTAAAATACCCAACAAACTAAATTTAAAAAATAAATTTAAAACCCAACAAACAGTTATCATGAGCTTAGTTGCCTCTCGATCATATTAATTACCTAAACATGTATCGTGAGCTTCTAAAGACATTAATCTACTGGGATCAATGTATTTTTAGCAAACTAGCTAGCTACTAGTATGATCACTCCATCTCACTGGTAAGGGCACCGCATCCGTAAATTCTCATTGAAACATCGTTGAAATTATGTGTACTGTCGAGATGTCCCCATTATTAAAAGAAAACGAAAAACCGAATAATGTTGAACAGAATTCCGATAGGGTGTCCTGATTCTCACGCCCCGGAAATTTGAATGTTGTAGATATTCCGTCTTACACCTCTGCACAACCATGCACACTGACGCCTATTAATCTTAATTCGAGCATCTCGTTATGAATCTTCCCAAACTATTCACTTTATAGATAAGCGACTAAAGTGGGTAACCCACTTGAAGGGTATATATACAATTTATACTTAACCCAAAGGGATAATTTAGTATTCGGATGGGAGCGCAAGTGGGTTCTTGGCAGTATTCACATGTGTCCCCCTCCCGCAGGGCGGCTGCTCACTTGTGCACAAATAATTGATGCCTTGATTCATTCCATTCCATTTTCCATCAAGAACAGAATCTCTCCTTGTCGTACGAACTTCCCTGTTTTTTCAAGTGGGAAGCCGTAAAATCTCTTTCCGACACCGTCTACCACAACGAGAGCTCTGTGGGTACGTACAGAAGCTGATCACCAGTCGCTTTCAGCTCCTTAGAGTTACTGTCTGCCTTCCTGCGTACGCAGTGCAACCCGTGCCGGAAAATCTAACTTCAGCACACAGAAGAGAATCCACAAACTAGTTTAATAATTGTAAAATGGAAAAGAGAGAAGAAGAGAGAGAAGGTGGGGGATTTCGGAGAACCAGGTGATCTCCTGTGCCCAAAGGAGGGGAGGTGTCGATGAGGTGACTCCCAGGCATTGGGGGTCATCTTCTGCCGCAAACCTTGTTAGGTAGGCTCACTGATTTGCGGCTGGCCTTGTTGTACATTAAAGTACTTAACGCAGCTCGTTCAGCATCACCGGCAGGGGATTAGAGCGAGAGCGAGAGTGAGAGAAGGAAGGGGGAGGTTTCTGGTTCCTGCTTGTCCTCTCTTTCTGTACCTGCGCCCGTTCGCCCCCTCCCCCCCACCCGCCCCCCGGCTCCCCGCTCCCCGCTCCATACCTTTCTCAACCGGTCATCACAAATTTGTCTCCCACACACGTGAATAGTCTCCCATTCCCATTTAAACGAGGAGGCAGACTATCATGTCTTTCTGCGTACAGACGATAACCATATGGGGGAGAAGAAAAACGAAAGGCGGAGGAACAAAGGAGAATAGGGAAAGCGATGGGGAGAGAGAGAGAGAGATCGAAGGAGGGGAGAAACAAGAATAAAGTGATTGAGGAAGAGACAAAGGGAGGATAGAAAGGGACAGAGAGGGAGGGGCATGTAGAGGGGTAAAATAAGAAAGAGGAAGAAATAAAAACCCTCGAATGTAGCCCCCGCATAAAAAAAAAGGTAAAATGAATCCACAAGGGAGAAATGTAGAATATGTGAGACTGAATCACGTAATTGTTGTTGCCTATAATAAAAGGATTTCCCTCATTATTTTTCATCACTTTTCAAGATCTAAGAAGGGGAGACGAACAGTTGGAAGACAATTAGACCCTACACAATAAGACAGGGAGAAAGAAGAAAATATTTCATACGACATGCAAGAAGTTTTACGGGTTCGGCCAGCCCAAACGAGTTCCATCTCCCCAATCTATTCTTGGAATGTATAGTTGTTAACCAAGTGTATATTGAATTTTCCAACGGTGCTAACCGAATTTTCGTCAGTAATTTATCATTGCTCGCTAGAAAGCCTGTTTGTATGACATAAATACCAAATGTAAATATGAACCAGCACACAATGTCATCTAAAGGAATATGTAAAAGATCTAAGCGTCTTGAAAGCTTTACTGATCTTGACTAACTATTAATGTGTCGAAAAACATCTAAATGTGTTGATTTTTTTTTTAGATTTAATGACTTTCTTGAGAGAGAGGCAATGAGAGAAAGGTGGACACCAAGATAAATCGAGGGTTTAAGTTCTTGACTCTAAAACTGTCTAATAGGCTTCCTCACTGCAATGCCTTATTTATAAGCTCGAAGGGTTTCATGTTGGGTTAATAATCTGAACTAATGTAAACATAAGCATAAATATGTTTAAATTAAATTTAAATTTTTGTGTTGCCATGCAAGTATCAAATTTTTTAGGTGTTATTGACATAGACTTTTCGAAAATGCTCCTGCTTTCTAAGCATAGGTTTCTTATTAAAGAGTCATGCGCATAGTCAAGACTCTAAAGTCAAAGTTTTGTTCTTGATACCATCAAAATAAATTTATCGGATTTAAGACAATCACTTGTTCTATCATTAGCAATATTATCTATACTATTTACAAAACTCATCAGATTAATTTGTTATCCTTATATACGCGTAGTAGAAACATTATTTTTATATTTTATTATTTCCATTATAATCAATCTATGTTTTACTTGTCTTATTTTTTATCAAAAGTTCACTTTATCTTTGTTTGTGTAAAAGATAATCATATGCCATTCCATCCACCATTGTGTATTTTTTTTCTTCTTACATTGTCCTGTCTATCTTTTAGTAAGAAATTTAATGACCTTCAAAGTAAAGATGTTTAAAATGAAGACCTTATTTAGGTGAATGTGGACCTTATTTAGGTGAATGACCTTCAAAGTAAAGATGCTCAGCAATATGAATTATAAACGCAAATCAGGCCAGAGATCCTTCGGCTTGATTGATCAAAGGAATCTAGCCACCAAAAATTCTGAAAGTCCTTGATGATGAACCATCTAATAAATAATTATAAATGGTGTTGGAACTAATGAACAACCTTATGAGTAACCTCAAAGGCCTTGACAATGTTTCCTAGTTCTTTGACCTATGTTGGTCAATGAGAAATCCAAGTTCGAAACATCGTGGTAGCATAAAAAGCGCAATAACTTGAGCCTTATACTTTTGGCTACATGTTTGGTCATTACCAGACTAACGATCTCAAGTTGTAGGTTGTAAGAAACAGGATTACAATGATAAGTGTCCTCCACGAGAATTTTTGACTGACGATGGTTGAGATCAATTTGGACAAAGTCTCATTATGTAGCCTCCTGTAAGAAGATCATCACAACAGAAGATTTGTATATATTTGATCAATTAATTGGAGATGAAATATCTTTAGGCTAACCGTTCAAGGGCATTGTAGTACTACGTTTATCACAAGGAACTCAAACATTTCTATTTCCTACCAGAGTACAAATCTTGTATACTTCGTAATGGAGGGAGTAGAAACATGGTACTGATTCCGGAATCTATTGTCTGATGATTTTATAATAGGTTACCAACCAGACCCTGTCCCCCTACGTTATAATATTTACATATATGTATTTTTGTGTGTATGCTTCTCTCTCTCTCTCTCTCCCTCTCTCACCCTCCCTCCCTCCCTCCCTCCATTCATCCTTTGTCCAAGTTATGTTGGCATGACTTTAAAATTTTAAGATGTTCCGTTTTTCTTCTCTGTTAACTTCTCGAACGCCAGGACTTAATAATCCCATATGCGCAGGAGCATAAAGTGTTCTGATACAACTCTTCCTTTGCTTCCTAAAGTGCATCACAGAGCTGCTAATGGCTCCCTTCATGCATGGGGGTCGATTCTCCTAAGTGGTATCTAACTTTCAGTTTGAAAACACTCTCCAGCGTAGATTAAATTAGGTTAATGTAATTATCAGTTTGATAACATATGTCATTTGTAATTTATGTTAAGCGGACTGGTCAAAGTTAATGCAATTTTATGAATGTTTATCCTTAATCAGTCCTCACGTGACTGGTTCAGTCACTGGAGCTTATAAAACTCAGATAGCTGAGTTATTTCAAATAAACTCAGATAACCTAGCCCAATTACAATTCTAGCCGGCTTTCATAACCGCCCTATAAATGATCAGAAATTGCGCATCTAACAGTGCCTGGTCCATCATCAGTCACAGCAATGTTTCCACTGGCACTCGAATCAGCCAGCTCAACACCAATGTGGACACCAGGTTTTCAGAAGTCCACCGAAGTATGGTCTCCTCTGCAACCCAGTATTATAACCAATGATTATGAAGGATACAGCTTGTGTTTCCTCAAGCTGGAATATCAACTCTGCCTATCTCTCTCATTCAAAATTCATCTCTCTCGATGTTAATATGCATATGTGAATCTAGAAAAAGGGAGCGCGCGCGGGTGAGCGGGAGATGGAGAGAGAGAGAGAGAGAGAAGAATAGAGAGATTACCCAGTCTGGAACAAGATTTAAAGAAAAAGGGCTTAGATACATCAATGTTTTCTTTAAGCGGCTGTCGACCTTCGTGTCTCTATCTATATAATCATCTATGTAGAGCTTGGAGGACGGAGAAATAGGCCACTCTCAACGAACCGAAGCACAGGAAAGGTCGTTTCTTCTGTCGACGAGGATGCAGAACGAGGGACCACCTTGGTAGAGGAACGACGTCTTTTTTGTTTTTAAAGATCAACGTGAAAATCTGCGCGTCCCCAGTGCCGAGGAACAGTACTCATTTAAAGATCAGCTACCCTTTTGTTCTGTAAGATCTGGTGGGCTCCCACACCCATTGCACAGAGGGAGAGAACTGAAACAATAGGCGAATTGAAACTTCCCTGCAGCTTCTCTTTATGGTGATTGGACGTCACATGGGAAACCCAGCGCACGGCGGAGGCGGAGAAAGCTAGCTGGCGTATTTACGAGATAATAGTGAACATCGTGGCCTTTTTTCGGCTGCTTGACTCCTCTCTCTCTCTCTCTCTCTCTCTCTCTCTCTCTCTCACACACACACACACACACGCTCGCTCGCTCTCGCTCTCTCCCTCTCTCTCTCTCTCACTATCTATCTATCCATCTCTATCTCTCCCTCTCTATCTATCGCTATCTCTATCTCTCTCGCCCGCTCGCTCTCTCTTTCTCTCTAATGCACGAAACTTCATCGAGCTCTATTTTCTGAGTTGCGACTACCCCAGCTCAATATTCAATCAATATTTCCTTTAACCGTTGAAATCGAGTTTCCCGGGTACAAGTGAAAATGACAGCGCTGAACAAGAACTCAAAGCAAGATGTTGTCGGGGAGAGAGAGAGATGAGCTCGAGAAAGGCAGAAGAGAAAGCACTGCTTAGGGTACGTTATCTTAATGAGCAACTCCCCCCTCCCCATTGAGAGGAGCCTATTTCCCAATGAATCCCCCTTCTCATAGTAACGTGAAGCCGTCACCCCCGTTGAATCTCCTGCGGATTCTTGCACCTGAAAGATACACAACCCACTCTACCCCGCCTCCAACGGTACAAAAACGAACAAGGAAACCACCGAGTAAAAGACCGGGTGAGACCGCTTTCGTTTTGCGTCCTTGCGTGTGCGAGCGTCACGTCGTCTCTGTGGACAGATAGACCCTACGGCCCCACCGAAAGACCCAATAAGCGGCCTAAAACTGATGTGGAAAAAACCGTTGTATTGAATACAGCTAAGCGTGATCAAGTTTATGATTAGACCATCAAGAGCACAGGAGTGTCAATCTGCCTTCTTAGATTGTATGAACAGGAAGGCGCTTGAGATGGATGGCTAGTGAGGTTCATCTCAAAGTAAAGGTGTGAGAAGACTAAATGTCAACGAAAAAATCTGGACTAGTGGGTCACGTTTCGGAGACACTAATTGTTGCTGTTCAAGAAAAAATTAAATTTGAATTGAAGATGGATTGTGCATATCGATAAGTTACCAAGTATATATTATGACTAGTTGATGTTCTATCCATATGATCCACTCATATTCCGAACACTTACTGCTCGCCGATTTACGAGTTACCCAAATTGTTAACTCATCTAGCAAGCATCAGTTAGTAACCGATTGAGCTATCCAAATGACAAATTATCATACGAACAGTGCAAAAACCTAGTATGGGCCACAGATATGATCAACTCATCTCACGAACAATGTCAAACTGTATGGGTGTATATGCCTAGATTTATTTGTCCTATCAACTTGCACGACTGAGTAGCAATTGAGATCTCCATAGGATCGCGTCATCTAAAAAATATTTAGTATTAACTGAGTAATTAGCTGTGCATTTGATAAGTTCGTCTCCGACGCAGTAAACAACTGTTCAATAGTTCCACCAACGCTATTAAACTCTGGATGAAGTAAATAGACGAGAAGCGCATCAAGCATACATGGAAATGCCCTTTACAACGTTCGTTACCGAGATATTTGTACTGTTAAAAAGAAAAACGACTCTCACGTCCCACAAACTGAAATATAGTACACATAACTTCTAAACATTCTATATTTGTCGGCACATATGAAGTTGAACTGACTTCAAACGTCATTCAGCGTTAACTTGCCAGGGTGTGCTGGGTTGGGTTGTCTGGGGGTAGGCGGACGCATGTGAGCTTCTTGCCAGTATCCGCAGTGATGTCTCCATCCTGGTGGACGGCTGAAGCTTTCTTTGTACACGCATATTGAGGCCTCGACTCCTCCCGTTTTATTCCAGTTACAGAACCCTCCCGGTCGCCATCTGTCGTCGGGATTTCTCCAACCTTTCACGTCGCAAGTCCTAGGACCCCTTTTTCATCGGTTACTACATTAAAAAGATATCTCCAAACATGTACTTACGATAACAATGGGCCCTTGGCCTTCGATCATGGATCTCTTGCGATCGTTCACTGCGGCCGGTGCGCCACGTTCATGGAATCAAAGTACGTTGGGCAGGCAGAAGTAGGAGAGAAGGATGCAGTTGTAGCAGGATGAGGGGAAAAGGATGAAGAAGAAAGGGAGGGAGGGTAGGTTGCAGAGAGAACGCGTGATTTCTTATGCCCTCACCTCCGGAAGAAAAAAAGCGCCAGCAGTCATTAGTTTGCTTTGTTCTAGGAGCTGTGGTGATATGATAAAGGCATGCTTTACATAGGTGGCGGTGGGGTCCGCAATCCTTGGTGATACTGCCCTCACTGTCGTGCTGCTGGTAGTGTCGTACGTTTCAGTGCTGCTGCTGCTGCTGCTGCTGCTGCTGCTGATGCTGCTGATGGTTAGACACCACCGGCAGCAGCAGCAACAGCAGCAGCAGATCAAATAGGATACGCGAGAGAAAGAGGTAAAAGATGAATTATCTTATGGAACCCAAAATCTGAACATATGGAATGACGGAGATGAGACGTCAATGGAGTGGAGAGAGATGGTAGGTAGGGCGGCTCCCCAGAAAACCCTAGAAAGAAATTACCTTCAGTAAATCTGACAATAAAGTTATCTTCATTACAATCTCATGCCTTGCATCTTTCGTATGATAGGAGAAGTAAAAGAGGCCTCCAACTGAATCGTTATTGACTATTAGTTTACTGGACTCTTGATAAATAGCTTAATTGACTTAACACTCTGCTAACAATTGCTACAAAGCGAATGTTTTGTAAAATAAAATAAAATCGAGGAAATTAATCATCTAAGATTATTTTTTTGCTACTATCTAGGCAGCATCATTATCTATGATCTCTCTCTTCCTCCTCTATCTCTCTCTCTCTCTCTCTCTCTCTCTCTCTCTCTCTCTCTCAATCCCATTCCCTGGCCCCGTCAACTTTGATCTACTTCAGTCTCGCTTTTTTCTTGATATGTCAGATTTATTTCATCAAGTAACTCAGCACATTTTTCCTGACGGTTTTAAGGGAGGAAAATTAAAAAACGAAGTTTTATTTCTAAAATTGAACAAAACATCTACAGGCTCATTTTTATAAAATCCATTAACAAAGCTTGGGGCTCCAAACCGCGTCAATAGTTTTCCAATCCTATAAGATAGGGTAGAATATTGTGTGCGCAGATGATAAGCGTGTGAGGAGGTACATTTGGAAGCAATAAACAAGGGGATAGAGAGAGAGAGGGATAGGAGGGGAAGAAGGGAGATTGTGAAACACGAAGAAAGAAAGAAGAGTAGAGAGAAAGGGAATCAGGAATAGAGAAAAAAAGGAGAGAGAGAGAGAGATAGAGAGTTATAAGGGAAGGAAGAAGTAAAAACACAGGGGCAAGCATATGGAGGGAAAAATAAGAGGGAGAGAGAGAGAGAGAGAGAACAAAATAGTAATAATGCATTGACAGTCTTCAAAATTAGAACCCAGAGGGGAAAAAGCAGACATGAGAATAAAGTAGACAACAGGGGAAAAAGTGAGCAATATGAATATCGAGAGAAAATATCCTAGAAGGTACAAATTAATCTATATGTCTGAATTTATTATTTTTGAGATATTTATTTGAACCAATCGACACAACTATACTGTGATTTCATCACAAAAAATATTCAAGAATACCATAAGCATCTCACGACATAATTCAGAAACTCCAATTTCTGGAAAATTCATAGTTTCAACGTCAAGTCAAGCTTTGAGCTATTGTAAGGCTTATTTTACAACATATTGAAAATTTTTAATAATATCTTCCTAAATTAGAAAAGAAAATTTGAAAAAGAGCACGTCAAAGGTATAATCAAACTTGGGGCAGAGGTTCAGTGTTCACAGAAATTAGAGCTTCAAAGGTGCACTTGAGGTGAGACTTAAATCTTGCAAAATTCACATATATTTTGTTTTCTAGTGTTGCACTAATTTTTTTCTTGCTGAATTTTTTTAATAAATATTTCATGTTGTTTTGGTCATAATTTAAGGATCCTCTTCAACCGTTCCAAGAATGGCATTAAATCTCATTGGATTCCCCTTTTATTTCAGATGAAGCTAGAGATGTTAGCAGCTATTAAGGGATCCTTGACACCTACTATTTGATAAATCCCTCTATTTTATAACTAAGATAGAGGTGCAAGCATTTAATTATATATCATTGACAGCTACTCTTTAACAAATCCTTAAGTTCAACACTTTGGTTGACTTTATGTAATCTTGTGTTCTAGATCTAATGTATACATAGGTTGATGGGTGCCAACACAACAGTTGACATTTTTCTTTAGGATTACATTTTTTCACCTAGAAAAACTAATTTTATACACAGGTTTGACCATGGAAAATACCAAGTATCAAACTTTATGAAACTAGCCCAATTTTTACCTATCTTTTGTCTTTTGAAAACTGCATTTTTTCAGGTTCAAGATATCCTTGTTGAGTGGTGCATTGAAACTATATGTTTTTTATTATTATTTATATTAATTTACAATCCATCCAAGTCAAACTAGTGCTCTTATCTACACTAATGTAATCAAATTGTCATTTTGTATTGTTATTTTGAAATAAACACTCGTGGGTATTCTTTTGAAGATATATAATGTTAAAAGAGACAAGTCTATTAAATTTTAAAAAAATCCTTTTAAAAACAATTTTTAAGTTGCATGATTTTCGCCCCTATGAAGTATATTATCTCACTTTCCTAGTTAAAAATATGTTGCAATTGCTATCAACCACTGAAATTTCAAACATTCTGATCATTCAAGTGACCAGAGGATCAAAGCCTCTTTAGCCTTTTTTTCTAATTAAAAGTGTATGCCATCTATTCTAGGAAACTAAACCAGACAAAAAATAGACAACAATACATGATCTTGGTTATGGTGATATTCCCAATTCATATTTTTACTAGTATGATGAAAATTAAAATAAAATTGGCATAATGATCAAGCAAAGAAAGAACAACGTTTTTGGGCTGACCACTATTGGTCTTAGATATTAAGGATCCTTACAATCTCCATGTTTCTTGACAAATCTAATAGTTCACCAAGAACAAAGTTCTCCAAGTTGTCTGAAATGTACCTTCTGACTATTGATCAATGATGTGAATCATGAATTTTCATCTCTTAGGTTATGAAGAAATTTGTTTTGATCCTTTTTATCCATAGAAAATATCCTAGATTGAAGTTTTGCTAAGTTTAAATGGCACATGATCTGTAAATAAAACATTTCATTTCCAAGATATTTATGTCTTTTCATACACAGAAGTCATTTTCCAGTTCATTAATTTTCTCAAATATTAAGTCATATCAAGAAAAAAACTTTCACTTAAGTGCATTACATCATACAACATGTTATCACTGAAAATATATTTTTTCCACCCACCAACCTCAAGTAGTTTACATTATTAATCAGTAACTATTCTTCGATGTTGGTGCGGAACTCAATGTCTAACATCATACTAAATGAGATTCTCAAAAAAGTATTTTTGATTCATTCAAGCTTGAAACAAGAAACAGGTGTTTATTAGATTTTTATGGCCAATAAACTCTCTAATTTTTATGCAGTTAACTTATATTGATTTTTTTAATTTTTGATGGTAAAAAACGTCACATTATTTGAAAAATGTGTGGAATGAAAGAAATTGATACCTTTGGAAAAGGTGAAACAGCCACATAATAAATTAATGAAATTTACAACTATTATGATATAAGATTCAACATATTGATAAAATAGAAAGCCCAAACTATAGAGTTGAACATATATTAGCAATGGGTCAATGCCTATTAACTAAATACAAACGACATGGTTTGACACTTTTGGATGAAATATAAAGTGAATATTAGTATAATGAAATAGATGTGTTGATCACTGTCACCAAAAGAGAAACTAAGAGAAAATAGAGTCAAACATAATGAGACCACTGAAAATTTAAGATATAAATATCAACACCATAAGGTTAACAACATGGCATATATAACTGCCATTAGTTGTAAAGGACTGGCACACATTTAAATGTTGGAACCTAAAAATTCCATAATACTTATTGAAAATAGAAAACTACTATTATTACATAAATCCTGCAATCTTTCTATTCTTATAGAAAACTTCAAAAGCTGGTTTGTGAACTATATGAAAACTTTAAACCATGAAAATCATATAAAGTTGATTAAAGAAAAGATACAAAAACTTGAAAAATATTTCAGTTCTCACCGTGGTTATAATTGTATTGTACACACTCTTTCATCTACACATACATTACCCTTCAATTCTGGACCTTATCCAACTATGGTGTCCATTATGAGTAGAATCATAAAAAGCACTTAGGGAATAAATGATCAAAAGTAATTAACCATTTCATAAATAAAAAATAAAAAAAATATTGAAATATTCCATAATTAAATAATATTGGATTGGTATTTAATTTTTAAATATGAATATATAAAATTGTATTTTACCTATCCGAATTTAAGATATTCATTTAACAAGATTTTAGAATTTTATGTGGAATTCTTTTTTAGAATGTTGGGTAATGTTTCCTTAGTTAAATACTTATTTCACTATTTTTTTCAATTAAAGTGATTCAAAATAGTTATCTTATATAAAAAGTCCTCACCAATGCAAAGTACCTTTTATAGTGTGTGACCAAATCAACATCATACTGGTATATCCAATGCTCAGATAATTTGTTAAAACATGGTTATAATTATTTTATAAATATACTATTATTATTGATATCAATCGTGGCCAAAGTGAGGCACGATGATGATAATTATTTAGATGTATCAAATTACTAAATTAATGGTGTGGTGATGAGGCATTCCTAGAGAGCTCAAATTTTTTTATACTATATTCTAGATATTGATGTATGTTAGCAATAGTCCTAATTATCAATGGAATAAAGAAATCAATAAAATGCAATGTAAATAGTGAATTATATTTACTTAAGTATTTTTTTTAAATGTAGTTTTATAATTAGATATTCATGTTACACAAAAAATGTAAGAAATATGTTCAAGGCCTAAGGTTAGCTCATTTTTGCACAAAAATTAGAAAAAAAGAAGTGGACTCAAGCCCATTAGACATAGGGTCCTATCAACTATGGTTATTGCAAAGAGACATGGGGAATGGTTGGGGATAGTACAACTATTCCGAACAAACATGAGCATGGTGTCAGCGACAATATAACTTCACTAGGTTAAGCTTTTACAAGGACTATGACCTTATTTTTAGTTAAAGACGTTTTTATTCAAAGTTCAGAAAAGACCCACATATCAATCTGAGTTTTAACATTAAAGTAATCATTCACACCTCCTAAAAATAAATTAATCGCTTTAAATTTATTTACATGATGGATTTGAACAGACAAAACTGTAAATTTGACGTCATAGAAAGCGTGACAAGGTCTGGTTTGTAAACTTGAGAATTACTCGCCTGAAATAGTTGCACTACGTGGGCATATATGCAGTTATTTGTTTAATGAGGGATTTTGAAAGTTCCAAAAATGTTGATCCATTTCTCTGAAATTTCGGGCTGCTTTCTTATCATCTCCTCTCTGCTTCATCCTCTTCGCAGGCGACGACAATGACCGCTTCCCTCGGCTCTGCGCTCTCCATCCCTCACCACAGCCCCGGTAAGACCCATGAATTATCTCTCCCCAGGAACCCATCCTACTGCTCCTGCCTAGCCTCGAACAATAGACTCCACCCGTCTCGGAGGTCCCGTCTTGTCAGCAATGGCAGCATCCTCGGACGAGTTGGCGCAGTCTTCAGAGGGAACCTGTCGGAGGCTCCTTCACGGACGAAAAACTACGAGGTATCCGAAACCTGCTTCTGGAGAATTTTCTCCGTAGACAATGTAATGTGCCCTCTGTTTATTGATTCATCAATCCAACTTCGGCTAGTATATATATGCTTATCAGTTAACGCTGACTTGATACGCTCCACGACTGCAGTGCCTGTTTTATTACCGCGGCTGTTAATAATCAAGACCTGATGGTTAGGTTATGTGATAAGCTTGATTCACTTTATGGGGATAAGGCTAATGATAGGTTGATAGCTCAAATTTTGAATTGGTAGCGGAGAAATTGGGTCAGGGAACGGATTAATATTGTTTACATTGAGGATTCTCCGGCGTATATTTTACTAACCTGGACTTGGATTCCAATCCGGCCGATTCTGACAATCAGGGTTATATTGAAGAACAGCAGTTGGACTCGTGTGAGTCATCTCTATACGGTCATCGTTCAGTACCTGAAACTGTGTAAGGTTTAGAAAACGGATTTCATGAAATGGTTCTAGAGATATGTCTTCAGTTTTTTCATTTTTTTATATTCCTAGTGGACCAATTTCCTTTAGAGATAGGACTCTAAAGGCACAAGAGGATCTTTTGGAATTGTTATTATTATTCACCTTAACGTGCCACTAGTTGTGCCTGTGAGATATGCAAAAGAGAATTCCGAAATGAAAACTCACAGGAGGAAACTGCTAAGCCGTTGCCTTTTAGTGCGCAATGGATGTTGGAGAATCATCATGCACGGTGGTCTTTCCAGCTTTCTGTCATGAGATTGAAGCAAAGTAATTTCTTGTGAGTTTGGGATATTCCATTTATTTCTCGTTTTTGTTTTTGTTGTCGTTCCAGAATGACATGACATAGGCCCAGGTCAGCCCACAAATTTTACTCCATGGAATCAGTATCCAAAGATTTTACTTATTCTATCCATGTAATTATCGAACTAGACATAATGTTTTGGACAGTTCTCTGACGGTGGCGCAGAAGTGGAGCTGAGGCTGGATCTCATGGCAACCAATGCGCAAAGCTTCAGAGATGTTTCGGTTGATGTGGATGCATCCTCCTTGATAGTCAGAGTTCAAACCTCTGCTTCTCTTACTACCGTATTTGAAGCCCACCTTCTATACGATAAGATAAAGCCCTCCGAAACAATATGGTTGGTAGCTAGTGCGCCCTATTTTCTCGTTAATTGTTGATATTTTTCTGCAGTTTTACCCTGAGGAGTTGTCTCATTCACAGGTTTGTAGACGAGGAGCAGCTGGTAGTGAATTTGAAGAAGTATGATGTAGATCTGCAGTGGCCCGATATTGTGGAAACTTGGGGATCTCTTACCGCTGGAGTTCCAAAGCTTCTGAAAGGAGCATCGATTTACATTGTCGGAGAATCCACGGAGATAAACAACGACGTTGCTGCAGTACTGGCCGATGGTATTGGGTATGAACCCCATTCTTTCATTCCATGTTCCTATTAGACAGGATTGGTCCTCCACGCTTTCAAAGATTTTAATTCAGACTATATTTTTAAGTTAAATCTTCCATGATCACTCGTGTAGAGTCATGGTGATTAATGGCCATATTTCTTTGGTCGCCTTACAGATTAATAGGCAGATCTAAATTTCATTGATCCATATTTCTTTGGTTGCTTTACCTTTTGGTTATTTACTATCCTACCGATTTCATCGTAAAAGTGTGCAAAATAATCTGATTTTTCGCATATCCTTCCTCTTCTAATTTATTAAATTTGAACTGTTCTTCTAATTTATTAATCTGATGTTTCACGTTTGATATTCAATTTCCATGGTGTATCGCTTCTCTCAGACTATTTTCACATACTGTCGATGGTGTGAAAGTTGACTTCTGACGTAAATCCTTCCAAATTGTAAGCATTTAGTTTTCCTTTGTCGGTGGGATGGATATTCACAACCATTTTCTGCCTGAACTTCCTGTTAAGGTTTGTGATCATCTCCTTATCAATTCTAGCAACAATCACAGCATTCTGAACTTCGATCAAATCTTTTTATTGATCACAACCAAACCAATCCTCAGACTTCTTCGATCCTCCCATCTTGATCCAATCCTCAGACTTCTTATTTTATGAAAGCAAGCTTAAAAGAGTGTTTCTGGAAAAAAAAAAAAAAAATCGTAGTCATAATTACTCAAAACAAGGGTAGAGCAAAAGGATAATGGTCTTGAATTCACAGTAGAGAATATAATTACATGGTCAAATTTGACTCTGGGTCTCGACTGATCTTAAATGGTGGAAATCCGTATCTGTAAATCAATCCCATTGTATCTCTATACCATATTCATAAATCTGATGCGTACGAAACCCATAGGCTTGGGTAAAGTCAAATAAATCGATCTGACTATTCATGTCAACGTGCTGCTCTACTGTGGTTTCAATATTCTCGAAAAATTTAATGCATCATATCTTATGCTAGTTGAGCCTAAATAGTTCTCGCTATCGGAGGTTCTCTATCCGACTGAAAATGCTAATCTCCCTGAAAAATGGTTTTATGCCAATCTGCTGAATCACTATTCACATATGATGCACTTTGATGCGTGTGGCTCTGCAGATACACTCCGCTAAGCACCGGTCAACTCCTGGAGAAGTATGCTCAGCAATCCATTGATTCATGTACGCTTCCTTCCCCCTCTGGCGCCAGTTGCACTTACTGCTGTTCTCCGGTTGCTGTCAAACCTTGTACATGCAATGATTGTGCATGGCAACTAATTTTGGCACGATTTCAGAGCATTGATCTTTCCCACGACGCCACTGCTTTCGGCATAGACGCCTTTGGTCTCATGGGACCCACCCGATTACGAGTCTCTCTTCGTGGCTGATCTTGCAGTTCGTTGACAAGCGTATTAATCAATTCCAGGGGTCAACGCTGAGGGGGAAGACTCTGTTGCCGAAGCAGAGTGTGCTGTGATAGAGGGTCTCAGCAGGTTGTGACTATTATTAGGACATATTTTCATCGCAGTTGCCTTTTATTGCACGGGCGCTGAATAACACTGTTCACCAGTCACGTCCGTGCTGTGGTCGCCACACTAGGAGGGCAGCAGGGAGCTGCTAGAAGAGCCGACCAATGGCGGCATCTCTATGCTGGATTTACCGTGTGGCTGTCGCAGACTGAAGCTAGCGGTGAGCGCCTCTTGCCGGGTTTTAAGCATCAACCATGGGGATCTTCATGTCCTCCTGCATTCAACAGCCCCTCTGTTCTTGCCTTCACTTCATGTGGGCGGGGGGGTTGACTTTATTGGCTGACTTTGTGCACGCGAGCAGATGAAGCTTCAGCGAAGGATGAGGCAAGGCGGCACGTACAGAGCGGACAATGGGGCTACTCAAACGCCGATTTGGTGATCAAGTTCGCAGGTTGGGAACCAGGCTGTGGTCAGCCCATTGCTCAGGCTAGTCTCAGCGCCCTCAAACAGTTGATTCTTTCAGATAAGCAACTACCAGGTACGCCCACGCGCCTCCTCTCACTTTTTAGCCCAATTTAGTGTGTTTTGACTTTACTCAGTTTATGCATGTGGATACAAGAGTTTACTTCTCTATTAGTTGACTTTCCGGTTCTTGTTCCTTTTTGACTCATTCAAGAGAAGAAGAGTCTTTACATAAGGCTAGGTTGCCGCGGGGACTGGCCCAACATCAAGCCTCCCGGCTGGGACCCTTCAAGCGGAGCAGATGCCCCACCGGTGCTCTGAAGGCCTGCTCTATTCGTTGACCCTGTCTCGAAGATATTATTAGAGCTCCCCCAGCTGATCTTCCTTGTTTGTTCTTCAGCCCACTCCATGGTTCAGCTCTCTCTCTCTCTCTCTCTCTCTCTCTCGCGATCCATCATTTTCCTTCCATTCATGTTTTCAATGGCCCACCCACATATTATTTCCCTTTATCCAATTAATAGGAGGGAAGAAGAGATCTCCCCGTGCAGATGTGATCTATGTGTGCATCATTTAGCAAGCTCCCTCCTCTCAAAGTTGCTGACCTTGATGAAACCCCACCAAAACTGCACTACGTCAACTTAATCCTGTTATACAACTCCATGACCGAGCAAATTCAACTATTCTATAAGTAGATACATACGCACACACATATACACTATATATGCATATATATATAGTGTGAGAGAGAGATGATGATTATGTGGTTTAATGAAGAGATTTCAAAGATGAGACTTTTGACTTTAGAGCCGGCGCTATACAACTGAATACTTTCTCCATAGACGGAAACTCGGGCACTAGGAGCGGCTGATCATAACCTGTATGCATCTGATCGCATGCCGGGTGGGGGATTCTCTCTCTTCCCCAGTCCTGGTCCAGGGCCAGGGAGTGAGTGTGGTTCAGTCCCTCACCTTAGCCGCAGCCTCCTTGATCTGTTCAATGGTGAAGACGCCGAAGAACCCATCATCCACCACGGCGTTGACCACGGCAAAGGCGACATCATCAACGCTGACAGGTGGCGCAAGAAGAAGATCAGACGCTGGAAGAGAGCTCAGTGGCCGGGTGAAGTTCTGCGCCGCACTGAGAAACCGCTCCAGCGGCTCCCCCACGAGATCAAGCGGGATCTCATAGCCGTCAACTTTCCGCTTGCCGTATATGAACCCGGGTCTCAATACAACTCCTGTGTTTGCAAAAAACAATGCATAACATAGTCAACTGGAGAGAGAGAGAGAGAGAGAGAGCGAGAGAGAGAGAGAGAGAGAGGAATTTGAGTAGGCACCTGAGTTTGGGTACTTCGAGAGGACCTCCGATTCAGCGCTCCGCTTTCCTGTGAAGTAACCTGAGGAGAGCAAGAACGAGGGTAGATTGTAGTCGTGCACAGAGATGAGGATGAACTTGGGGACACCTGCAAGGGCAAAACAGAAGAAACTTCATCTTCAGAACGAAATGATGAGCACCGGCCCCTCCTCCCGCCATAACCTCCCTCCATTATGGGCGAAAGAAGAACAGCAGGATCTCTCTGATGATCTAGCTCTAGTAGCCAGTCCACATTCATAAGCGCTTGAACTCGACGATGAATCATGGCGCCTGCGTCATCAGCATCTGAGAGGGTGTGGTGAGATAGCTAGGACCCTAGTGACGAACAGATAAGACACCTCCACCCATTACAGATAGAGTGGAAGAGCTCGCTCTTCTTAAGACTCTGATGAGTTAGGGTTACAGAGGTTGTTCGGTTGGCATAACTTTCCCCTATGACACGCACTTAAAGAAACCCAAGTTGAGTAGGCTCCAGTGTGTCTGTTGGCGGAGAGAGACTACAAAACTGATAGCTATCTAATACTATTTGGCTAACAGTGAGAAGTCATGATATGGAAAAAATAATATTAAATAAGATTGAAAAAAGGAATACTGAAAATTCTGCCGCTGAACACATTGTTTGAAACGATTTCCCAGCTATGAAACAGAAACGATCTACAATGTAGAGGAAATGCGAGACAATATTGGGAACAATTTTTCAATAACCAAAAAAAGGCAGCACATTTAAAACAGCGCCACATACGACCGTCAATGATACAAACCAATTACACGTTTTAGTTTATTCTTGAATTCCTGCGTTCTTGACTCTGGGAGCATAAGATTAGAGAGCTATATAGGAAGGTGAGGTATGAGGACCTTTAGGACGTTTGCCAAAATTGAATGGCCATGCGTCCATTCAATCAGGTAATCTCCCAGAGACGAAAAAAGGATCGTCACCTCCCACCTCCTCCCCCAACCTCTTTTACTTTAATCAGGTAATCTTCTCACTTAGACGACGGTTTCTCCTGAGAACAAAATCCTTTGCTTGATTCATAGCTCACAGGCTTTCAAAAACTGCAGAGTTTTTTATCTGGTTTGCAGCTGTTATCGATGAGGATAAACACAAGTTAGCTAGTTGATACCATTTGAATCACACCTAGCGGGCATCATAGGACACCAGTTACTTAATTCAGTTTTTATCAAAAATTTAGCATTCCTTTTCCAACAGGAACAACGATGCACAAGAAACTGTTTCATATAGTATTAATCAGCCCCCCCCCCCCTCCCCATGCTAAGCATACCCAAGCAATCATAAACTAGTAACAACTGCGTCAAGATTGAGCATTTAAAATCCTTTAGTCAAGATGTATACTTTTGCAGCACGAAAAATAGTTGTATTTAATAGATTGAACACGAGCGCACGTGAAAGTGAATAATACCGTACCAAAATCTTTGGCAGCACCAACAGCCAAGACATTTGCTTCGCCATTTATCTTCTTCATCTGCTCCTCACTACCAAAGCCTCCCAGAGTAGAGACCACAGCAGTTGCTCCCACTAGCACCTCATCCCAATTCAAATAGAAAGCATCTCCTGCATGTATTGAGCCGTTTGAATGAATGCAGAACTTACTCTGAAGAACTATATACGAGAGAATTGTTCCAGACCATTGATTGTCTCAAACAACACAAAATAGGATTACACGCAGCTAATCACAGATATAGTCCATTGGACCACCATCATGATTCCAGAAACTAACTGATGACTTGACTAATTGACAACAGACAAGAGGTTCATCACAGTCTTACTGGATAACACCGTGGCAAAATAGTCCTGTATCCTTAAAGGTTGACCATAAGCATGCTTGATTTCAAATTTCTAAAGCAAGTGATAGCGTTCCCAGTGTCAGAAGAGAAGCCAGAGGATTTCATGAGTTAACCAAAATCTAAAACAAGTTTTTTCAAAAGTTTAATCAGCAAGATCCCTAAGGATGCCTTTTAAATTGCATTATTGTTCTAAAGAACGGAATAATATGGTAATTCCATTCAATCTTAAAAAAATAACCATACATAATATGTAGGCGGGTGGAGGGCAACAGTGTTGTAATGGAGGTGTCTCTACAATGTGAGAGCATGTGACGCAGAGTAGACATTACCTTCCAGTAAGGAACTGACACAAACATCCACATTCCTTTATCTCTTATTTATTTTAAATGAATTTGAGAAACTATCAACACAAAAAAAAGGGAAGATGGCAGAATACAATAAGCTGAACATGAAATACAAACAAGCTTAATTCTGACAAGCAGAAACAACAGTTCAAGCGCCTAAAATTAAAAGGCAATGCACCAAGCATCATTTGGTCGAGCTGTGCTTCTTATATTGATCATATTAGTCGACTATATGAATAGTTGGTAGTGTGAGATTATACATGAGCTGGACCATCATGTCATTCTGTTCACAACTATAATTCTGTATACTCGTATGTTAAGCAACAAAATCTTATATTACCACTGTGGCAAAAGACACATGAACATCCATGCCAAAAGTCCAAACAACCATCAAAAACCAACTTATCCAAAGCAAGATAAATAATTTTACAGATAGCAACGATAGAAAATATATAACCATAAAATTAAATATTCATATCGAGATAACATCATCGAAGGTAAATCAAACAAAGGTATAGGATTGTACCTACTACCCACGTGACCTGATCTACCCAGGAATCCGAATAAGAAGCCTTCCCAGACCTGTAATAATTATTTAATACTTTAAGCACTGACCAGTATAGAGAACAGAATATGAAAGCGTGAATTTCCTCCCTTTATCCTCATTAGAATACGAACGTTATACAAAACCAGAGAAAATTATCCCCTACCTCATGAGATGCAATATGAGACGAAAAATGTCAAATATGATACAGAGTTATTAATTAGAAAAGAAAGGCTTTAAAGACCTGCTGACGCTGACCACTTCTATGCCCTTGGAGATTGCAGCCTTGCATATCGCAGAACCAACAAATCCATTGCCTCCCAGGACCACAATCTTCATAAATTGTATAGTCAGAGCTTGGATAAGTAGGTTCCAGTAAATAGTCATCGAAGGAGATCCAGTTGAAGTTCCAAACTCTCACCCTTTCAGTCTTCACCTCTGCATCAACATCTATGGGAACAGAAGAGAAATTCTCCCCCACATTAGATGTTGCATAGCTACATCTGACACACAATCTGTCCAGGGAATGGGACAAATATTTCAGAAAATATTTCACAATCTTTACTCACCCAGAAATGGGACTGTCGCAACGTTCTCCATCAAAAAAGAAAAATTACAAGAATCATGTTCCAACTCTACATTGCTTTGGTTGTCTTATTATTATAGTAGTTATAGAAAATATAAAAATAAACTATCTAGGTATAATTAAAATTATTTAAATGTCCCTAAACTTGTTATTACTCTTATTTATCTTCAGGTTCGTGAACAAAACCATCGCCCCTCCCCACCCATCTTACCCTCTTTGTACATCTTTGAGCATTCAATGTTGTGTAAGGCTCTCAGTGGCGTGGGCCAGACCTTGCCAAATCCAAACATCTATTACAAACCCCAAACCAAACCTGGGCGTGTAGACATAAGCCCGGAAAATGGACTCCGAGTCAGAACCTATGAAGCCTAGGCCTGATCATAAACGTGTAGGCACGAAAGGACCACAACAGCAGTGAAAACCTATCCTAACCAAAGAATCCAATTTCTCGTAGAATAGAGCTTTTCGGACTTCTAAGTCTGAATGGGAAGAAGAGGTAGTATGGGTTCTCTGATTGGGATGAGGAGAGGGAAAAGAAAGGAGGACTTCTCTAGTTAGAGAAGGTAAAGGGAGAGGAGGATGATTTGGGCCCATCTTTTAAGAATAGGGGGGGTGTAGGAGGTCGAGTTGACTGCAGGGAGATCAGGATTCCTTGAGGTAGGACAAGGATACGAGAGGAAGGAAGAGTTGTCTAATTCGAGGAGAGAAGAGAAGACAAGGAGGAGACTAGATCGATGCAGAGGAGGGCATGAGGAAGTGGAGGGGTGGACAGGATGGGGATTAGGAGTTCTTAAGAAGGGGGAAAGGTGGAGGGGGAGAGAGAGAATGATAGGGAAGTGAGAGGAGATGGCGGCAAGGGTGGGGGCGGACAGGGAGAATGGGGTGGGCCAAACACCAACCAAGATCCCACTAGATCAAATCGTATTCAGGCCAGGCCAAGTATACTTAGTCCATTGATACCCCTCCTGTTGAACTTACTTTTATCTCCCCAAGGTCTTTAACATCCAACTAGCATCATACGATAAGCATAGCAGTCACAAAATCAGCTTTGATCATTTAAATAAGTTCATACCGACACGAAATTTTGAGTGCTTCACTTTGTAAGAAAAATCACATAAAAACTTTGATTCTTTAAGTCATTTAACACTTTAGCCTCCTATAAATGGGCTTTCATGGAAAATGATTTTACTCTATTAGAGAAAATTGCAAGTCATAAAAGCTACAAAAATTAATCTTTAAGAGAAAGACAGAAAAAATATTAACATTTTTTTGACATAAATACTCCTTAAAAATTTTCTCAAAGATGGTGCACAAAAATAGAAAATTACGAGGTGGAATCTAGTTAACTATTTAACTGGACATGAAGAACCCACCATATAAATGTAGTCCAATCTCGGAACATAACAAATTATCATGAATTGGAACAGTATCTTATTTCAGAAAACCTTTCATAACTACTAAGGATGACCATAGAGAAATTTTCAAGTGGAAATCAAAACATAAGTGAAGCAGGATAATCTGATTGCGAGTTAAGCCACCACAAAAGACCTAGAGTTCGTACAAATGTAAAAATATTTTTTCTTGATATATCCAAGTAAACTCAGACTTAATTGATGCTGGCTACTAGGTATTCTATATTTTTTATCAAAATCCTAACTGATTCCCAAAGCGTATCCATCTCCACAGGAGTTTTGGGTGAACCATGAAGAGGCAAATGGTGAAATATCATAAACATGAAGTGAAACTGAAGAATAAAACAATTATTGTCCATTGGGATAGTAAGAAATTCAAATCAAACCATCTTCAATGATCCACCTCCTGGATATCTATCTGTATCTTGTACTTTTTATGATGAAGAAAAAGAAAAGAGAAGCAAAAGTCGTGTTACGTTCAACAATTGGAGAAGGAAGTGGGTTAACATATATTGAACCAGACAAAATGATGTGTGAGTGAAAGTACCCGTCAGAGGAAAATTAGTGACGTGCAACCAATTGTCTTAGCATAACGAGAAGCTATACTCATTAGTCATGGGTCAGGTACAACTAAAAGTCTTGAATGAGCAAATCATCAAATACCCCATGCTACATTGGTAAAACATCTCACATTGTAGCAATAAATAACGAAAATGTATGCATGAATTAATTAATGAGACATATCAGCAAGCTTTTCCTGTACAATTAACGTCTTTAATGGAATGTAGTCTTCGCCACCAGGCCTTCTCTAATGTCAGCGAAAAAAGGACACATGGCCGTTAAGTACCATATGTACTTACAATACCTTCGATTCATCCGAAATTTCAAAATATAGTATCCTTGTATAAATATGATAACTTGAGAGCAGGACTCTGTTAAGGCTTCCATACTCTAGAAGGATAGAAAAATCCACGACATCCTCAAGCATTTTGTCTCCGACCTTCAGAAAATAATACAGGATGAAGGTATAAAATTTGACGTCCCCATGAAGATCCTGATGTTCCAGTTCGGTTGTATCCAAATGATCAAGAGGATGATGATCTGACTACCTGAGGACCACGAATTCAATTGCCACGGGAGAAAGATAATGTTCTAGATATTTGGGCTGATTAGACACTCGTTGAGCTCTATGTTGACAGACACTAGAAATATGTAAAACATGGGGGGAGAAATGGGAAACCAGAAAACGTCATCCCCAAAGTATTATCAGCTTAGATTAAAAAAGGCTTCTCAGTCAGGAAGGCGTTTATATCGTCAGGTAACTCATTGCCCTACCCATCAATAAGTAAAACTTACCTAAGCTAATCAAGTTTCTTGGGAAAAAACAACTTCTTACTGTTAACACAAAACATTGTATCTGAATAAACCTCGTTACAACTCATCTAAAGCAAAAAAATGTAACGATCACAGCAGTACTCAACAGACCTCAGGCCAACTTATACATAATGTGTTCTAGAATCCAAGAAACACATTTAAATGGATCCTTACGTCCTCCTCCATGCGCCAAAAGCCGAGGAAAATAACGAATTGAACATCAGCGGACATTTTGCAAAAATGATACGAGATGATGACTATTGGAAATCTGGATCATGTCACAGTTAGTTCTAACGATTTCTCATCTCCAAATTTGTCCACGTTAAAAACACTTCGATAATGCCGTAATGAATGGAAACAAACTTAGCAGTGAGCTCAGGCACAACAGAGAGTAAGAGAGCTCAAAACCTGAGAGACCCCAACGAGGGGGGTGCCCCATGCGGCATCACCACCGACCTACACGGCACAACGGGTCTCCTCGTAGGAAGTGGAGGCCCGGAGAGCTGCCCGGAGAGGGAGGAGACAGCGGCGAAGGACGATGACATTGCTGCGGCGGTGACGGCGGGAAAAAAGCTCCGCGTAGTTGAGCTGACGCAGTGCGGAACACAGAGGAGCTTCTGCTTCTCTCTCTGTATCTGTCCCCCTTCTCTCTCTTTCTCTCTCGATTTTTTTACGTGGACGGCTTAACACGGCCTCACTCTTCTACACAGATGGAACGTGGGACGGACAACGTGCCACGTATCAGAAGAAGCCAGATCTCGTGTTTCTGGCCGTTAATCACGAGATCCTCCCAAAATGGACGGCTAGATCAGATAGCGCGGCTTCCTCCCATTTTTCGTGAGATTCTCAGCTCACCATAAATAAATAAAATCCTGAACCTAGTGAGCCCATTGAGCCCAAAACCGACAGGCTGCCCGGCCCAATTTTTTTCCGGGCTTGAGCCCCGCAGTAAGGAACTATGGCCGAATAAATTAATCAGTCTAAACCTCATATATGACCAAAAATGCATCCAAGAACCCTAATCAGAAATATATTATGATTTATCAATGAAATATTTTATTTTTATTATTATTATTTAGCACAAAAGTTAGCATCCAGACGCCTTATGATTTGACCTTATTTTTTAAATGTATTGATATTATGAGGAGAGAAAAATTATTCCCCATTCTCTAAAATCAGTTGGAACGATTTATGAGGGTAAATTTTTTAAAATGGTGAAAAAATAAAATTAAAGTATTTAAGTGGAAAAATAAGGCTTTAATCAATTAATTTATTATTATTATTATGTGGAGAGAGTGAATACATTGAAGTGGTGTTTAAGAGGGCACCTTAATGGACCCATTCGGATTCTGGCCAAGAGGGGCACTGAAAGTAGGGGGGGCATCTCGAAAATTGTATAAATCAGGGATATGCATGCATTAAAAGCAAGCGACAGGGAGTTGCGGCTGAAAACCAACCAAGATGTGGTATTGGGCCATGCACATCACGCTTAGGGTGGGGCGAAATCAAGCCCACAGGCCGGAATGCCCTGAAACTGGCCCAATAGTCACTACAATACCAGCCCATCGAATCCTTAGCACGACCCAAGATTCTGAGCACCCGAGAGTTCTTTCTTCCGTTAATTATTTTCTTATTGATTTTAATGTGATTATTTTTCAAATAGTAGTTATTTCCACACGGGTGGTCTTTTTTCGTGCCAAGCATCTCAGTGACTCTCTCACATAGAGGAGGGAGAGAGAGAGAGAGAGAGAGAGAGAGAGAGAGAGAGAGAGAGAGAGAACCCTTTTTTTTTAATATGCATATTTAAATTTTCTATTTTCATGGAGATGGTGGACTTCCCACTGACCGACCTCTTCCAACATAAGTGGATAGAGAGAGAGAGAGAGAGAGAGAGAGAGAGAGAGAGGAGAGGTAGAGAAAGGGAGAGAGAAAGAGTGGTAGCCGTGTACTAGTTGGAATGTCACTGTCGCCACCTTCTGAAGGGCATCGCCTCAGTGGCAACAAAAATTGCCATTCTTGTACGTATCCCTCCTCCCAAATATTCGTATAATAATAGCCCCCTGTGATATTTATCCATAAACCCTCGGACAACCTTTTTCCTTCCTTTACTGCCGTTGCATGACGGGGTACCGCGCGAAAGTCGATGTTTGCGAGAACCTATCGCAAATATTATTTCAGTAGGGTTTATACGTAAAAAGTTCGCACCGTTGTAGAGATAGACGTGCTCAGACACGACACGAAACCAATTTGGAGATATTCAATCCTATCCAAATGCGTTCAACCCTACCAAGGTCAAGAGAGAAAAAAATTTCGTATCAACCATCGTAATGAAGAAAATTAAACAAAAGCCCTCACAACTCTCTCTCTCTCTCCCTTGCTTGGATATATACATCTTTATATGTATTATTTTGGGAACTCATAAGTCATCACTTGAACATCGTAAAAAAAATAATTGATTAGATCCCCCATATTTCGCAAGCTGAGCCGAAATTCTGATATGGGTGATTTCGATATAATTATATTATTAATTCAAAATTTTCATAGATGTAAAAACTTTAACCAAAAGTGATATTCTTCGATAATACCCAAAAGAACTAGTGAGCATAAAAATTTTAGTCAAACATTTTTGAATTAATCATACTGCAGCACAGCGTCGTAACTTGATTAATGTACTCACGAAAAATTAGATAAGATAAATAACCTTTCTTTTCTTTTTTTTCTTGAGAAGGCCATAATTTTCTTCTCTAGATAATAAATGGACCCATAAAAGTGAACATAAGAACCTCCAAGAACACCCCCGATCGCATTGCCCAATTACCCTCTATCCATGACTCCTCGATGTCATACCCATAAAAGTAGGGGGTTATGTGCAAAAACCATGTCGGACACCAAAACGCGTAAACCTCATCTGGAAGGAGGAAGAAGAAGCAGAAGAAGAAGAAGAAACTCACGAAAGAATTATCAGCGGCGTCGTACAAGTGAGCGAGGGATACACGAGAAGAAAACCGTGACGACTCAGAGAGAGAACGTTGACGATCACGTATGATCGACCGGTCGTCTTCACATGACGTCACGGGATCGGCGGCAAGGGGATCGGCGGCGGCGGCGGCCGGCGAGTTTCAGGTGGCCGGTGCCGTCCAGCCTCTCCTTCTCGGCAGGGACAATTTCGCAGTCGGGGAAGGCGGCGGAGTAGCGGAATGAGTCGTAGCAGAAAGAGTAGATCAGGTTCTTCTCCCTGAACCTCGCCATGGCGCGGCGGCCCTGGGGGTCAACGGCGGCGAAGTCACCGGCGAGAAGCTCCGCCTCCGCGGCGGCGCAGCGGCTGCCGGAGCTTGGCATCATCTGGATGGGGTCGACTTTGCAGCCGGAGAGGACGAGGTCGGAGAAATCTGCCACGAAGGGGGAGGAGTTGTAGTCCACCTTGTACCTCCCGCCGCCGGTGGCCCACGAGGACCCGTCCCATATGGTGGCGTAGAGGGCCATGGGCTTCGCCGGAAACTCCCCCCCCATGGCGGCGCTCCGCCGCACCTCCCTGATCGGCGTCTCGTCCACGTAGAAACTGCAACCACAGAACGGAACATGAGATTATCGCCGCTTGAGGAGGAAAAGGAAGAAGAAGAAGAGGAGGGAAAGTTACAGGATGGTGTCGGGGGACCAGAAGATGGAGTAGCGGTGGGCTTCGCGGGTGGGGTCGAAGGGAAGGTTGTAGCGCTCCTCGCGGCCGCGGTGGGTGGAGCCATTGCCGTAGATGTTCGTCTGCAGCCGCCAGCTGCCTCTGCGGGGGTTCCCCAGGAACTCAAAGTCTAGCTCGTCGTGGTTCCTCCTGAAGATGTCCCCGTTTGACGTCTGCATGCACAGACGCAGACCATGAGAAAGAAAAATCCTCTCCCATCTCAGCGCTCTCTCTCTCTCTCTCTGCTACTTCTTCTTTCTGGATAGATATGGCTGATGGAGAGGATAATCAAATCGTCTGGTTGACTTACGTAGAAGGCGACGACGACGCCGGCGGTGTAGTTTGAAGGGAGCTTGATCTTGGCGCTGAAGAAGCCGTGATCGTAGAGGTCCGAGGATATGAAGCCAGAGCCTAGCAGGGAAGGAACAAGGGAGAGTCAGGGCGGCGGCGGCACCGCCGCAGGAGAAGACGGCAGCGGAGGGAGTTTTCGAATCTTTTACCGGTGTAGCGGTCGAGGATGAGGCGGACTTTGCGGTCGTTGGCGGAGCGGACAAGGTTGCCCTCTCCGAAGAGCGGCGAGTAGCCCTCCGAGAAGCGGAGGGTCTGCAGCTCTGAGAAGGCCGCCACCGCCGGGTGCAGCGCCGCAGCGACGAGGAGGAGCGCCGCCGTGGCCAGAAACCGGGGGTTACGTGTCTCCCCGCCCATCCTCCAAGCTATCCCTTTCCCTCCCTTCCCTCCAACCTCCAGCCCAGAATAATGGCAACGTATACACTAAGAGGAAAGGTAGGAGGTGATGGCGACGAAAGGTGGGGGAAGAGAGCGAGATGGAGAGAGAGAGAGAGACAGAGGAGAGAAGACGGAAGTAGTGGAGTGGTGGAGAAGGACGGGGCCATAAGAAAAGGCAGCCGCAGAAGGCCGTCCCGGGGGAAATAACACTCCCAATATACCCTTATATGATTTAAAAATAATTAAATTGCCATTCTGACCTCTCTTCTGTACCCACGCATCCCGTGTACTTCCCCCCTCTCTCCATCCCCCAAGCATTAAGAACCCCGGCGCCTTTTTCGGTTTCGGAAGCGTGACCTATCTCGTGGGGCTTCTCGTCGTTTATAGTGAGAACGGAGGGTATTATGGTCAATTTCTCTCCCACACAGTCGTGGGGCAGCCCTCCATCACCGGGATGATGGCCGCCTCCCGGATGCCACGCTGGCATCTCGAGCTCCAAGGTCAAACGAGACATCCGTTTTATTTGACTCCACTTTGACATTCCCATAAATGGTAATCATCACCTTTAACCCAAATAATGTATTTTAAATAGTATTTTTTATATAAATAAGTTATTATTATTTCCTTGAATATCATCCAATGCTAATATCCACATGAACCCAAGCTTAGTTATCTTCGATTATCTTTAACAAATCAAAGTCTTCCGTCTTACACTTGACTGAGCATCTCTCTATAATTAGTATACTCCAAGCTAGAGAGAGAGAGAGAGAGAGAGAGTTGGAGCTACTTGGCTGAGCGAGAGAATCAAGGAAGATGATAGCTTCAGAGAATTTCCATAAATGTCACAAAATATTTTGATCGAAGAGGTGGTGGTTGAGATGTCTCGGTGCCGATGCTACAAGTCTGCGCCGTTGGTGGAGCTCTCAATCGCATTCGATGCCACCGAGAACAACGAAGATGCATGCCGAATAATCTATTTTTTTAAAAATATGAAGAATCTTGATGATTACTTAAAATGGTGACACCAAAAACAAAAAAAATGGAATTCGGTAGAGAGAAGGTGTCCTTTTTTATTACAAAAATGTATTTATAATTATTTATTGTGTTAGATATATAGATTCTTCTAGCACTTTTAGAAGGTGAAAACAGCTGTGAATTGACGGCGGTCGTGGCGGCTTTGTGGCAGCGTCTCTTGGCGAAGAGAGCGTTAGTTGATCTTCCATCTTTCACGCGCTGACGGCGCCGGTTGTCGAAAGGTCGCCGGAGTTGACTGTACCGGAGACTCGGCCGATCAAGGGGCAGTCTCGTCAACCGGTTGGGTAGGGGGCGCCGCCCGTGCCAGGTGGCGGCGGTGTGGACAGCTCACCAGCAGTGCCGGACATCCGCGGAGGCCCTGCTGGCGGCGCCGGGAACTGGTCGCCAGCTAAACATGGGATTTTCGAAGTCCAAGATGCCACGCGTCCCACCCCGCAGGAACCGTCAGCTCCGAGACGTCTGACCCTCCCAGACTAATTAACACCGGGGGAGGTATTTTGACGGCGCACCGAGACTAGGCTCGAGCTTGTGAGATATTACGGTCAAATCCCCCCCCCCCCCCCCCCCCCCGTTAAAGGTTACGTGCCGTGGACTTCTACCGGGGGCGGCCGTAATGGGGAGTGGGCCCCAGTGGACTACGTTACGTGCGGAAGCGGTAACGTGCCGGTCGACCTCGTCCTGGCGCGACGAAGCTCGCCGTCCGAACCGGACAGCGACCTACGAAAGCCCCCCTCGAACCGCTTCCACCCTGTCACCTTGTCCCCCACCCTCCCCCCGCCCGTCTCACCCCACTTCCTCTCTTCTCTTCCTTGCTTCCTTCCCATTCATATCTTCCACATAAATATAAAATACTTTCAGATAAATTTCCATTAAACGATTTTTCATTGGCCCATAATTAATAAAATAAAATAGTGATATGCTAACGATTTAAATCCACGAATATTGGTTTATGATTGTAGATGATATCCTAATAATTTTAACAAATTATGTCATTTATTGAAGCATAGTTGAAGTGAATGGAGCTGTATTTTCTACGACCTCGTGAAAATAATTTTACATTATTATTCTTATGATTAATAATAATTTTACTTTTAAAATAAATGCGATTATGTTGGCCTCTAAACGTGCCATTTAATTAGAGGCCAATTATGAGGAAAATACGTACAAAATTAAATCAGGATTGATGGGCCTCTCCCCTGGGTGTGCGGGCCCAGCTAGTTCTGAGCGCTGATGCAGGATATCAGAAGGTGCCCGCGCGGGACACTGGAATCATTTAGGATAAAGTTAGAGGCCGCCACGGAAGCTGTGGGGCCTGTGGCTGCGGGTGCAGGTGGGTCCATTTTGGGAATTTGGGGGAGACAACCACTTCCGTGTGTCCCCTCAGAGGTTCTGCCAGCGGGGCAGGATGCTGTCCACGTCATCTAGCTGTTGAATGGACATGCCAACGGCTTCACAATAGGACAAAAAAGTGGTCTTATTGCAATAAAATTCCCCTCAATTCGGGATTATGTGAATATTACCCTGACACCTTGAATATACGAAATAATGTTCTGTTGCTGATTCTCTCTCTCTCTCTCTCTCTCTCTCTCATGGAGGGAGTGATGAGACAAGTTCCAAATTGAGGCCCAGCTCAAAGCACCAATTTGCATACTTGGGCCCAAAATCTGCTGGGCCCAGTAAGAGGCAGCCCCAGCTATAACACGAGAGTTGAGGATTGAAATATGGGCTTTTCTTACAGGCATGGCTGAGCCAGACGGTCAATCTTGTCCATTAGGTTCGGATCCTCCGGCGCAGCGGCAGCAGAGGCAGTGTTCTAGGTGTCTTTCATCTGCCGGTTGACCCAGCTTACCCACTGCTCACAAGACTGACCTTCACCAGAAGGCTAGAAACGAGAGAGAGGAGCAGCACAGAGACCAAAAAGTCACACCCCCTTGCTTCGAATACAAAATCTCTGCGATAGCATCACATTTCTTTATAAGAAAAATAAAAAGGAAATTGTCGCGGATAAAGGACCGGTGGGTGAAGTCAATAATGGTCTACTAATTTGGGGGGGGGGGGGGGGCGGTGGAGTTGACCTCCACCTGCCCCCTCCACTCCCGGCCGGGTTTTGCCAAGCGCAGAAAAAACCCCAGTTAAGTACACCCCCCCCCCCCCACCCCGAGTTGACGGCGGCTGAAAAAGCCCGCGTCTTGTCACCCTCTCCGGGTCGGCCATGAACTCTCTGCAATGGCAAAGGTCAGCTATTTTACACAAGCCCCAAAAGACCGCCACAACGGTCTCAAGGAGGCCGCCCCCCACCTTATCCCCGTGGCGGCGGCGCCGCCCTGTACAACCCGCGACGCAGCCCGTCGCCCGATGGGGGGAAGGAGAAGATCCCCCGGTCAGTCCGCCGGAGATTCGCCGGCCGGCGACTGCTCCAGTCTGATGAATCTCTCGAGCAGATCTCTCAGTCGCTGCCTCAGCCCAGAAGCCTCCTCCGGGTGGAACCACTTCTTCCCGAACTGGAAAAGAAAAGACAAGAAAAGAGGATTAATTAGGTGAGAGATTGAGATCACACAATCAAATAGGAGGGTGTGAGAGAAATGGAGCTTCTTCGATTGTTAATGGCTCACCATGGCGAGGTCTTCACGGCGGAGCCTGGCAGGGGCCGCCTCGATGAACCGCTCGATGAAGTAGAGAACGAAGAGCCCGCAGTCGTAGTCGTTCTTCTGCTGAGGGACCTGCCGCCGTCATGGAGAGAGAAGCGTCTCAGGAGGAGGATGAGGGGACGGCATGACATTCCATGAACACAACGGGGATGTCATAACCAGCTTCGTGGGTGGTGGAAGGATGAGCAAGCAAGCAGATCACGGAATCAAATCGACAACACATGTTTTTTTCTTAATCACCCGTTGACCGCGCAAAATAATAAAAATCAGCTGCCAGGTTGACCATCCCGCAGAAAGAATATGCTCTAAATGGAAACCACCTACTGCACTCCATCCACATTAAAAATCAGCTGCCAGGTTGAGTTCTTTTTTTTTTCTTCCTTCTTCTCTCCATCCACATTGAAATGCAGTCCACAGACAAAAAATAACGTTCAATTACACGGATAACAAGAAGCAAAGCCTGAAAAAATGAGCATCATTTTGCGCAGGTTGTTAAAAGAATGAAGAAGAAAGTGAGTTCTACCGTGATCTTTTTCTTCTCGATCCGTCGAGGCAGGTTTCTCCATATCCTCTCCGAAATGGGAAGATCCAGAGGACGAGCGCTGCCATTCAAGTACGCCCATTCTTCCTTTAGATATCTACAAGGAACAGGAAACATCAGGTTCATGAAGAGCCATAGCAGGCTCCACCATAGCTAGGATTCCTAGAGAGAGAAAGGAATGCCGACGTTTCTTTGAGGACGTCAACCACCAAAATGTCCTCTTATAGTAATGTGCATGGGATGATCAGCATGTTCTGGTGATTACCAGGGCTTCCCCCCGGCATAATGGGCTTTTAATTCAATTAAAAAATAAATCCAGCGCTCTAAATCTAGAAATCTGCAAGTTCACCAAAACGCCTCCTTATGGCGGGTGCGCGTATGTGGGATGTGAAATATGGACACTGGACTGGCAAGACTAACAGCGACCGGTGTCTGATACAAATACTCAAGAGCTCAATTCCGAAGAGAAGTGGAGCCAGTAAGAGTACTCAGAGGCCCAGTGGCTCGTGGACTGCGTGAATGAACATCCTTCCTATTGTTTTGTGCCATTTAGTGATCCCCCGTGACCCATTTCTATCACCAGAATGCGACTATTTAGAGTAAAATAAGGATGCATATCAGAGACAGGAGATCGGGACAGATTTTCTAAAAGTACTGTATGCTCTTTCTGGTTTAGGCGATACCCCCTTCTTCCTCCAGAGGGATGAACGCAGACAACATGAGGATAATAAAAGTCATGATAGGGTCGACATCTACAAGAGAACAGAGATGTGAGTACAGTTACTTGAACAAGAGTGAAACTATCGAAAGAGTCAATATATCACCTTTCAACATTGTCGAAGATCAGACCACTCGAGTGGATTCCCAAGGAATCCAAATGTAATATGATCGGCCCAAATTCATCTTTCTTTGCTGGAATACAAATAATTACTAAGCTCCAATGCAAACTGATGTCACAAGAACATAAGAAACGATGAACGAGATTTCAATGGAGTGAGGTCGAACATTGTAAGAATGAATAAAATAGAGCACGGCCTGTGCCTAAAATCAAGTGAAACAGATAATCTAAAAATGAAGAATGAGTAAAGAAGTCGGGAATTTTTTTTTCTTCAAGCAAACAGATGCCGTAGGTTATCTCAAGTACCAATCAGCAAATGGTGATTAATATGCAGTGCATCACAGCTGTCGGCAATCCCATCAATGAACTTGTTCATCGTTCATACAAGGATGTCCAAAACCACAAATGAAATTCCTAGTGATTTTGTGAATAAAAAGGTTGAAATTTAAGCTTTTCCAGAATAGATGATATATATAACGCAATGGAAATTCCTAATGATTTTTTGAATAAAAAGCATGAAATAATCTAACATGTAAAGATCAGAATAATCTAACATCCAATCTCTTCAAAGATACGTACGTTAATGTAATCGAGTAATAGGAGATAGGCCCCTTAACCTAGAATGCAATATATCAAGGATTGAGTAGCCAGGAATAAGCATAAGATTCAAAAGCCCAAAACCCAAGTAAAGCATGAACATGATTGGTCCAAGATTGTATAGGATGTATGAATCACCACAGCATCTAGCCTTGTTATATGTTTTGAAGATTCCACCCGAACAAGACTCTCCTGAATGTCCATATCTTCATAAAAGATAGACTAGGAATGGGTTGACTCGGACCCACCAAATTCAAGCTGATTTTGAGCGTGAGTAGGGGTCAATTAAAGCAACCGTGACAAAAAAATCAGCCAGTTGTGAGCAATGCCCGTAACCCATGATTTTTCTCATCATTAAGCACAATCTTTCTTTCAATGTCATGCGGTATCTTCACATGCCAGCTATGCAAAGTCGTGCACTTAACAAGACCCTTATTACAGGTTCACGAAGTTGGCATAGGATCATCGACTAGAAAACTCAATAGCTCCACACAATATCATAATGACGTCTCCCTCCGTTTTGTGGGCAAAAAATTCTGGATGCTCATATTTAAGAAGCACCTTTCACGATAATATGGAATGTGCATGGGTTACTTTATCCAACTCCTCTTCATGTTTTTCTAAACATGAAGCAATGCAAAAAACATTCTTTTGCATCTCAAATGGTTTTTCCAATAAAGTCAACACATTACAAGAGGCTGGAAATTCGTTAGTCTACTAGAGTTACAATAGCACCCAATTCGATGAACTTGATGCTGTGCAGAATTTGTGAGTTGCCGCAAAACAGCATTCATTCCGAATCCTTGCTCTCATTCTTGTTTTAATCTATCTTGACTAACCAGATGAACCCTTTTCCTTCTTTTTCAGATAGAAAGAGGACTCACGGTCATGGCTGTAAACGGAGAAAAACTTCTGTCACGGAGGACAGAGGGAGAACGGCCGACAACCACCTCAATTTCCATTCATCTGTTACACGCCCCCCTTATATGGGGAGGAACCCTAGACAACTGTCCCAAAAATGCCCTCAATCTTCTACATTATTTCTTTACGACCTAGAACTTCCAACACTGGCAAAAAAAGGATCAACCCCACTTAAACAGAAAAATGCAAAAGAAGATTGACATTTATCAAGGGATTTTAAGATTGCAAATCTTCCCAGATTTAGTATCCTATATGCATGAATTGAATCATAAAAAGCTCGAGTAAACAGAAGTTGTCAAACATGTACTGAGTATGTCAAGTTTTGAATTGTTAGGCAGAAGTCCTGAGTGGAATACGGTATAAGAACATAAACGAATCAAAGAACTGTATCATCGAGTGACATCTAGTCCCAATCGTAAGATACGTTCAAATCCTTCAAGCAGGAGATTAGGATCACAAGACCCTTCTAATTAATGTTTTAAAAGAGATATTATTGCCCATAGATCGTAGGATCAAGATCACCGTTCTTTTTCACCCTTGTGTCTCACATATCAGCTTCCCCAGACAGTCAATTAGAAAACGCTGCTTCCAGAACCTCACTTCATGAGGTATGCTCTGAGACAGCTGACCCATGATAACTATAATTGTTCATCAGTGTTCTACATATCGATTATCAAAGGCGAAGTTGGTATGTCCCGCTTATGATCAATAATACTTATGTTTCTTGGAATCTGATTGAACTAGAATCAAGACCACACATGAGAAGACAATAAGGAATAATCAGATCACAAATAAGTTGACTGAAATAGTTCTCGAATTGGATATTGTAACAAGGCAAGCATAACAAAGCAAGCTTGGAGTACACTTTCTAATAGCAATCACTTGCAATTCTTTTTTGCCTAGACTACTGTGCAAGATAATTTTCCAATGGTATGAGCTAGATTTACAAGACGAGATACTAACATTATTGTGGAAATAAAATGAGACATCGTCTCATTGTTTACATGATGGACAACAAGATACAACAAGATATGTCAGTGTCTTAGGTTCAGATGCACGGCAAGAGTGGGGTACTAGAAGGACAAGAAATTAAGAAGCACAAAAGTTGAGAAATGTAAATTGAAAGTCTGCATATATTGCTCAAGCATCAGGAAAAATCATGTCTAACACCAAAGTCTCAAAACTACGATAACAGAGTTTATTATCCTATACAGGAATAAAAAAAATTAAAGATAATAATGAGTTAAGCAGCAACTGGAAAAAGGATATCTCCATAAACAAAACGGATGTGTAAAAATTCACATGAATCAAGGATAGAATAGGTAGCTCTTATTAAACAATGGGTATCCAAAAAGTAATAGGTAGCTTACTCTCCATGAATTGGCAAAAATATATATGCTTTCTCAAATATGTTGACACCTTTCCACCATCTTCTCAACTTCGTGAGGTGTTTACTGATTTCCCCCTACAAGGCATTTATTGAGCAGAGGATGAACATTCAACAAGAGAACCTGAATCCAATAGGTCAGGCAGCCAACACTTGCCATAAAGCTTCTGAAAATGAAATCACATTGAGAAAAAAAAAGGCAAAGTACCGAAGAATACTGTGGTATAGAAATGGAAGAGAAGTTTTTCCAAACGAAATCAAGACGAGTCTTACTTCTCTCAAAATTAGATTAAGCAAAGTTAAAGGATACTTCTTTCAATGAACATTGATGGCAGTGGATAAGCTTTGGATAAGCAAAAACTCTTTACCATATAACTGACTCAGCCACTATTTTCATCTTCCAATAGAATTAAATTGGAGATCTCTCTTTATGGATAAACCTTTTTTCTATCCCAAAAAAGATAACTTATTACCGAAATAAAAAAAGAATCCTACGTACCCAAGATAGTACAGGTGATATGATCCAACAAGATAGGTCAAAGTTAAAATGCCACACTTATAACAGCCTTTCCAAGGTTCAAATTTCCATGAAGTAGGCTGACTGCACTCTTTCCTGGAGGTTATTGACTGTGTACATTTAAACACTCTCAAGATTATCACTAAGTGGTGAGTTATGATTCAACACAGTAGATGGGTTATTCAAATCCTGAAGCCAATAAACCAATAAATTATTGGATCCTCTAATGTTTACATTCTTTTTTCATGCCCATGCAGTCATGTTCTATGCCTTTGATCATGTTAGACTCCTTGGGCATTAAGAATAGACCCATGACCTGGGCATGGCTGTGAAAGTTACTTTCTCCTGAACCACTCACACCAGGGAGGTTTTCCATGGATTGCGTCTTCTCTTTTTCTCTCTCTAGTCATACACCTATGAGTATGAGAGATCAATAAAAATAAACCCTAATCACTTCTCGACACTGATCAGTTCTCCTTTCCCTCCCCAGATTACCAGGAATGTCTGCTGAGGAGAACTTCATGAACATCAGAGGAAGAATCTAGCTGTCTTTTTTCAGAGAATTTCGCATGAAGTCTACAGTAGATACATCTGCTTTAAGTTCCCGAATTGTGGTTCACAGTTGGAATGTACTCTATTGTCATGATGAGATGGTCTTCTTCCATTATGGAGTGCAAAGGATGCCACACCTATGTGAGGGTGCATGATCCTCACATAAGTTTATCACCTTCTTATACGAAAAGCATGAAAAAAAACAATGTACAAGGAAATGAAATAGACAATTATAAAATAAGCATATAGGATGAAGATTTCCATGACTGGTGAGCAACGTCCAACTGTTCAAAAACTGAAACATGGACCAAGGCCATTCAATCCACAATCATGTGAAAATGATTCAATTCACATATCTAGGTAGAAAGTAGTTTTGATGAGAAGATACATGAAATCTTGAAGCCATAAATTTCATCTTAGATAATTGAGCCACCTTTTTAGCAGGATACTCAAACAAATTAATCATAAAAATTGCATATCTCAGAAAACTTACCTTTTGAGACGTTGCCTCTTCAAGTTTACGGTAGAAATATGTGTTGCAAAAATGATATTCTCCCCTTGGCCTCCCCAACAAAGAGATTGTCTTTTGAAGATATCTGCCAGATATCGTCAATATGAGAATAAATGGATAATGACAGCACTCCAAGTTACTGTCATATAAAGTTTCAAAATGAAGAAAAATTTGGTCAAAGACCAGAGCACAATAAATACTTGACACCAAGGAGAAAAAGGTCATCCACTTACAGAATGTAGAAATTCATAATAGTTGATGACAGGTAAGATTCAGGTTCCAAGCATTTCAAATCTGACTGAGAAAGTTCAACACATTCTGGGTGATCTCTGCTTCATAGTAAAATAACAAAAAGTTAAGCGATCACACTTTAATCAATGAGGTAGGTTGGGGGGAAGTCAGTAATCTCGGGATTATTGTGTACTTGAAGAAGTTTCACCTCGAAGGGAAGTAGAACTTTGCCTCCTTGGAAGATGGCAGCCTTTATTAAATGAACAAAGCTAATCAAATAACTATTTAAGAAACAATGTCTGAAAAGAAAAAGAACAGAATATAGCATACTTATAGACAAGAAAGTAACATTAAATGTTAGTCTTCTCACCGGTCATCATTCTCATCTCCTTCCCGTATCTGCTCAACATGCTGTACTTCTTCATCCAAAAAAACCACATCCTGGACCTGTTAAAGACGGTCAATGAATACAAATCCCTTCAACAACAAATGTTGACAGGTATCTTACATTGGATGACTGTCAATCTCATCGTGTTGTTCTTAACACTAAACTACTTCAATTAAAACCATAAATACATTCAGTGTCTTCCATAAGAGATCAGAGTTGGACTCGATCAGATATGATCCAGATCAGAACAAAATCAGATCGTCCAGGAAGAAACCCTTGGGACTATTTTGCAGGACTATCAACTAACATCACATTGGGAGTCTTTGACAACCAAAACAATAGTCGATATTCAATTGAATCGATAACTAACACATTATATTGAACCCCACATGATAACCTAATGGATCTGCTCGGAACACAGTTGGTAACCTGTATTATTGATAGTTTGAATTTGACCAGCTTACCTGGCACTAATGAATTTGACCAGCATTCATGGAAAACAATTTGAGAGAAAATCATGACTGGTGTTTTATGTTTTTTTGATAAAAGGAAAGGTGGAGGATTACGAGAGAGCCCAATGGGAGCATCAAAGAAGGAATCATAAGTCAATACCGGTGCTCAAACAAGATCTGGAGAAATAAATGCTTTGTCTGAGGTAAAAGCATCCCATCTTGAGAGCAGAACGAGAAGGTTTAGTCCCACATCGGAAGTTTTTCATTGTTTAAGCTGAATATAAATCAAAGTTACTCTCTCTCAGCAGAGATCCTTTCTCCCGAAACAAATAATGCCCAAGACCATCTTGGGAGAAGGCAAAAAGGTGGTCCGCCCTCGCATGTGTAGGTGTATACGACGCTCCTTGCTCCACGACTGGTTGACCACTGAGACGCGGTAGGGGAGTGACGCACACGTGTGCGGAGCGAGTCCTTTGCCACTCAAGCCCAGCTCGTGGCTCCCTCGATCTGGGTCTACCCACTTGACTGCGGCGACCCTCCGGGTCAGCTGCCGAGTGCCGGTTTGCCAGCGGGCAGAATATTTTTATATTTTATTCTTTTTCTAGAATCTCATTCTTGATCAAATGGCTGCGTCCAACCTTACAATTTCAGCACGTTGAGATGATTTCTTATGACCTGATCTGGTTTAAATTGTGTTGTGATTGCCCCGAAGCTACTAGTATGCAATGGAATGTGTAAAATCGAAATTATCTAAACGGCTATAGAGGCCAGTGGTTTTTTTCCTCAGATGGCAACTGGGGAAATGTCACCAATCTTTTGTAGAACCAACGATTCTTTTGGCCCTTTATAGAGATGAGATGTAACCTCTCCATTAAAGGCCTAAGGCACCTAAAAAACACCCTCAAGGGTTACAGAACCATTAGATCTCCTAACTGATGACCTTCTGATTTTCTGTTCTCTCCGTTAAATGAAAGAATATTAAGAGATTACTAACTCTCCCCTGTTAACAGGAGAATATAAAAAGACATTATAGCTGTCCTACATTTGTCATCTCGTAACTCCGAAAATAAGGTGCCTTCCCTCTTCCCCAACCATAACTACAGTCCATAAACAGCGACCCATTAGGAAGAGCCCACGTTTCTTATTTGAGCCCATTAATCAGTGTCTGAAACTGATACAATGAGAAATGAAATGTCACAGTAGCAATTTATCAATGATAAATTACAATAATAAGATATAAGTTCAAGACGAAACTTAAATTATAATAAAATTGAATTCCCTAATCTTCAGAAAATAGCCTCTTAAGGTATCTTGGAAAAAAAATTGAAAAAATATAATGACAAAGAGAAAGTATTTATAGAATTTTAAAAAAATAAAACAAATTATAAAGCTCTACATGGCGTAACAGCAAAGAATTTTCGCAGAGATTAAATTGTAAATAGATAATCAAAAAAGAAAGCATACCTCTGTTGGATTCAGATCTACAGAACTATGACTCTCAGGAGATTTTCTTCTGCCAAGAAATATAAAATAATGTCAGAAAGGATCAATAAAACCATCAACAGAAGGAAACTTAACACAAGAACAGAACATCGGAACACATGAAAAAATGTATGAGGCAAATTAAAGTTACACCATGTAGAACATCATACACAATGGTTGCCTCTTTTGTTTCTGTTTAAAATTGCCACTTAGTAGAGGTTAGGTGAAACAAAAGGTTAAAGTTGTTTGCTTTTCTTCTTCAGAAAATTTTGATGCTGTCCTAGAACTAAATTGGCTAAAGAAACTATGCATCCATTAAGGAATTTATACTGGGTAATCCCATTATAATTCCATAAAACTTTGCTTCCGCCACCCATAAATAATCACTTAAAAGGGATTTTTCTGAAACGATCCATGGCCCATTTCTACCTTCATTTGTATCGTAATTAATAGAAATCTATTAATCTTTGCTGCAGATCTAGGTGATCTTCATATTCAGCTTTACTAAAACCCACCAACAGTGGAGCGCTGTCCCTGTTTTCCTGAATTTGTCAGTCTGATGAGTAAATCCCTCCCTCTAATAAACAATAAACCTGATACAGTCTTCTTGGAAATGTTTCTCATCTATTTCACTGGTCTTCCCACAACCTACAACTAACCTCATTGCAATCCAAAAATGTAAGCTTGACAACCTAAAGTCGGCTAACCTAAGAATATTTATCTACATAAGAGGAAGAGATAAGATCCACTTCCAGGGTTAACATCCTACCTACTACAGAATAATCGATATTTGCCCCTAATAACTGATAGTCATAAGAACTTTTCTTCACCTAAGCTGTGCAGAAACTTGGCTGATAAAACTTCATTTAGAATCTCTATCCCTATCAGAAGAAATGAATAACCTCAGTTCCTAAAATCCATGAGAATGCAATTCAAATTCTCATAAAGCAGGCAGTTCAAACAGAAACAAAATCCAAATGGGTAAATACTCTTCCTTGCAAAAATAATTGCAATTTTGCAAACCATGTTGATAGTCACATAATTTATTAACACTGCATGACCACAGTAAATACAGATAAATATTTAAATTTCAGAGTGGGAAACGTATTCTGACTAAAAGTAAACAAACTCAAAAAAAAAAAAAAAAAAAAAAAAAATCTGCTAACAGCCTAGTCAACTTTCCCCTTTTCTCACTTATCCTCCAGCACCTCCCTCTTGGTTCTTTGTTATTGTACCCAAGAAAGAACAAGATGTTAACAGTAGCACCAGCAAGAGAATGTATATAGATCATGTGGTCAATGGTCCAGTAGTAGAAGTCACTTCCTTTCCCCATAACCTTATTCTTGTCAAGTTATCTCATACAGAAACCCGAATGTGAAACAAAAAGGGCAACCCATTTCACATATTATACCATCAATTCCGGTGCAAGAGGTTAATAACTGAAAAGCCTAGAACAGTAAACGGAAAAATACAAAAAAAAAATCCCAGAGAAGGATCCAAGATTGTACACTGGAAAAACTCAGCCACAGACCACAATCTGAATCCATGATTTTCCTATAAAAAACGGCTAACCTCAGTTACTTCGAACAAGTGACCACGAAATGTAATAATAAAGAAAAGAAAAGAAAGCACAGAAAAAATATAATGAAATAACAGCAATGCATACCTTTTCGGAAAATGGTCAGAGCACCTCTCCTCGCATTGAAGAGAAGAAATGTTGGATACACAAATGTCTTTAAGTCGGCCGTAGCAAGATTCTTGTCTATCTTTGATGTCAACACTTTTCGTGCTTCGGAAAGCTGACGACCTTGATGACATTCTCGGACTACTTTTTTTCCCATCTAATTCGATGAGGACACTGGAATCATCTTTGCACATGATACTTAATTCCTCACTATGTGCATCACAGTTGCCACGGTTCACCTGATGAGGAAGAAGGCAGAACTTTCGTCATCAAAGTTGATTAGAGCAGCTTAATATTTCTGACCATAGTCATTATTTTTTTTACCTTTGCTTCCAGCAATTTAGAGAAATGAAAACCAAAAGATTCGGATGGATAAGAAGAGGTTGTAGCATTTGAGCTGGAATGGTTCGATGAATCTGCAAAACTGTACGATATTAGAAGCTCCAGGTTATAAAAAAAAAAGAGGCAAGGGAAATAAAGTCTACAACAACAACAACAACCAGAAAGCAAATAAAATAATGATTAGAAATACTAAAAACATGGTCAAGATATGAAATGATGAGTATTAATGGTCATGATACAAGTTAGCACAGAACTCCCTAGAATCCTTTTCTGAGAGTTGAAGACTGATATTTTGTTGGTAGTATTGCCTACCACAATCAGAATATATGAATATAACCAGGGCAATGTCAGTTTCTGAAAGAGTACAACATGAAAAAAGGCTTAAAGATGATGTTTAAAATTTCTCATCTTAGATAAGTGTGGAATTAAATCATTTCTTCAATAAATACAGTGGTATCTAATGAAAAACTTCATGATAACTTTAAGATGGGGTTGTACATGGAAAATTATCACTCAATCGTCCCTATATGGAATAAGGGGCTATGTGGTAATACAAATTTATCAGAACGTACCACAATTTGAACTCAAGATTCACATGCTGAAACATAATGTGATATGACCGATGTTCACTGATGTTAATTGGGGGTAAGGTAGCCTAACCAGTTGCTTCATGGGTCATATACTGGAGAAGAATTATAGAAGATTTCTACAGAAATTAAAAGACACAGACAACATCAATTCGCTCATCTGGCCCTGATAAAAGGAATTATAAGTGAGCTTCGCAGAATATAATCAAGAATAGGAAAACCATTAGGCGCGAATCTAAGCCTACCTATCCACCACTCTTTGAATAACGGGATATTTCTTGTGGTTCTCCAAAGTTTTGACGTTACTTTTTCCTGTTGATCTTTATTTTACGTTGTACATTATTGTTTGCTGCTTTTTATACACTAGAAGAATGCTATTCTAAGCAGCACACCCAAAGAAAGACGATGTGATGGCAACCTTACCAGGTGAAGACCTTCTTGGCAGCTGTTTAATTTCCTTGCATTCTTCATCATCCTGCAACATGATGTATGAAAAACCTTTACAAAATATGACGAGGATCAATTGAGATCAAGATTCAGGTTCATTTTTTCTTTAACTGATACAGTAAGAGAAATGGTCCATTTTTTATACATTTTCCGATGGCATAGGGCCTATAAACGGGTTCAATGTTGTTTATTTCTTTTCATTGTCACACGGATAGGGGGTTTTCCGCCGTCAGCGCAAGATAATGGTTCTCATCGAATTTCAGCATCACGAACGATGAACTTATTTTCTTATTTACCACGTCTCCTCCTTACTATCCGTGGCACATCCCAAAGTTCCTGAGGCCAGTTTTATAGACTCCACATTTTAATTTCTCCCTTGGCCCGTGGACTCCTCGTTTTATTTTTCTTACGGTAGAATTCAGAGGAGATTTATCATCATAAGTTGTCAATTCTCTATGATCCAAGCGTGTGACCGTGATCGCAGAATCTACGCATCTCCTTACGACCATAACCGGTCTCCCAAATCCTACCTACTCTTTTAATATCTAGCACACGCTTGCTCGCCCGTGTACCTTGTCTTTTGCGGAACGGACCAGACTCTTCCTCAGCTCCCGCTCCTCCTCGAGCGACCGAAGGCTGGCGAGGAGCTTCGCGCCCTTGTCCGGCAGCTTCAACAGGAATCCCGACGCGATATGCCTCTGAACTCTCTCGATCTTCTCCTCCAGCATGTGATCGGTCAGCCTCCCCACCGAGCACGGCTCTCCTGCCAGAGCCTGCTGCTGTTCTCCTCCCCCTCCTCCTCCCCGGCTGCTCTGGACGACCACCACATCCGCCGCCGCGTGCTCTCTGTCCGACAGCAGCTCCTTCCAGGGGATGTCGAGAGGCTTCCTCTCCATTGCAGGATCATCCGCGACGCTGAGCAGAGGAAACCGAGGAATTGGGGCCGTGGCGCCGATGGCACCGCCCTTTACATGAGCAAACTCCAAGATCATGAGAATAAAAGAGAAAACTTTTGAATATATATATTTTTTTCTAGGGTTCTCCTTCAACGTTACACATTCTAGAAGCCGATTTCAGTTACTGACGGTGGGCCAGCCCAGAGGCCATCATTGTCCCACAAAGCCCACCGACCACCCACGTGTCACTCTTTCTCTCACAACTCAGTCCCCTCCCCCACCCTCAACAAATCCTAAAATCCTTCCGTAAAATTTAATTTCTCCTACTAATCATTGGGGTAGATGTTGATTAATAGCAATTATTAAAAAATATTTAATATGTTTACCAGAATATTGAAAGTATTCAAGGAAATGCAATTTCTCCTCCAATAATCCGAATAAAAAATGTTCGTCTTGCCTAAGGGGGTTTACAAATCTCAAACCCAATAAATATTAAATAATCACTTAATAATTGGATAAATTCCTATCATTAATCCATTATCCCCCCCATTATTATCCTAAAAAAGGAAAAAAGTGTGCTCATTTGTAGATTCATTTCTTGCATTTTCATGCATATTTATGACCCTATATTGATTAGAGTTAACAATTATTTTTTTTATGCTCGGTAATTTCCAAGAAAAAAAAGGTTTTGGTCAAGTGAAACATTGGCATGATGTACTTTTCTCCTAAACTTGGTTGTGATAAATACCAATTGAGATAAATAAAAAAAGATAAATTGGCCATGTTTATCATATTTTCATTATTATCCATTTTATCTTAATGGGAATTATAAATATACCAAATATGAAAATATTCACTAATTTCCTTATCAATTTTATACTCAAACGAGGCAACATCTCCAATTTTTTAATTGCTAGTTTTATCAAATATATATAGTGGGATAAATTATTCATTGGATTTTTTCAAAAACTCGTGGACTTTACAATATGTGATAGTGACATCATTTTTACGTTCACTTTTAGTAAATTAAACTAACGTAATTTCACATAGGAATCTCCAATCTTATCATTTTTTAATAATATTTTCCTTGACATTTTTCTTATAATTAATATATTTTTTTACTTGTAATTGAGTTCATGCAATTATTTATAAAAAATTGTATAGTATAAAGAAATTCCATTTTTATACAAATGATATTATTTCATTAGTTTAATTTTAAAATAAGGAAAATGAGACAATGATTTTTGGGTAATATTTGACTTAAAAATTCCATAGTCTAACTCTTCTAATAGCTAATTTTTCCATCTAAGCATATATTAAATATCATCTCCCTTTCTCGCTCTATCTATCCATCTATCCATCTATCTATCTATCTTTCACTAAAAAGTTGATTGCCCCCACTTAAGAAAACGCGTGAAGGTCAACCAATACAAATCTTGATAATTAAATTGTTCGATTTTCTCTCGGTTGGGTAGATATTTGGACATTAAAATTAAACAAGAATATAATAAATTAAATGGAGGGTTAATTCTTGACCACGGTGAAAGAAAGAACCGCGGGGTCAAACCCTGGCCGATTGACTCGAGCCCCCAAGCTGACACGTCGGAGGCTTATTCGACACCAGGGGCGGATTTCCACGTGGGAACACGTGTGAGGTCAAGAGTTCGATGGGAAGTCTATGGGCCCCACGTGGTTCTCACAGACCGCACACTCGAAGGTGCTGTTGACGGTTCTAATTAAAAAAGCGGCTGCAATTTTGTGGAAATTACAGTTTTACCTCCTCATTGACTCTCCCCTGCTACCCTTTTGACCTTCAACGCGTCCACATCGCATGGCTCACCGGACGTCTCCCCCCGTGGCGTCGCCGGTAGATTTGCGTGGGCAGCGGCGGCATCTGCGTCCTCCTCGAATCTCCTTCCTCCCTCAATCGCTGATTCTGCCTCTGCAGAGATCCTGCGGAGGCTGATCTATAGGCTCCGACTGGTAGATCTCGCTTCTTCGGCTCTCTCCGAGTTGGTGTTTCTCCTGGAGGGGGAAACTCCACTTCCAGCAACTCTCGAGGTCTGGGCCCTTCCATTCCTTCCCGTGGTCGATTGCCTGGGTACTTGCAAGTGCTGGTCTCTGCGTAGGTGCGTGGGGGATCCGGTCCCTACTCGGGCCTCTCTCGTGGCTTGAATTGCGCACTTCGCCCGGGGCTTCTAGGGTTTCTGGTAGTGTGGTGGATGTTTCTCGGAGGTCTGAAGCTGGGAATCTCCGGATTTTAGCCGACTTTGATGTCTTGAAGTGGACTGGGGTGAGCCCTAGTAATGGGTAGTGGTGAGACGGCCCCGCCGTCAAAAGTGCCACCAAAGGCGTCGTCAGCGCAGGTAAAGTCTTATCGCTTAGAGGTGGCCTATATAGTGGTTTGGATACGGTTCCTGAGTGTTGTTATTACTGAGTATGTGCAGGAGCAGACTCCGGCCACCTCCTCCAGCCCCGTCACCACTGCCACCTCCTCCGCAGCTGTTGTCTACCCCGACTGGAGTGGATTTCAGGTAAATCATTTCAGGAAGCTAATTTTTTTCGAATTGAACTCAGAGAACTGTTGCTGGCCGTTGCAACTTTCTCGAGGTGGAAATAATTTATCTTATTCCCTCTGACATATGAAATTGTCCTTCTGGTAGGCGTATTCTCCTGTTCCTCCGCATGGATTCTTTCCTCCGGTGGTATCCAGTCCTCAAACACATCCGTACATGTGGGGGACACAGGTAAAGCTGATCATATTTTCTGGCTATACCTTAAGAAACCTATTTTGAGCAGCTGTTTACTCCTTTGTGTAAAATTTCGTGATGAGTGAATGTGCATATCCAAGTTTTGTCCACGGAGTAGACTTAAGTGATACTTAGAACTCTAGACAACGGCAGGTGCGTAAGTATGGCTCTGACTGTTTTTTGGATGCAAGTTTATAAGAAGCTAGTGTGGAAAATACTAATGCCCGACATAGGACTCCAATTGTGTGCAGGTTTCATTCATTGATTTGAGACAGTTGCTGCCGAAAAGTCGGAATTTTGTATTGGAAGTGCATTCTAAGGGTCCATGCATATCTTTATTTCTTACATTTACGTGATAAAAAGCTATTTTAAATTCAGTTAAGTAAATACTGGAGAATGAGTACATTTAGGGCTCTAGGAGAAGTATGGAAAAGGATTGCCTTTTGTTTTTATGTCCTTTTTAAATACTATGTTGCATATAAACCAAGTATATCACATTTGTAACCTACTAAAAGTATTAAACTTGTCAATACTTTTTTATGTTTTTGAATGAGAATCAACTGTTAAGAGAACTGCCACAAAAAAAGTCCTGTAAATATGTTGGAGACTTGGAAGAGCACGTCTCTATTTCTCTCTTTGCGTATACATGCATACATACAAACACACATACGTGCAGACCTGCGTACATACGCACATACATCTTTCTATGTATGTCCATATTCCTTTACATGTGTATACATATTCATATACAGCACACCTGCATCCTAATGTTTTTAGTTATTTATTTGTTACACCCAAGCCATAGGTGTTCTTTTCAACGTCCTGAAAATCGTAGCCTTGTGGAACACATGGTTTGTCCTGAAGGGTTTCCTTTTAACAGAACATGATGACTCCATATGGCACGCCACCACCGCCCTTTGTTATGTACCCTCATGCAGGAGTATATGTTCATCCATCTGTGCCACCGGTAATTCTCCAACTAAAATGCACTTGAATCTGCTGGTAAGATCAGGTCTTTTTTTTCTTATTTTTTTAATATAACTGAGTGCTATTGGAATCAAACTTTTGCATCAGGGTGCCCATCCATTTAATCCTTATGCAGTGCCTTCACCAGGTGGCAATCCAGAGGCTTTTGTGAGTTTCCACAACTAGGATTGCTTCTGCACATGTACTTTATTTGTATATTCTTTTGCATTCTTGATAATAGTGTTGAATCCATGAAAACTGAATATCTGTTAGAGTGCTGGACCCGAAGTGGATGGCAAATCATCGGAAGGTAAGGAGGGAAGCAACTTGAAGCGATCAAATGGGAGTCTAGGCAATTTGAATTCAATAGCTGGAAAGAGCACCAAAGAGACTGGCAAACCATCTGGCGCATCAGCCAATGGAGGTTTTTCTCAAAGGTTATCCATACGTTTGTTAATTTTTTTTATGATATTTCACTTTTTTAATCAGTATATCTGCCTGTTTTTGACGATAATGCTGTTGGTAACTTTAAACAAAACTACAACAGTGATAGCGGCAGTGAAGGATCAAGTGAAGGGAGTGATGCTGACTCTCAAAATGTAAGCTACCTTTCTTCAGTTCCTTTAATATGTTAAGCTGAATTTCTCGCGTCATTATTTAAATAGGAAATCTTTGTTGCTTACAATGACCTTGGTTGACAGCCATTATTTGTGGGACTTCTTTGACTTACAGATACTCGTGCTAGTTGTGAATTTTGGATATTCACCCGTTAATGATTCTATCTTTTTCTTCTCCTTCTTGGTTGAAACCCATCAATGTTGTTTCTGAACTAGACCTGACCAAAACTTATATGGCACCTGAATCCTATTTTGAATTCCTTTTTGTGGTGAAGGATAATTTATTATGGTTAAATTTGCCTGCTTTTACCCTTTAGTGAACTACACCTGCTTTTACCCGTTAATAAAAAAATTCTCGACATTTCCTACTGGTTTTATGTTTTGTGCAACTCAACAGGCTACAAATCATTTCGCTCTTCTATGGTGAGAGTGGCTTCTCCATGATTGCAGGGAACTTGTAGGCGTTTCTTTATAGAGCATTAAAATTCCACTCCTATTTTCCTTTTCTTGTTCTTTTCCCTCCTGTGTCACTTGCTTAGGGGGTCGTGGTTGCTAGCGGATGAAAATCTAAGTTCCGGATATCCCTATTACATAGAATATATCCAAGTTGCATCTTTTCACAATCTATTAATGAAGTCTTTCACATTGGCCTTAAGTCAGGTGTCGCATGTTTTCTTGCCGGATTTCTTCCCGATCTTTTTTCATTCCCATGGCTGAGGGACATAAGGATGAATGGCATTGGTGTGCGGAAAATTATTTCTATGGTGTGTTTAACCTGGAAATGGGCATGTGGAAGATGCAAATTTGTGTAGGTTGGAGGGGTTACTTCTCTTTTAACATTTTGACCATGTGGTAGAGGTGACGGTTTGGATTAGCCATCATTCTGTTTCTTAGTATCTTGTCTATAATGTGTATGGCGTGGGATTGCTTTGTATGGTTATTCCTTTTGTGACTGAGATTATTGACGAGGCTTTCAACTCCAGGGCACAAAGCTCTCCCTACAAGTGGATCTGTTTTTATACATTTTCTTGACTTAGGACTATTGATGAGTATTTTTTTGTTTATCCTCACGGTCATTTATAGATAACATACAGCGTTGTCTATAAAATCAAATTGAGCGGTTGTATCTAGAAAAATCTCTTTAACAATTAGTGCCCACCTCAAATGGCTTCCATTCATCATTTCTTGGAATAATCATGACCCATTTCTCCTGCAATTTAAAGGTGCTTCATTTTCAATTTCAAGGCGTAGAAATTTGCATCATTCGCGCTTGCTACTTTTGGTAGATCTGTGCCTGGGAGACTTAACTGAGTTATCTGAACTATTTTTAAAAACTTTCTATCAATGTCTTAAATTATTGGTTAATCACGGTGATATATTTTTTTTTGCTTGGACTGTTGCTTCTGTGAGCGCTGAAGTCCTGTGTGTATTTGGTGACTTTGTACAGGACTCACAAGGGAAGACAGCTGGTGGTGAGGATTCAGTTGATGGTAGCTATTGAAATAGTTTTTCCCTTTCATAATTTTGGAAACATCTAAGATTAGACATACTGTTGTTCTCAGTCAGGGCTTCACGAAATGGTGGTACTACTCGTGGCTCTCAGAATGGATCCGCTCGTGCACCTGCACACGGACCAGTGACTCAGCCAATGCCAATGATGCCTGTGCTACCAGCTGGTGGCCCCGGAGCCGTTTCTGGTCCTACCACTAACTTAAATATAGGGATGGACTACTGGGGATCACCCGCAATTGCTCCAATGCGTGGAAAGGTTCATAATGCTCCAGGAGGAGTATTAGTTTCTCCTGGGCAGAGCGTTCCATCAGAACTTCGGCTTCAGGTTCATTCTCTTTTTTTTCTTTTCTTCTCTGTGACGTTTTTTTTATTGAACTGTATTAGGTATTTTATACCCGAATTGGAACAACCAGGTTATTAGCTTTGCTCGTCAACAATTATCAGTTATACTACGTGCAAACCGAGTTCTAATTCGTGGTGTCTCTTTGATACTATCATCTTCTTGGTATTAACAGACTTGGGCAATTGGGAATTCAATTTGATAGATTTTTACTGAGAATGGAGTATACTGTTCTAGTAGCGCTGGAAATCAATGCGTTTGATATCTGATTGGATTAAGACTTCCAGATTTCGAGGTTTGGTTGTGTTCTCTTATGAGTTGTTTTGGTTTGTCGATCTGTGCACGTTTATGCAATTGAGAAGGAGTTGGAAATGGTTGGAGCAAAATAATTCCTTTTTTACCTTTGTTTATTTGTTCACCGGGAGCACAAGCTTTTATTTCATTGTTTACTTTTGGTTTTTTTCTACTCGACGTATATCTGTGAGACTAAAATTCAGGTCATTTATTGGGTTTGGTCTTTGCCAACAGGTGAAGGAATTGATATATTGGACCATCACTAGCTGGAATGTCTCACGACTTAAGACAGATTCACTTGTGATTTTTAACGAGGACCCATCTCTTAACTAGTTTGATCGGCTAATCCCCCGTCTATTTTCCTATGTTTGGCTGCTAGCGAACTACTGTTTGATATAAAGCGTGGTATGATTGCTTTAAAATTTCTCTCCACATATTTTGTGGAAAGTCATTCGCCCTTGCATTTGATTGCCCATGTTTAGATGTTTGGGCCCAATAATCTTTCGGTATTTTCTTGAAAAACCCACCCAGGAATTCATCTTTAGCCTTTAGATAACCTTTCGATGGAGAGAAACTCTTTTGATTCAGATTGCTTTTGTCATATGCATCTTGTAGAGGAGTTTATCTAGTTGAAGGGTTTAAAAGGGAGAGGATGGCATAGAGATTGCGTTGATATGTTGTACTGCCTGAGGACTGGTACAGAGCATGTTATCAGATCGTGAATCATGTTATCAATTATGTGGGATTCAATCTCCACTGCTCCCTCCCCGGCTTACTTCTAAGGTGATCAATACTAGAATTGGGTGGCCTACACATGATCAATTCCAAAGGAAGATTTTGATAAGTTTCATTGTGCACATCTTATACTGGTCCTTCGGCTCATTCTTGTAACCAGACTCAGAAGTGGATTTTTGAATGAGTAAAAGCTAAAATCGCTAGAATTATCTTTAAAGTTGCCGTGAATTCCAAATATTTCAGCTTGTCATTTGTCCTTTGTCCTTTTTTCAGAAATGATGTGTTTGATGTCTTGTCCTCAACTCAGGATGAAAGGGAACTAAAAAGGGAGCGAAGAAAACAATCAAACAGGGAATCAGCCCGTCGATCAAGGTTGCGCAAGCAGGTGTGTTGTATATTTCTCTACTGCAAAGTCTGGCATCTCCCCCCTTCTACCAGTAATAGGATTTTACACATTCTGTGAACTGCGGTGCTTAATTCCTTGGAGTGGCGGATTCATGCTTTCCAGGCAGAGTGTGATGAGTTGGCCCAGCGTGTGGAGTCTCTCCAGCAAGAAAACGCCACTCTTACAGCAGAGGTGACCCGTGTACGCAAGGATTACGAACAACTTCTTTCAGAGAACAATTCTCTCAAGGTATCTATCTGTTTACCTTCTCCCTGCATCGGATTGAATCCTTCTTCTTAATCTTCTCTGTAGACACGAGACAACTCTGTAATGCTTGTGATGTATGCTCCATGACGACATTCTCAGGAAAGAGTAGGGCAGATTACCAAAGGAACCGAAGATTTGCAACAGAGTAGGAAGGAAGACGATTCGGCTGGTGATGATCGGGAGGGGCCCGTGGACTCCAGCGCAGGAGCAGCACTATAGCAGCTGGTGAAGCTTCTGTTTCTAGTACAACGCATGATGTAGTAGTATGTAGAGGAAGTCAATTCCAGTTCATTGCGATTGGATTGTCGTCGCGTAGAGCTCTTGTCAGTGCTAACCACTGTGGGCATGGTTTCATGTCGTACTGCTGCCATCTTGTCTGATCTTTACCTGTCATAGACGGGGTGGGGCCCCCATTTGCTACTTTGAGGTTGCTGACTTCCTCATATGTCTATTGAGATTTGATGTTGACTATGCTGTTCTACAAGGCCTCTGATGTCTCTGAAGAAGAAGAGGATTGAATGAGGCGTTCTGCGTCTCAGTGAATAAAAGATGTCGTTTTAAGTTCTGCAATGCTCTTCTCTATTAATCTTGATCAATGGGTCCAGATAAAAATGTGCTCCTGCGGCTGGGTCAACCGCCATTCAGCATTTCGGAGAAGATTGATGGCTGTTCTTCGCTGTTCTGGAAGATTTACTGCTTGCTGTAGGTATGGATGCCTAATCCCCATCCTCCCATCTACCAAGAGGGCAAGCTTTTTCATCAGATCATGGGTGAGTAGAGACCATCTCGATTCCACATCAGGATGATACTATTTTTGCCAGGTTGAGCATCTGCTCCTGGCTTGTTCTACAGGAAGCTGTCCTTTGTTCTTGGGAAGTCGAGCACCGTCATCTAATTCATAGAGATAGATCCTAGTTTCCTCTTGTTCTTCTTGTTCTTCTTGTTCTTCTTGTTCTTCTTGTTCTTCTTCCTCTTCAGCAAGGTGGGAAGCAGATGCTTCATGGCCATGGTTGTAATACCTTGAACTGTGGTCAAATGACTTTAGAGGCAAGATTACAATGACCCAAGGACGGACGCCTCGGATTTGAGCATAAACCAGGGGAACCGAGTTCATGAGCTGCTCGTCTTGCATAGCCGTGACCGTGTTTCTCAGTTAAATAAATAATGGAATTACCAATAAAATAATCTCATTTTTTTAATTTGATATTTTAAACACGAATAGTATCTTTCATAGTTAGTTACCGTGTCTTTTACGGTTTTAATTATTTTTTAAAATTAATTTTCAAGTAGTTAAATTTTACATTAATCATGGCTGGTCATAACTGACTGTTCTAGGCTTCCGAAGAAGACCTAATGCGGAAGCGTTCCCAACTTAGACAAATATTTACTTTTACACCCCCAGCAGAACGAAAAATATCAGGACCCTCCGTGCGCCACCCCAGAAAAAAGTGGCTGGGCTGGGCTTCGTACACTCGGCCCATTTACATCCTTATTTTCGTCATATCCTTTGTTTTCCTTCTGGCCTTGTCATAGATAAAATTTAAAATCTTTGGATCCTTAAAATTGAAAACGAAGTCGTTTTGGGGGATTTAGTGGAAACAAATACATAACTACGTTTTCCTCCTCTGAGGAAACTTCAGTCTTCTTGGGGCGGGGCGGGGGGAGAAGGATCTGAGAGAAGCAGTGCGCCGCGCGAGGGGGGAGCGAGTGTTTCGATTCATCGCCGGCTTCTGTTAGGTTTTCCTATAATCTGCGGCTGTTTTTTTCCGTACCGTGTGGTTGAGGCGATGGTGGGCGCCGCGGAGGAGGTCCATCTGAACCGGCTGGAGAGCCAAGTGGAAAACGGTGGAGGAGGGGCGTGGGAGTACCTCTGTCTTGCCAGAAAGCTCAAGGTCCGCCGTTCTGATAAGGTGTTGAAGTTCGGTTTGCCGATCTTGAATGATCCCAGGGCTCGATCTAAGCTTGGTGGTGAAGGTATGGGCCGCCTTCTCGTGTGAATGTTGTTTCTTCTGCTATCTTTTGTTTTGGTTCTTCTCCCTCAATTTTTCCTGTAGTGGATGAGACTCAAGGAGTTAAATTTGGATAATTTTTGTTCGGATGGGCCCTGGGTACATATAGCCGTCTGGGGGTATATACGGTTGGCATCTACGTGACATCTTTAAAACGTTGGATCGTTCCTGCTCCTGATTGATTTGAATTTTTTACTTTTCGTGTTTGAGGATTGACTCCCGGGTGTCTAAGTTTCTTGGGGGATTCATGAACTTCATATTTACATTTGATGTTGCTTTTTCAAAAATTGACGACATTGCTATGATATGACCCCGATAATTTCTTATTGATACTTCATTTTATCTTACATCCATTTTTTTTGTAGGATCTCAAAATATGTATTTGGTAGTTCAGTTTCAGAAAGCAATTAATTCGGATTAGAACTGTAATGAGATTCTTGTCGTCCATGCGAAAGTTTTACAATGTCTCGCTACGGAATGTAGAAAATAGCAAACTAGGGTTGGGTTTTTATTTAGGGTCGTCGGCGAGAAAGAGTCCGAATTGAGAGCAGAGGAAGTGTGCAGGGGTGGGGGTGGTGTAAATATCTTTGAGAGCAGAGTCCTTTAAAACAAAGGAACGTTGGAGTTCAAGAATTTAAAACCAATTGAGGAAGGACGATAAAGTTGATAGAGTGAGGTTCAACATTTATCTAATCTAGTCTGAGAAATCAAGAGACTGGGGGAGGGAGGCTTTTGCAATGTTTGTCCCTTCCCTCTTTCTGTCAACCTTCTTCATTGCTTCTTTCACTGAATCAAATTTGTCTCCATGGGATGAGAGCTCAAGTGATTGTTGGATGTGATGAATCACAGAATTTTGTGTTCAGCACATGACCTTTCTTCAATTATATAGCTGTTGATTAGTTTTTTGGAAGAATGTGAAGAAAAGAGAGAAAAAATGATGCAGAGGGGAACAAGTGCCACAAATTCTATTATTAGACTCGGTTCTTCTCATGTTGTTGTATCTTATTTTTGCCAAGGATAAATCTCATCAGGAGTGACATGCTGGTGCAGTGGACATCATCTTGGGTATGGTAGGTTGAGACAACATCGAGTCTTTGGGAGGGCAATGCTGCAATCATTGATGTGGCGATTGAGATGAATAGCATTTAAGATGAAACTAGTAATCTAATAAATGGCTTTTTTGATATTTGTTCATGTTTGGTGGGGGATTTTTTTGAGTTCCTGGCATGTCATGGCTGCCGTTTTTGAGTCTAAATGCAAGGCTAACATTTTAGAGGTTGTTGATATATGCTAACTATTATGGGTTTTCCATTGCCATGTCTCAGTATGGTGAACCTAAGTTTTTTACCCATACTTAATAACCTATATTGGAAAAATGATCTGGATTTCGGGGTTAGGATTATGTCTTAAAGAAAAATGACAATTTTCCATTAGCTGATCTCATCAACATATTCCTTTAGGTATATGTCTGTGATAATTTTATATCTGAATTTCAAGTAAGCTGATAACCATTTTAAATTTAGGGATCTTTTTAAAATTTCTTTGTGGTAATGGGAAAAAAATTGCTTCTTAGTCAGCCTTTCTATTATGCTCCCCCTGAAGTTTTCCACAGTTGTAATTGCCTCATTTAGCATAGTTCATTGGAATAGCTTCACACTTGTATGTTTTCTGCTGCAGAATGGACACTTTACGAGCAGGTGGCTATTGCTGCTATGGACTGCCAGCAGATTGACATTGCAAAGGTTCTCTTTTTCATCTGTTTTCAACTTCTGGTTATTCTCTTCTGCCGTTATAAACGGAACATGGGGAAAAATCTGAATCTTTTTTTTGTATGTTAGTTAATTTGTGCTACAGCTGCTTTCGTTGGTCAATAAGAACTTTATTCGCTTTTCCAAAATAAAGGTTTTCCTGTAATTAGTGCTACAATGATTAATACAAAGAACTCTGGTAGGTTAATTGGCATAGCCGCACTGGTGGACAATGGTTCGGAAAATTAGACTGGAATCTACTCCAATGTCTTAGCGTATAGTTACTTCGATACTCTCTGTTTATTTATGCTTAGATGGTATATATCTCATGCCTGAAGAAATCGTCTAAGGGAAGGGCTTTTGATGATTCCTATTTATATCAGTGAACCTGAACCTGCATTTGTGCTCTCTAGCCCAGTTTCAATGGGAGAAAGTGATGAATGCCCTTAAAAGAAAGGATCAGCCTATAGTTAGTTGAACGTGATGCTCAGAAGGCCTGCTTATTTGGTGTTTCGGATAAAGAATCCATATTAAGTTGGATCCATGAAAGATTTAGCCCAATCTCGAATGCCTTTTAATTAATAAAAGTCCCTATCTAAGATCTAATCTTGCATCACCGCGTAGGGTTAGGGAATCCTTTGAAGTTGGTCGGTAAACAGAGAGGAACGGAGGAAGTTCAAGTTGCATATCCTCCAGTATCTCTTTTTTTATGTTTAGACATGATCAATTTGCTACTCACGAGTATCAAAATAATTGTATCCCCTTTTCCAATTTCTCGTCCCAGTCATGTCACTAACTTCAGTATTTATCACTGTTTTGTGCACAAGCTGTTATTCATTGATTTGCTCAATGATATCAATTGCGTAATTTGATTAATTTCATCTTCTCTCTGACAAAGACTGTTGAAGATTCCATGTCTTCGTATGGCATTTTTTCTCTAGTCTGTCCATGGTTGAAGACTACGCATTTGAACCTTTATCATATTTTTTTTAATTTTACTATACTAAATCTATGATTTTTCCTGGCAAGAACATGGCCCAGGGAATTGGGAAATGAGGTCTCACATAGATAAATTCATGTCGCCAAAGAATACGTACTCTTTTGTACATGAAGTCGTGTTCATAAATCAGTCACGTTGGTGCAAACAATTCACCGTTCAGACAAAGCATATTTGCATGGGGTTCCAGCGTTGTGTGAACACACCTAGGTCTCACTTGAGTATACAAATTTGTGGACACGAACGAGTGACATTTGTGCGAACTACTCACCTTCCAGTAAATGTAAATTCCTGTGGTGTGGTGTCCCAATCGGTGAATATTATATATGAGCCCATGAAAATTTATTTTTGGTTTTTTTATTTCTGTGGCAATTTGAAATAATTCAAATGAAGCAGTTTGAAAACTACTGACGCTTTTGATGATAAAGGTCATATGCTAGAATATTTGTTCGTGAATATCTTATTTCCTGCTCCTTGTTGATAGTCTTACTAAACTTTATATTAGAATTTTAATGGTGCCATATATTTCCTGAAACAAATTTCTTTAGGTCTCTTGAGTATATATTATATTATTATATTTTGGTTTGCAAGAGTGAAATTTTAGTTGCCAAAAATAAAATGCTGAACACGTGAGGTGATATTCCAGGACTGTATAACAACACTTTTAAAGAGATTTCCAGGGAGCACGAGGGTTGGTAAGTAGTCTTCTGTGACGTGGAATATACTTAAACTTTGTGTACTTTATTTTTTAATTTGGTTTGTCTACTCTGGTCTGTTAGAAATTTGATTTTCCTCATCCTAAATCCTTGTGTACTTTTTTTCTTGAATTTTTGGCATATTTTATTAGTTAACTTTGATGATCTGATCAACAGAGTCTGTTGTTGTGATCTGGTGATACTAAGGAATGATGGCCGTTCTTTTCAGAAGAGCTTACTCATTCATTCATTGATGTGAATATCAGAAGCCATAGGACAGGATGGTTGAAAAGTACCATACCATGCTATTAGGACTCTCCAGAGAATGCACTGTGGGAATGATATCAGCATGTCAGTAGCTTTTCTTGTTGGTGTTTTCATAAAGAGTCAAAGAATTTACCCTTACTGAATGACAGAAAGGCCTAGAATTTTGCCCATGCTATTAGGCCTAGCATCCAAATTTGTTCCCCTACCAACCCTCAGAGGCAAGTAGGCCTGACAATTCTATCATGCCTTTGACCTGTAATCCTTTTAGCATTTTTATTTGTTTGTTGATCGTTGATTGTGATGTTACCGGCTAAGTTTTATTCATGTCTGACATGATTGGCAAAATCAACCAAGCCCAAATTTACTTCATTGATGACGGTCATAGAACATTTGATCTATATCGTACCTTCATCCCTGAATGACTTAATCTGACAAATTTCTGCTCGCTGGAGACCAATCATCCTTTAATGGCAAGTTCAAGCAAGATGAGATTTACTTCATCGATGATCTACATGGTATCTTCATCCCTAAATAACCTACCTTGACCAGTTTTTCCTCCCTAGAGGACAATCATTCTCCCTAGAGCACACCAATCTGCGCAAATTCAGTTCCTCTCAAATTCCCTTGGATCTTGAATACTGGTCTCCTCTCATATCCCTATAGTCAGGTGTCTCTGACACTGAAGCATGCACATCATTGGTTGTCTAGCAAAGTGACAGACAGTGCTCTTCAACGAGTGAGCCTCACATTATTGTTTCCAGAAGTGAGCATCCAATTGGTTCCCAGTTCCTTGAGATATTATTTTATGTCCTCCATTGTATGCCTCATGCTCTTGTCCTATCTTCATTTTTCTCAGTCACCTCTAAAAGGTGCCATTTCCTTGAGTCTTGCACAAAAGTCTCCGCCCATTGGTCAGAAGAAACTCTCTTTTCCATCCTACAATCCTACCGCTGAAATTTGGCACAAACTTCCCCCAGTCATACCCTCAGTCACATTGTTCCCGTCCCTTCCTCACTTTGTGTTCATACCCTCAGTCACACGCATCTCGTACATGATCTTCTGACCACTTTCTTTAAGCGACTCCAAAATAGAGATAGTTGTTCAGAAAGTAATAGCATATCAAGATAATGAAGGTGGGCTACTGACAAAGCCTCATGCATGCGGATGAAACCCTCATATCCCCTATAAGCTTTAGACCTTTTGCCCTATTTTCTTTCATACCTCCGCAATATCTACACAAACCTTTGGAATTTGCTCTAAATTTTGGAAGTAAAGGGGTTTCAATTGATTTCCTCAAAGCATTCGTCAAGTATTCGCTTTTGAGCGTATCTTAGCGATGGGTCATAAGATGATTACATGGAGCATGCTGGTGCTTTTGTTAGGGGTTTGAATGAAGAACTTGAATCTCTTATATTCGATCATGAGAGAAAATTTTTGAGGACTTCAAATTTTTGAGGACATCATAAACATGTTCGTCTTTCTTTTATCATACATTATGGTATTCCTCGGTCTCCCCAAATAATATGCAAGAATACTAAAATCATCAACTTGCAGGTTATGCCGGTCATATTACTATCTGGTGAGAAACAGTAATAAGAAATTATCACTGTGAAGATCAGTCGCTTGGAAAATAACCAAACCGTGAAATATCTACAATTCCATTTGTTAACATCAGTCAGAGATTACCTTCATATCATTGTGATTTTATTTTATTTTGGTATATCTGCAGGGCGGTTAAATGGAATGCTATCTGAGGCAAAAGGAGAGTTCGCTGAAGCCGAAAGAGTCTATGAACAGATTTTGGAGAAAAACCCACTCGATCAAGTATATATTTTTATTGACCGGAAACTACCAATTTTTTTAGTTGTCTACTTAGAAAGAGGCAATACATCAGATTCCCACGATTTCAGGCGATTCAGAAGAGGAAAGTGGCGATGGCGAAGGCTCGAGGGGACCTCTCAGCTGCAGTGGAACTCCTTAACAAATACCTAGAGATGTACCTACTGGGTCTTATGAAAAACTAATCTACCATTCGCATAATGTTCCAAGCGCCATCGTCCTATGGTTCCTGCCAAGTGACGAACTGGTCGAATTTTTATTTCAGATTCATGGCAGACTATGACGCCTGGAGAGAACTCGCAGAGATTTACGTTTCACAGCAGATGTAAGACAATTCTCGCCCTGCCATCGCCCATCATTCCACTGCTCATCAGACTTGTCCTCTGGTTTTCACCTTTCTTTGTCGGTTGCGTAGGTACAAGCAAGCAGCCTTCTGCTACGAGGAACTGATCCTGTTCCAGCCTACGGTGCCTCTCTATCATCTAGCTTATGCTGAGGTGAGTAACTCTCTCCCCTTCCCTTCTGATTAAATCATTCCAAGTGTTCAAACGTTCCCCGGCCTTCCTGCTTCGTGGAGACGCGGCGGCTAAACATAAAACAACTTTGAGCCCACAGTTTTACTCTAAGAGCCTATCGCTCGCGCTTCGTTCGATTAGGTGCTCTACACAATGGGCGGCCTGGAGAATCTCCAGACGGCCAAGAAGTACTACGCATCCACCATCGATTTAACTGGAGGCCAGAACACCAGGGCTCTCTATGGTGTCTGCATGGTAAAGAGAGCTAACTTCTCTTCTCCACTCTGGTGATGATCAGAGGAACCGGCTATAGGCTCATGTGGGAATGTTTTTAACGGCTCCCCTTCCTACCGTTGCAGTGTGCTTTTGCCATCAGCCAACTGGCGAAGGGCCGCAGCAAGGAGCAGGAAAGCGCCGACCTTCAATCCCTGGCCGCCGAAGCCCTTCTGAAGGAATACAAGCAGAGGGCTCCTGATAAAGTAGCCATTCTCACAGCCACACTGAGGGGCATGAAGCTCATCTCCTAAGAATGTCTGACTTTTCTTCTACCCAGAGAACATGCCCCACGGATATGTAAGAGAAGGCAAAATTACTTGGTTTTTTTTTTGGCCCATCTCCTATGTTTCCAATCATTATTGCTGAAATAAGGTTTCCAATTCTGTTTTAAGAGATCCTACAGCAAATTTCTGATGTTTTTCACTCTATCAATTTACCTTTGGACGGATTTAAAGTAAGCCGAAAGAGGGGTTTACAAAGATTTTAGGCACATAACCATCATCATCATCATCATCATCATCTGTGAAAATCAGAAGAAAGACACTATTCGATGAGCTCTTTTAGACTCGGTCCCAAAAATCGGCATCAAAAAGCATTTGTTCTAAAGCATTCGAAGTTTCTAAGCATGAAAAAACTCAGTAGTCTACTCATTCATTGACGGAAGAGCAACCCACGACGTCAACCTACGATCATCTGCCCCAAGGAGATAGACTACAGCCACAGCTGCCATTACTCACTTCCCCATGGTCGATGACACGAACATAATGCAGAAAAAAAGATCATCGCTTCTTGGAGACACCGACAGTCTTCCCCCGCCGACCAGTGGTCTTGGTGTGCTGCCCGCGGACGCGAAGGCCCCAGTAATGTCTCAGGCCCCGGTGATTCCTGAGAACCCGGCAATAAAATCAGTCATGCACCCGATAATCTCAACAAGTCAAAACATTGCCGTGAGTCAACGTTCCCTGGATTGCTATTTGAAGATGATGTTTATGAATTCCCAACAGTTTCTAAGTTTCTCTCATGTGAAAAGGAAAAAGAAAAACTTTAGCAGGAGCTCATCATACACGGAGAGGGGGATCTGTGTGTGTGTGTGTGTGTGTGTGTGTGGGTGGGGGGGAGGGGTCACTGTAAGCGCAACGAATGAATAGCATATTGCTGGAAGTCAACGTGTTTTTGAACACTCCTTGATGCATTCTGAGATAGATACAGGCCACATCGATGACCTGGTCTAGGATATGATTAAAGAGTCATGTACAAATTGCCACAAAGTCCTTTCATAAAATAGCGCGAGATTGCTGAAGAAGGAAATCTGACGATGGGCGACGAACCACAGTGTGTGTGGTACAACAGATGGTCTATTATTTTGCCGAAATAGACGCATAAGTCTTTTCATTAATGAACATTCAGTGAAAATAGCTAAAAATTAAGCATAAACAGGATAATGGAGGTAAAGGTTAGCCGGGTGGGTATATATAGGGCTTCTAACCAAAAAAAATCAAGAAGAGATTTTTTACAGTAGCTAGATCGCCAAGCAGCGTGGCAGTGGCGATGGGAATCCGAATTAAAAAACACGAGGAAACGTATGAACTTGTGAGGTGGAGAGGTTATATTTATCCAAAGACGTCGGACTTGAAGAGAACAACAAGGATGATTCAGAACAAACCTGATCTTCTTCAGACGCTCAAGATCATCCCTCAACTTCATGTCAAGAGCGTTGGAAACCACTTGGGAGTACCTACCGTCCTTGTAATCCTTCTTTCTGTTCAGAAACCAGTCGGGGATTTTGAACTGACGAGGGTTGGCAACGACTGTCATCAGGTTCTCAATTTCGGCAGTGGAGAGCTCGCCAGCCCTAATTATATCCCATCAGAATGGAGCAACCAGTTAGTCTCCATTGAACAAGAAGATAATATTCGATAAAAAGATAGCGAATATTGCCAAAATTATTAGTCATCGATGGCCTCTGTCCAGAGAGAAAGTTCAAATGCACTGGAACGAAACACTGTGAGAAACAAACGTTTGGGCAAACGTAGATCACGGGTCGCGACGCTAAATCTTCTCCAACAATAGATCACTAAAAGAAAAATGGCTCCATCAAAGAAGAAAGACGTTGATGAACTGCCGCGTCAATGTCACAGAAATTATGTTTGCAGGTTTTTCACAAAATGAGGAGTCCCCGGGAACAAAACCGTACTCAAATTTGTTCCATATTCGAATCAAATATGCAAACAATATGGAAATGTGGCATCCTCGCATGACACGCCTACAACATCTGAAATCCAAACACTAGCTCCAGACGAGGTGACAATGGAATCCAATTATCCAGGAAACACTCGCGCTAAAACCCAAGCAATCTGAACGCAACACTCCATCAAACAGCGTAGACCGGCTCGAGGCTATCGGAGGGGAAGGTCACCTCTTATTCATGTCGATATCGGCCTTCTTGCACGCGATGTTGGCAAACCGGCGCCCGACACCCTTGATGGAGGTGAGGGCGAACATGATCTTTTTCTTCCCATCAACGTTCGTATTCAGTAGACGCAGAATGTGCTGGAAGTCCTCGTTCGCGATCAGAGACTGCACAACGCCCAGAAAAAAATATACTTCAAAAAAATTACGACACAAGTAGAACTCATTCCGTCCGTCCAAAAACCCGAAGATCAAAACAACCTAGGAGATAAAAAAGAAGAAGACAAGTGCCAGATGCATGCTGGAAAGATCAGATGGGGAACTCACCATGGCTGCGGCTAGGGTTTCTTCCCGCTGCCGACGCTCTCCGGGGTCCTGAACCTGGCGCGAGAAGAGGGCTAGAGCGACGAAGCGTCGGCGGCGGCCTACGTGGGCTTAAGAAGTCGAGTAGCCCTAGAAACTCCCACGAAAGGGGAGCCCCTGACCGTTCTTTTTTCAAGATGCAATCTCCAGCGTTCATCTCGCGGACCTAATTGAATATTAACAGGCGGCGGATCTTGCCGGTCTGGTCGGACCACGAAACCATCTCTAACTCGAGGATGTATTTTTATTTTTTATATAGAAATGCTTTCCCATTGTTTTTCAATTAAATCTAATATATCATAAAAATTATTGAAATGACCAGTAAATATTTAAATAGATATTTCTAATCGAGTGAATTTCAATATATCTACAAAGCTGACATGGTATGGAGAAGATTACATAGTACTAGAAAATATAAGGAAAATATAAGAAAAATATAAGAAGAGTACTAGAATTATAAAGATTATAGAGCAGAAGAGAATCCTTATTTATTAAGATTATTATGTTATATATAATCATGGTTTATCACTTATACTTTATTTATGAAGTTTTCTATTTTTTTTAAAAAATCTTAATAGATCATACTTGGGTAATTTAAGAGGAAGAGGGATTGTACATTTACATCATGTTGTTCATGCTCCTAAATAGGAATCCTTTAGTGACCAGTCAATTGAGATGGATTGATAGATGGAATGATGGGTAATCTGGGACACAGTTCTAATTTAATTTCAAAGACTATGGAAGAACCCTTCGATAAATGCTAATTCTAGATAGTAGACATATACTTTCCAATTAGAATACAATCGATACTTTTGTAGACACAATAGGATAATAAAATGTAACAGTAATATCATGTTACCTATTGACTTATGGACATGGGTCTGAATAATGTAGTGACCGATTCTATGGGCATTGATTAAGAAAATGAGTGAGGAATCTAAGCATATTGTATACAGAAGAACCTAGACTTGAGGTTGAAGCATTGATTTCTATCATAAAATGTATTTTTCTCTTGTTGAGATATGGAGAGGACATTCTTTATGTACAGTGATTGACCTCTCATGAATTTTTAGGACTTGTAACTTAAAAAATGATTGAAAAGAAATCTACTCACATCTCTGCATGCTTGTTTAGGATGCAAATTTTTTAATGGCCATTTTTAGAGTATTGCAGGTTTTTTTTTCATTTTTTCCTATTTTTCCTATTTTTTTGTGTAGTGTTTCGACTCAAATGCTTTCTATGTATCTTAGGTTAACTCATTTCTTGCACTCTTTTTCACTAGTGTCTATGGTTCTTTGCAATTGTAAGTGAGATTATTTGAGTAATTGATGAAATGAAAGAAATTTGATACTTCGTTGCAAGGCATGAAAAGTGTGGTATATTCTTGATCTGAAAGAGCACATCAAATATTTAAGTAGTAGAACCAATTTTGGCAACAATTACATAGGGATATTAAAACTAAGAGTTTAGTTTATAATTAAACTTATCGGAGAGAATTTTGTTGATGCAAATGCAACATGAAGAACATTTGATCCCCTAATATAAGCTCTTCATTATCTTTATTTCTTTGTTGAAATTTTAAGTAAATATATGTAATATGGCTTCTCAATTAATTATTCTAAGTAACCCCAATGAAATACATATTTTTATTTATTGTGTGGACAATATTCTTAGCTCATTTACATAGTTACGAATTTCATGTTATGATAATCTTCTAACAAAAAACATTCTTGACTTAGTTGAGAATTTTATGGTAACAAAGTGTGACTAGTAGTTGACGAGCAAAATGGCTCAATTAATTACTTTCTCACCCTTAATAAAAGTATTAAATGGTTCTTAACTTATCCATGAACTCATAGCTACATTTCATCATATAAATAATAATTGTTTTACATTGAGTCCGACTAGTAGGGAACTAATACATGTAAAAGGGTATCCATTACTTGTTTGTTGATTTTATTTCAACACTCAGATTGTATTACTAGGGCCCATATGCTTGGTGAGTCACTAGTGTTGTATGGTTATGTTTTGACTTTGCTGCCTTTAGTATTTTAAAATCTATTGATTAACCTTTATCATAAACGAAGGATAATAAAATGTAAATTCTCTTTCTATGCTATCAAAATGATGACATAACATCATATTTAATGAAAAATGGGATTTTTTGCTTAAAAGTGAGGAGTTGGTTACCTTATATGATAATTGACCTGATTTTCAATCATGGCGTATAACATTCAATAAAAAATAATTTAAATAAAACATTTAAGAACAATGTTAGAGGTTCAAACATAAGTTTCTTGAGAGAATATAATTAAGCTTGAGCTTCTTTTATCTGCTTAAAAAAATGTTTCTTTGATAATCAATTCAAATGTGTAACATGGAGGCTTTGGTAATGAATAAAGTTTATACTATACACAATTACATTCATAATAAAATCTCAAAGCTTTGACATTTTAGTCTATTCTTATACTCAATTAGTTAGCAACGTCCTAAGTGAAAATTTAAGTCACTCCAAAAAACATTGGTAAGAGTTCAAAACATTTCAAATGAGTGTGAAAGGTTTTTTTTATGGAATGCCACTCTCCTTCACTTAAATATAGTGAAATCTAAATCTAAAGATTAATTTATAAAAAAATCAGTTCTTTAAAGTTTAGTTTTGGGCCTCATTTATTGAGGCTGTGCAAATTCATGATTGATGATGTTTAATTGGTTTGATGATGACAAAAGTGTAATAATTGATCTCTCTTTTTTGTTACATTGAAAGTATAAATTCCTATAAATTAAATTAGATCATTAAACTATGTGAAAATTTCTCAAAAGTAAAATGATTCATATTTGGATGCAAGTTTTCCATAGATAGTCATGCATTACTGTTGGGAGAGTAACACGATACAATAAAATGCATAAAAAAATGATGATTTTTAATCATTATAATTTTTAGAAGATTAATAAGTATATTTAGAATTTAGATTCTAGGTGCATACATGACCTAAAATGGACTATTATCTAGCAATGGAACGATCATTGAACACCATATAATATAGTATAAGAGGAGCGTTTCAGCCATTATTAAAGTTTGGGCAAAAATAGAAGAAATGAGAGAGAGCGTCTTCTCATCTACTCTATTCCTTTAAGGAGTTCAAACTTAAATCTTCATCCTGATCACAAGTAAAGAAAGGAAATCAATGGTGTTCAACCATCCACAGTGTAAGTTTTTCAATCAAATAAAATTCTAGGCTGAATTTGTAAAAAACTTAAATTATTATCAACTTTGTTCGAGGTTTACTAAAACCTCTATATTTAGCACATAGGTTTGCTGAAGCAGTTGAATCTAGTGGTTATTCACTAGAGCTAAATAAAACATAACATAGATTTGGTGAAGCCTCAACATTCAACATATAAATTTGTCGAGACTAAGATATTTAGTAGTTGATTGTTGGAATTTTAGGATCTAGAGCATAAGGTCATTGAGGTATGTATATTCAATGGAGGCTTGTAGAAATTATTGAGTCAATGTGTTTCACTCAAAACTTACTAGAACATAAAGACTTTCTCCTTAGAGAATGGGGTAGATTTGAGAGATTTAACTATGAAATCTGCCGTGTGAATCTTTATTGTTCTAGTCCAATGTCTGATAATTATATTTAATATAATATTGATGTGTTATAGGATCAATCTTGAAATTTATAAGATCAAAAAATCCCCTTACACTAAGATTTTATAGGTTCATCTCACTAAGGTAGTGATCTAACTTTTCCCTTGTTAATAGCATTCCCTTTAGTGAGTTCACATGTTAGAATAATAAATGAGTTGTGAAGTGCCTCCCTTGTTCAATAAACTTTTGGATGCTTAAAGAAGCTTAGACATTATTGCACTTGCACTAAAAAGAGAATGATGATTGCAACATGATTTAATTGGTTTAATGTAATATTAATGTGTTATTTTGAAGATATTGAGAGAAACTATTTATAGCCCAATAATTCATCCCTTGAAATTCAAGTGATTAAGATTTGATTGCAACTATATAGTAGGAGATTCTTTGAATACTTTGTTCTTTTGACATGCCCTGAGTAATTACAGCTATCATAGCAGTTGTAAATACAACTTGATATGTTTGATCTTTGAGAGATTCTAGCTTGATGTGTTGAATCTTAGAGATAATCTTTAATTTTCTCTCTCCAGAGTTTGATTCATTGATTGTCAGGTCAACCCATGGGGTCGACTCAATGCCTTCTTTATGCATTAAGAGTGAGATTTGGATACAAATAGGCATGAACTATATCTCTCTCAACTTTGCCATCGGGTGCCCATACAATCAGAAAATTGGACCGAATGTCTGAAAGGGACAGTTAATCTCGATATCCTACCGAAGTGGGAGAGTCTTGGCCAGTAAGGCAGCCGGGACTTGAACAGGGGGGCCCTCCGTGGTGTACCGGGAGTACCCACCTCTTCTTAGTGATGATATACGGGAGGGAGGTAACCAAACCGATAGTGAAGTGTATACCAACTTCTTCCTCCTTCCTTAAACCCTACCGGTTAAAACCCCTCCAACGGCGCGCCAGCTCCTCTGGATCATTCCAATGGCGTGTCCGAGGAGCTAGGGACCTCCTCCCAGCCGAAGAGTGAGAAAAATCAAGGGAGGATGGGGGCTGCTAGGGCAGTGGCTGCCGCCGTGGCGGCAGTCGTTGCATCATCGTCTCTGATGAAGGAGAATGTGTACGCCGACAGTCCTTTCCGCTTCTCGCCGTTCGGTTCTACTTCGCCATCGCCGGCGCCTTCGCCTTCGTCCCAACCTTCATCTTCGTCCCCATCTTCCTCTTCGTCCTCTCCATCTGGGGCTCACGTCCCTGCACCGGAGAGCTCCGGTGCAGCTGCTGCAGCGGCGGACAAGCCTGCGGAGCAACCGAAGGTTCGAAACGACAACCCGAGAACTACGGCCGCCGGGTTTGATCCGGAGGCGCTGGAGAGGGGGGCAAAAGCCCTCAAGGAGATCAACAGCTCGTCTCAAGCCAAGAAGGTGTGTGGATCCTTTGGTTGTTTATGACGTGTCGTACAGTCGATCGAATATGTAATTTGACGTTTCCTGCGCTCATGGTCAGGTTTTTGAGATCATGAAGAAACAGGAAGAGACGAGGCAGGTTGAGTTGACGACTAAGAAGGCGGAGTTCCTGGCCCTACAAGCTCAACATGAAACTGTACGGTTGTGTGGAAGTTTACCTCTGTGATCCATTATTCCATTTCTTTGATCACTTCTTCTTTGAACATAAATATTCTTTATGAAAATGGGCGTTTGTTTCACCAATGGGCGCGACACAGGATATGGGCCATCCAGCAATGTAGCCCTTTTCAAATTTCTTTGTCTGGTCAACTCTTGATTTCTGCTTCTATATTTATAAATCAATTTTTTTGGCATACACAAGAATGAGAGATTCTGTACTACCATGTCTACACTTTGCTATTCTAATGGCCCTGCTCCTGTTAGTTAATGGGAATATCTTCTCTTGAATGGGCACCCGGTGGAAAAAGCAAGAAAGACTGCGGCTGAGAGGATTTAGTGTTGGACGTGATCACTTCTGTGCAGTGCTGAAGTACATAGTGCTTGATATGCTTCATGTTCTTACTTGGAAAATTCTTGGTATTTACGTGTTCAAGGATTACTAATTGACATAATTCGGATATTCATAAGACTTTTATCTTGTAGGAAAGGCAACGGGTAATATATGATGAGCAAAAAAAGTTAACTCAACAGCAGGCACAAACTAAAGCTCAAATGGCCCGTTATGAGGATGAATTAGCGCGGAAGAGGATGCAGGCATGCTTTAAAATTTATTTGCATGTAAAATAAAATAAGACAATATCAAATTAATTATTTAATCCTGTGTGCAGGCAGAGCATGAAAGCCAAAGAGCAAGAAATCAAGAGCTTGTGAAAATGCAAGAAGAATCATCCATCAGACTGGAGCAAGCTCGACGTGCTACCGAAGAGCAGATTCAAGCACAGCGAAGGCAAACAGAAAGGGAGAGGGCAGAGATAGAGCGGGAAACAATCAGAGTGCGAGCACTGGCAGAAGCAGAAGGAAGAGCTCATGAGGCTAAATTAGCAGAAGATGTAAATAGAAGAATGCTAGTTGAACGGGCCAATGCAGAGAGAGATAAATGGGTTGCAGCAATAAACACAACTTTTGACCATATAGGAGGTGCAAATGGCTTACTCTAATCTACGCAATTCATGTAATTTTTGCATTCACGCCTATCTTTCTGATTCCTTAAATACAATTAAATAATATATTTTTACAAGATTTTAATGTAGAAAAAATATCCTAATGTTTAGAGCTGATGGCGATTTTTAAATGAAGGTGCCAAATGGATTGATGTATTCATTATTATTTTTTTCCTGCTGTACACTATCTTAGCATCACTTGAAGTTGGAGTTGGGTTTGCTTGGTAATAGTGAAGTATAATGCGACAAGAGTGGGTTTACTGGAACAAAGAGGTCCGGTAATGTGGGTCTTGCATACGTGTTCATGGTGAATCGTCATGAATGTCTATAGAAATGCTGAGGAAACTGGGAGAAATTGTTTTAAGGTTGTATGAATGCAATTATTGTCGTGTGGTCATCTTTGGGCCGCAGGACAGTCTATGCCTATTTGTTTCAATACTAGTCAAGGGGAGAGGGGAGCCCATGACAGGAGATGAAGTTGAAGGACATTTTAGAAACAAAAAAGAAGCTGAACATATATAAATTTGAGGAATCTTCTATGTTGTACGATAGGGTGGAGCTTCAGTTATGTCATTCTGTTTAGCATGGCGAGGGGAGGTTTTGGACTAAGAAACCTAGGTGCTAGAAATGTTGCATTTCTGAGCAAATGCTTATGATGGCCAGGATGAAACGGTCGTCATTTTGTGTGCCATACTTTATTCGTTAGCTGGGTTATTGAAGGCAAAAAATACCCTTGACTCAAGTTAAGTGATTCATGAAATACCGTTGACCTCAGGTTGTGATCCTTGACCTAGCATTTTTGGTTTGTGGTTTCTCTATACAAACTTATGAGCCATTTAGTATGATGAAAATGATGCAGCATTTTAGGATCTAGAGATTTCAGGATTGTGACAAAGAAGATGAGCAATTATTTATGAATTGGATCGCAGTGCTCTTTGAAATATCTAAAGAAACTTGGTATGCCTTATGTTAGCATGATGTACAAAATAGGCTGATTCAGTGGGAGTACCTGAGCATCGTGTGAGGTTAAAGTTGAGGAAAACAATGCAACTTGAGGTTCTCTTAGTCCCCAGTGGAACTAGTACTTTTAACTGATACACTAGAGGAAGATGGAACAGTCACATTTGCAGGCCGTAAATAAAGAATGATGGAAAAGGAAAACCAGGTGCTGCTGCCAATTGCAACCACTGTGGTCCACGGGCTGTCATGCACTATTGCTCTATATGCCAGCTTATTCTCCCTTCTGGAGAGGATAGGGGATTAGGGGGATAGATTAACAGGTGAGGGAATTAATGAAGGGTGTGGTCTTTTTTTAAGTGTTTGATTTGGAACCTTAATACATTTACACCTTATATTTATTATGAACAGCATAAAATTTCACATCTTTTTGGTTTTCCTAACTGGATTCGATTTTTCCGTGAATTAGCGATTCCACGCATCTAATTCTGATTCAAATAGGATGGGGCCTTCTGAGTGAGGGATCTGATCGGATCTGGGAGGAAATATTTGTAACTTTCTGATCGTTTGCTACATTCCATCTCCTTGTTCTGCAATTCCCCTTTTCCTCACCCTTTTATGATGCGTAAATTTTAGGGGGTCCAACAGTGGACCAGGGCTAAGTAAGTACACTGCATGTAAAAAAATTATGGCTTCAATCTTTACCTTTTCTCCGAAGGAAAAGAATGATTAATGCACTTAGACATTATACCACACTTTACTGCAAAAGCTAATGTTTAAATTTGGACCTTGGGAGGTTTGCCCTCTGATTTAAGTTTAAGATTTGTAAGCTACCGTGGACATCATAATTTTAGTTTATGGTTATTTAAAAACATACACCATATCATTGCCTATTTGTGGTCTAGGTTGCCATAGGAGGATCTTAACTTTATAACTAGAGAGAAAGACCATGTAAGAACATGGTTACTCCATGCTTGACTTCGTCCATGGTACGTTTCACCAACACACATGTTAAACGAAAGTATTTGATGGCAGCTGTCAGTGGCAATTTCTATTTTAAGATTGGTTAATCGTGCTTTTTGTTTCCTGGTTAATTTATTTTTTTAGGGGTTTAACTGATTGATCAGAATAATATGATTTTTCCTGTTTTCGTCCTAAGATTGTCTAAATTATGCCATTTGCTTTTCGTGGAACCAATAATGCAGGAGGTTTGCGGGCTATACTGACTGATCAGAATAAGTTGATCGTAGCTGTTGGAGGTGTAACTGCCCTTGCTGCAGGAGTCTACACAACCAGGTTTTCTTTCACTTTTTAGAGATTTAATTTCCTGTTCATCATTCATTTATGCTCTTTATTTCTTCACAAGGAGTATACATTGCAGTTTGAATCTTAATGCAACAACAACATGATCGTCCTCTTTAAGTCACTGAGGACATTTTCCACATTTCTAAGCTTCGATGCCGTGCTATCTTAACTTATCCAAGACCTAACTGTACGATAATTCATTATGTTGCATTAGATCCACAACATTAGGTTGCATGGTGGATGTTAATCATAATTGACCAGAAGGGGCTTCGGTTGCCCTTATCCATATGCGGAAGAAATCCCTGTTCATATTCGCAGAAAGAGTGGGTTTATCTCCTAAGAGACAATTGAATTGCCTATTTTCCTTTCCAGAGACAAGCTCTTTGTTCCATTCGCCTTCTCACTAGTGCAAGTGAAACCATTAGTTAATTTTTTCGATGGTAGCAGCTTGGTCCCTTGTATGATGGTGTGCTGTAGATTGGTCGATCAACAACTTCACGTGTGGGCTGAATTGCCACCATTATCTAGGCTGAAAGTTTGCTTTCATGCTTTTGGGCAAAGTTTTGAGGGCGATAATGGAATTAAAATTGAAGTTTCGCCTTCTCTACTTTATGTTTTGTGGGCTGAAGTTGTTTTTTAATACTTGATGGGTGCTTATCATTTTTCCTTTTTCTTTTTTTTTTTTTCCTTCTAAGCGAGAGTATCTTCTGTTTGCTCTTTTGCCTGAACAGAGAGGGTGCTCGGGTTGTTTGGGGCTACATCGACAGAATACTAGGTCAGCCATCGCTGATTAGGGAGTCATCCAGAGGGAAGTACCCTTGGTCTGGTTTTCTCTCTTGTTCTTTTAGTTCATTGTTCAAGAAGGCTGATAGAGGAGTTGGCTCTGGAGCGAATGGAAATGGGTTTGGTGATGTGATTCTGCATCCCTCTCTGCAGAAGAGAATCCAACAGCTTGCCAGTGCAACTGCGAATACCAAGGCTCATCAAGCGCCATTTCGCAACATGCTGTTTTATGGTCCCCCAGGAACAGGCAAAACCATGGCTGCTCGAGAGCTTGCTCAGAAATCTGTACGTCATGTCATGCATTTAGTATTTTTTTTCTCCCCCCCTAGACGAAGAAAAATGAGCTTCTCCAAGGCATGGTTATTTACCTGTTTGGCATGGTTTCTCAGGGCCTTGACTATGCATTGATGACCGGTGGCGATGTTGCTCCTCTTGGGCCTCAGGCTGTGACCAAGATACATCAGTTATTTGATTGGGCCAAAAAGTCTCGAAGAGGTTTGCTGCTCTTCATTGATGAAGCAGATGCATTCTTGTGCGAGTAAGTGCGCTCTGCTCCATGCGAGTCTTCAATACTCGCGTAGATTACTGCGTTACTTACTGCCATGCTTCGCTTCATCTCCAGGCTAACAAAACCCAAACTCTAATATCTCAACTTGCATCGATCGCCACGCTATTTCCAACATCTTATATATGAAAAACGTGTGCAGAAGGTAGTTTTTCACTGAAATGGGTCTTTGAGCATAGATACACACGGATCTTTATGTAGGGTCGCATGCATAAATGGAGCCGTACAGATCCGTGTACACGTTTTCAAGAGCACGGACGAATCAACCTCGTCATATTCTTTGAGCCATCCCTCCCACACCCCTCTCCCTCCTATGCTTTGGACCAGCATCACCCAGTTGTAAGACCTCATCAGTCTTTTGTGCAAAATCATCCGCTGCCAATGTCATTGCCTATTATTCTCTTTCTGCTCCTCTTCGCCACAGGGAAGATGTCGATGCCCGTGGCTGTTTCTATGGAATGCTTCTAAGCTAGTCTTTATCTGATCATCCACTGTCCTTAGTTCTTGTTTTTGAGCACAGATCTATGCGGCCATATGACAAAAGAAAATAATTGCAGGAGGAACAAGACTTACATGAGTGAAGCCCAGCGGAGCGCGTTGAATGCGCTTCTCTTCCGTACTGGAGATCAATCCAAGGATATTGTGCTTGCTCTGGCCACGAATCGACCGGGCGACCTCGACTCTGCAGTTTCGGACCGTATTGACGAGGTCCTCGAGTTTCCCCTGCCAGGGGAGGATGAACGCTTCAAGCTTCTCAAGCTCTACCTCGACAAGTACATTGCAAGAGCAGGAGAGAGGCGACCTGGTTGGCGCTCCTTATTCCGGAGGCAGCAGCAGAAGATTGAGATGAGAAATCTGACCGATGATATTATCAGGGAGGCTGCGGCTAAGACTGAGGGGTTCTCTGGTAGAGAGGTGGCTAAGTTGATGGCCGGCGTTCAGGCGGCTGTCTATGGGAGCAAGGACTGTGTGCTTGACCCGGGCTTGTTCCTGGAAGTTGTTGACTACAAGGTTGCTGAGCACCAACAGAGGAGGAAGCTTGCAGCTGCCGACCAGGCGCCCTAAAAATAGCTTTACTCATTATTTTTTTGTTTTTTTCCTGATTTTGGTGCTTTGAATTCTCATTGAAGAGCAGGTGAGGATATGCATCTGCCTTTTTTTGATTTAATCTGGATGTTTTTGTGTTTTTTTTCTATGTTCATTTTTCTGATTAACCCACCTTTTACATGGGTTTTTTCTTTGATAATATACCCGTGGAATATTAGAGGCCATAACTCAACGAGTCAATCTTAACAGTCAATCTTAACGAGTCAATATTAGAGGCCACCTTTTACATCTGGATGGCCGTGGGATTTTTTTTTTTCTGTCTTGATAAATCTTAACAGGTTCCTTGTGGAAATTTCTTCAGATTCTTGCTGGATTCAGCTCCCCACAGTAGTAGTGATTTCGAGGTTGGGTCCGACCAAGGAAATGACCTCGCAAGTTGACTGCTTTCGATGGCATCTTGGCTGATCCTAAAGAAGTCAACAATGGCGAGCAAAAGAGCTCGGTGCTGGTCCTGAGGATTGGCATCAAGGTTTATGGAACTCGACCCTCCGTAACCCAAGCAGCACCAGTTCACCATCCTGATGAGATAACGCCTTTCGCGCACTGTTCACCATATGAGTAAGTACAGGCCCTGGTGGGGTATGGGGGACTCTTGGTGGGACCCTGTAGGAGGGTGAAAACTGCTTCGGTGGGGGAAACCAGGCATCCTCGTCGGAGGGGTCCTTTCTTCTGATTAGTGTGAGAATATAGCTATGAGCCTGGGCACGGAGGCATGTTTTCTCAGTGTAAATCTGCTGAAGGCTCTCACATGTTCTATACATAGCACGCAGTAAGTATCAGAGAAAATCTTCAGTGTGGGCATCAGGTGGAAGAGGAAAAAGGTAGGGGGAGGGGGGGGGGGTAATTGGTCGTATGGGGCAAATAACCAACGACGCCCTCAAAAGGACTCTCCCCAGTAATTGGTCGTGCGATTGAACCAAGTATTGCAAGCAACATGTGCGGTCTGAAAAAGTTGCCAATTTCCTTACTGTCTACTGACTGAATAATCCAAGAGATACCTTCCGATCACAGCATCACAACTAAAAATGGAAAGGCATTGGGGCAGGGCAGTCCATGTTAGGGGATGACCTTAGGTAAGGAATAGTTGGGGGCAAACACAATAAGCATCACTTGACTTAACATGGAACAATAAGCACCATCTTGAAGAACTTGTCTATTATGAAAATGGCCGGAAGGGACTCCATGGAGTAGTACTACTAAAGCCGAATTACTGTTGAATTAACCGTTATATAAAATCACGCTATAAAATGATGGCAGCTTGACTAAGCTTTGATTCGGTGAGCCCCAAAATTATGAGCAATAAAATGGTGTGTCTCAATGGCCTTGTTTCATATTTTAGCAGGGCAAAAGCATAATGCGGGAGTTCAGCAGATACGATTTCCAGAGACTTTACAGAGTGCTTTTAGAAGCAGGAGGAGAGGGTTAAAAGCATTTGTCAGGCTATCTTTGAGACGTTGGAAGAAATATAGGAGCTATATCTTTTTTATTCACTCTACAGTTTCAACCAGTGATGGCCCCAAATGGCGTCCTCTTTCAGTAAATCTTATTTTTAAGTAATCGCCCCAGAAACCTCCATGGAGAGCTTTTGGTGCATTTTTAGTAAACGTGGTGAAATCATACTCTCATTAATCGTCAGATGCTTCCCAGACGTGAACAAGGTTACATGGCCAATCTAAAGCAGAGAAATGTGCATCAATTTGAGGCCAGATTTTCTGGACTGCAAAGGTGCAAGGCGGCAGTTTTGAAGGTATCGTGTGCGGTTTAATCCATGAAAATTTGCGCAACTTTTTCTTGTAACAATAAAGATCCATGTCACTCAAGAGTCAAGGGGCTGTGTGAAGATCAGATGCAGGCCCAAGGTTGAATCACTTGGTGGAAAAAAAATGAAAGGTGATGTAATGTGTACTATTTTTGCTCTTCCATGCTGCGCTCCCATGTGCAGAGAGGTTCTGAGCGCTATACCTCGAAGCCAAGGTCGAAACTGGGGAAGTTGCCGCTGGTGGAAGAGGCTGGCGGACTCGGGGAAGCTGAAGGTGGAACTCCCTCATGTTCTTCCTCTTCTGACAGTTTCTGCTTCATATTCACGAATCCGGATGAGTCCAAACCGTTAATTCCAACCCAACAGTGACCAACTTTGAATTAGAAACTCATCAATTTGACCTTGTTCCTGTCCTCTCCACGCTCTAGAAATGGCAGTATATCACCATGCAGACCTGTATATGTACACGGAGGAGCAGGCTGAATCAAGATGAGGAAGAGGGTCAAGAGAAATAACCGGTAGGCTTCAGCTTCTTATCAGCACCTGCTTCTCCATTTAGCAGTCCACTGCCAGGCTCGGGTCTTAGCTCTGGGTGTGATCCAAGAGATTCTTCGGTGGGGACCGTCCCACTTGAACCATTTTCTGCTAGATTAGAAGAACAGTCATTAGTTTTTTTTTTTGGGATATTGTGATAAATTTTCTTGCTCGAGTCGGTAAATTTATGGTTCTGCAGATTGATCAAGTACCGGCGCTCAGGGTCACGGCGCATGCTTGGGTTATTTCTAAGTCAAGGCTGTCTTGCTCCGTACACTTGATTTCACATTCTGGAACAGGGGTTTTACACGAATCCTCACTGTAAAAATTCACCAATGAGAGATGGATCCAAATGGGAATCGTCCTACAGAAAATTTTCTAAAGTAGACAAATAAAATTTGATAAGTGTTCACGATCATCGATTGATTCTGATTTATTCCAGGATTCTCGTTTTTCTCAGAATTTGCAGAAGGGAAAGGAAAATATTTGGGGTATTATTAGACATTAGGTCGTATGAGAGATGTCAATTATTGGAACCCGTCATCTAATATATTATTTAACCTATGAAAGATGGGAGAGGGATGTGCATAGGAACGCAGATCATTTGGAAACTCAGACAATCGTAAAGCGAGAAAAAAGTGAAAGTTGGTCAAAATAACATGAATCATAAGAGATGTGGCATTTTCTAGACGTATGCATTCCACGAAAAATCTCAATAGCTATGTCAGTTTTTTCAAGATCTGAAATACTTACTCGCAAAAAATAGTCGACAAAGCAGAACTACTGCCTCTCGGTGTTTCTCCCTCACAATTAGGATGCAGCAATTTAGTCATGTCTGAAAAATAAGTTTCTGGAGAATTAACATTTTTTAGAGACGTAATATCCAGAAATATAATTTCAAAATCATTTTAAAAGTGTATTCAACGTTTCTCCATCCAATTTAGGACTTACCACTGTGCTCAGAATTGAAATGAAACGAGCCCAGCAATTGTGAAGAACAGGGTTTGTCAATGGCAGCGCTCTCTCTCGATGGCCTTTTAAGAACAGATAATATCTGGCTAGCTGCCAATAAGATGACGAAATACCAGGATTAGAATCTATCAGAACAAGATAATCCCCAGGAGAAAAGCAGCACTTAAAAATGTATCAGAGCAAGAAGATCAACCACACATGAAACCTGCAAGAAAACACTAATTTCTTCCCATCAAATATGATCATGAATTTAAGTGCGCAATGCTGATAGAAACAAAATACCTAAGATTTGAAAAATAGAGGTAACTAAGCAAGTAGAAACCGGAATTTCAATGTTCGAAACCTTGATGGCAAAACAATCCACAGTAATTTCAACCGGATAATAATGACAGAGACAAGATCGGATAAAAAGTATTCGGTATGGTTCTGTGTGGAAATGGATCATACTTTCAAATAAGGTCCTTCAAGTGAAGGTAGCACCCAGTTAGTGTACACTAACCATCACGAGGCTTGTTTGTAAGAACTTCGGCTTTTGTCAACCTGCTGTCTCCTGAGCTTCTACTCTCTGGTTTGCCTGATATTTTTTTTTTGGATGCTCCTAAACCTTCAATAGAATCACATTGGTCTTTAAGTAGTCATCGACTAAAGCGATAATTGTTATTTTACAGGTAGTGGACACTAGAACGACACATAAACGATAATCAATCAACAGCATCATCTCAAGAAACACTTCTCCAAACGAGAAAGTGAAACAGGCTAAACGAGTGACCACTTTCCTATGGCCATGAAGATCACCACTTGTCCCCACCCATCTGTCATCTCCTCATTACGGTTCTATCAAAATGACAGAGAGCGGGTCTCAATGGCTGATTGTCAAGATGAGCTTCTAGCTCTTACAGGCCCATGGCAAGGAGAAGACGGAGACAGTGAAAAATATTTGGGAAGCCTCATACTGGTACTAATGCGGTTCCTTGTGCTGGTTCAGTGACACAAGTTTAAATACACTTGGAGGGAGAAATGGTGGGGGAAAGGTTGGGGTGGGTGGGCTAGAGAAAACAGCAATGAACAATGTGGTGTCTATGACAGGACATTTTCTAGACACATATTTATCCTAACCCTATGGTTGCCACACAATCCTCTAATCTTAACCACAATAATCCCAACTTTAAAACATATCTTGAATTAGAAATGGGATTATCTATCAGTGGTTCAATCTATCCCTATTCCCAGCCTATTTGTCCCCATGGAAACTAGAACTGCACTAGAGGAAATACTAGGAAATAATTTTTCATTAATTTCAAAGTAAAAGTGTACAAATGAAATTTAACATAAAGGGCAATAGAGAGACCTGGAAGCCGAAAACCAACCTGTCAAACTGGTCTTCAATGATCTTGAAAGATCTTTCTGTCGGTCACTGGTATGCGATTCAGGCTTTGGGCTCACTGGTGATATGGACAAAGTCATCTAAAATCACTTATTTTAATAGAATAGAATTATGTCAACAACGGCAAAGATTGTGTGCACGAATGACTAGTTCCAAAACAAATAACTAGTAAAAATACTGATCACCATTGGTTGTTCTATTATCCTTTTCATGGATTGACATTAGTCTTTTGCAAACAGACAGCTAGTTCATTCAAATTTTTTCTATCCAAAAAGCGGGATAAAATTACAAATAAACATTACCCTAAAGAGCCCAAGTACGGTCATACTAGAAGAATTTATTACAGTCGCTACTATTCTGGCAAGGAGTAGCAGGCGGCACTACAATATAAGGAGATGATAACCAATCCTTTTGACAAGCCCTTATTGTTTTTGGATGAAAAGCTTTTGGCTGCAGGTATGTGCTTCACTAGTATTGTCTACGGCGTCCAGCAAACAGATATCAAATTAACATCTACAAATAAGTCAACAAATTAAAATATGCCCAATAAATTATCTGAAAGGGTTTTCGAGAAGAAACCTATTCATAAATTTTTTTTGTATAGGAAATACTAAACATAACCTTTTATGGGAACTCTTTTTGCCTTTCAAAGATTATTTTTCTGGCTAATACAAGGGGAGTCAATATTCATGTCTGGTGCACCCAGGAAGCAAAAGTGGCACCTCCAGCATTAGAAAACAAGCACATCTGATCAGCTTCAAAGGGAATGCACATGTGATTGAAAACATTTTCTTAAGAATCCAAAAGCCATACAATCATGTTAGAATATTTTAAGAATCAAAAAGCCATACACGAGGTTTAAGGAAAACACGTGCTCTCAGAATTTTTTAAGAAAGAAACATTTTGCTGAGTACCTTTTATCATATGAGACTAACCTTTCATACTAGCGTCCAATGCATTTGGAGGATTTTTTTTCTGGATTCTTCTTTGAGACTCACCATTCTTCTCTACTGCATCCAAGGCTGATAGCTAGTCATTAGAGAATAAACATAATTTATCAACTTCAATGAGTATGCAGATATGCTTTAAAAAGTTTACTCATGAATGAATTAATATGAACATAGAATCTAAAGGAAAGGCTTTTAAATGTCAAATCTAACTTAACAAGTACCAAAAAAATCATGTTTAAGAGTATCACTGGCAATGGCCGATCAAGAAGTTATAGGATCGTATGCAATCAACCAAAACAAGTTGAAATTGACGTAATTTTGCACTAGAAATGAAAATATCTGGCGATTTGATTTCTTATTTAAAAAAGAACTGCCTAGTTGACTCATTTGGTCAATTTAACTTTACCCCAAATCAGACTGACTCTCATGTGACTTGTGCTGTAACACATGAGTAGCTAAAATGTGACTCCAGCTGGTTCTTGGTATCAGTCAGGTTAATTGACTTTAAAAAAAGGGGAACAGTGCAACTTGATCACAGCGGCACTCGTTAGTGATTAAATTCAAAACAAACATTAAATTTCCTCAAAATTTCCAGACAATCATTTAAGCTGTTGAATTTTTTATCTTAGAGGATCTTTCTTATTGATAAAGTATTTTTCTGAAGCTCACAATGATAAAGCACGCAAAACCACAGCAACTGCTATTCTTAGCAGCTAGATGCTCATAGCTCATAACGTCACATTCATTCTCATTATTCCTCAAAAATAAGAAAATCATGCAAATTCTTTGATTAATATGCAAATTGTTGCCGGTGTTGCGATGACAGGGAAAATTTCTAACATTTGTTTTTAAAGGGGATTTGATTAATATGCAATTTGTTGCTCGCGTGTTGATGATAGAGAAAATTTGGAATATTTGTGTTGTAGGAGTTAAATTCGATTTGTTGATGATGGAGAAAAATTAGAACATTTGATAAGGTTTTGTCAGTGTGAAACGAATTGAATGAGTGGTTGAAGTTTGTGTGAGGAAGGTGGTTCTACCATTTTGGGCTAGTTAGTTCTGTAGTTTTTTAATCATCTTATGTCTGACACCATGGTGGTGTTCAGACTACTAATATGCAGAGGTTTCTTTTTCAGAGGTCATATTATTTTTATTAATAAGAATCTCGTACTGTCCGATTTCAAGAAAAGTGTTTAATTTTTATTTATAGCTACTCTTTTCGTTTTTTTAGTTTTAAGAAACGTTGATTTGAAAAAATCCCCCATCTTTGCTGGATTTAAATTTAAGCACCTAAGATGAAGAGCCTAAAAAGGAGCATATACAGAAATATTATTCGAAGGTATGCTGTACTCCATTGTGTCATTTAAAAAGGGTATAATACCTCTAAAAAGGTGAAAAGACCCTCCTTCAAATTCGCAGCCCCTCTTTACATTATCAGCCTACATGATGGGTTCCGAGAAAGCTCAATGTAAAATGAGGGCCATTCATTATGGCTAGACCAACGCTCCAAAGAGGCCTTCGTGGGGGCATGATTGCCCACTTGGGAAGTAGGGAGTAACAACAAATTTATTTACATCCTTCACTGAACTGGAATGGGAATACAGTGTGCACAAGAAATTCTGAAGATTACTTTTTCTTTGTAGAAAAACAACACTTGAACAGTGAGAAGAAACTTGAACGAAATAGTGCATTGGAAGTTTCAGGGTTACTTAGTTGTAGCTTTCTACTAAATATTAACTCTCTTAGAGGCTTGAAGCCCACTAGAGCCTAAAATATCAACAAGGGATGTCTCCAAAACAAGTTCTGCATACTGTGATGTGATGATGGGAAAAAGAAGCCAAGCAAGTATATAACTTCTTAATGTAACCTACCTTCCAGAACATTTCGCTGGGCACAGATCTCCACAAGATAGTTAGGCATCTCATATGTATTTCCAACAACCAGACATTCAGATAATTTCTGGAACTTGGTGCTCAGAGTTGATCCATCTTCTTTTAGCAAAATCAACTATCAAATATAAAATTCATAATGATTACTTCAAAGTGAAAGAGTTCAAATGTCCATAGATACATTAATGATAACAACAATAAAATGTCATAAGCAATACTTGCATTATTTTGACAATATAATATGCCACTATCATGGAAAAAAAATTCCATATAAAATATCACTTAAGGATGGCTTATGTCTAGCAAAGAACTAGCTAATATGCTATAAACATATGATTCATGAGAAGTCCAATGTCAAAGTCTAAATCTATGCTCCAGAATGTAAATAACCATAACCATTATATGTCATTTAAAAATATTCATTTCGACAAAAATGCGCCTTTAAAAGTTCCAATGGGATGCAATCAGAATGCTTCCTGATAAGAACGTCAGCAGCATCTCTACAGTAAGAAATTACGGTAAACAATGTCAGTGCCCAAAAGGGACGATTAGATTCCTTGGGAAAACAGCCAGAAAAATAACAATAGTGCTGAAAAGGCAACTCAACCTGGGCCATATGTGAGCCACATGTCACACGTCTCAGGACCCCATCATGATATCTCTTGGCTTTCTGGGTAACTTGAGCAGTGTACAAGACATCCCATTCTGCAGTGGAGATTAATCATTAGAAGAGCTAGTACAAAATAGTCCTCGTCAAGACAAAATTCATTTCACCACATCTTACTTGTGAAATGATCTGGAAACAATTTTCATGGAAAATCACTAAACAGCTTTAAGCTAAAATAGCTTTCCTCATAATTGGTCACATCTCTTGACGGATATCCTTGAAGCACATAATATTGTAACAACTCTTTAAAGTGAAACATCATCCTATTCTAGATGGTATTGCGAAATATATGTATACCTTAACAGCTAAAAGAATGATTCACAAGAGGGAAAAGGAATCAGGTTTTGCAACTGATAGCTCATACCATTATCAAAAATAGAAGACAAGTGCAATACTAAAATTGATGCGTGAAACGACTGACCACTGTCTTTAACTCTGACATCATTGGCAGAAATATTTGTTGATCTGTCTATATCTCGAGGGTTCTTCTTCACTGCAATTATAAGTGCACTTAAAATGAACACTTAAAATCATAAGCTAAATAATGCAACAGGACGAAAATCACCATGGCAAAAAAGTATAATAAGCTTCACACACTAATAATAAATATAGATAATACAACTAGTAAAATGTGACAGATACTCATGAAGGAACTAAAAGAAAATGACAGCTTGTAATATTACCACCTGATCCTGTCAGTATGTCATAATCCTTTTTGTCTAAATTTTGGGTCGAAGCATGAAATTTTAGGTTTGAAGATTCTTTTCCTGATGGTCTTCAGTTTACTCAGCACGGATAGATGACTTTTAACAGATGGAGAAACTCATTAAGAGTACAAGAACAGCAGATAGTGTGAATGAACCATTATTCTTGGATCACTAATGAGAATGAAGATTGGACAGTGAAGCAGATTCAACACTGATAAAAAAATTAAACATTCATCAAAACTTGCATCACATAAAAAGTATTATACAAAACCTCCTTTTGTTTTGCTCGACAGTAAAAAGAAGAAATATTATTCAAATGGCTTTGAAAATAAAACATACGATTTGTATCCCAAAAAGTAAGTTACAAAATGCCAGTAAAAATGTACCCAGGAAAGAACCTTCAAATTTCTGCACTCTCCCAACTTTTACTTTTGATTTCCCATGACTACCATCGGCATGCATATCCTGGAGGGGGTTGTGAGTTTCATCAAGTTCACCAATGTCAACGAGATGAGTTTCGAAAGTAAGTGTAACTCCACATTCAATCAGTTCATCTTTCCTCAAAAGTCTGTTGTCTAGCAATTTACTGGAGTCATCATACAATAAAACCTGAATATTAGGAAAATGTTAGTGCCTCTTTGTCACAGCATCTGGAAAAGGTCTTTCTTCACAGAAAGTATTAGAATATCATTCATGTTTCTTCCACAACATGAAAGATCTTCACGGAAGCGTTGGTGAGATAAAAAAAAAGTGGCACATGATTGGACAAAATAAAAAGTATAGCAGAAAGAATTAAAATAAAATATTAAAAATCCGGGATTATAAATAGCTTGGGATTAAAATTTATTGGGATTAAAAATAGCTTGAAACGGGGCTTATAACTAATTAAAAATGGAATAACGATGCATATGGGCCAAAAGGAATCATCTAAATCTAAGCTATTTGGAAGATCCAAATGTAACCAGTTCAATGAATGTTATTCGAGTGAGCACTGAACACTATCAGAGAGCACTTAATAAACATAACTCATCTTTTGCTTTTTCGTTTAGTTTTTGATATATTTCTTATTAATACGTAGGTCTTCATGATATTCCACTGAAGGTAAGTTCTATATGTGGATCAAGTTATGTAGTCAGCCCAATTTTTTTCATCTTTGATTCTGTCATGTGTTCATTGTCATGTTTTGAGCATTGACTGTCATTTAGTTATGGTATACTGATATACTAGGCTTCATACATTAGGCACCTACAATAGGTTCATTCGAGGTTAAAGGTTGGTATATGAAAACACTCGTGCAAGAAAGGAACAAAATATTTTATGGAACTTAGGAAGCCCACCATGAATAAGGATGCATTGAACCTGTGCGTTTGCATGGCAACTTAAAAGATCATTTGTATAAAATAGTTATATTACATGGATACGCATTGACTCAAAAAAGTTTAATAACAGTATAGGCTTTAGTATCCAAGAATACTGTATCTAATGTCTCAGGGGATTTTTAAAAAACCACTCCCATGCTGTACTGCGATGAAACGATTCTATTTGCCTCTGAAAGAACGAAAATGATGGATAAATTACCTTGTTACTTGGACGATGAAGTTCGATTGTGCCATCTTGATACACTTTTCTTTTCTGCCGTAGGTGTTTTGTATATGTAACGATCCACCTTTTGGTTTCCTCCATCGACCAAAACAAACTGTTTCATCCACTAAAAATATAAAAGGAATGAAAATATTTCAACGGTCAATGAAGTACGAAAATAATGATCCAAAATATCCAAGATTTGCGCCAAACGGTTATGCATACTTTTCCTTCCTGCTAAGACAAAAAATCTGCCAAAATGGAATAAGGTGAATTGAGCTATTTTTTTGCAGCCACCATAAATATATAAGTGTATGCATGTATAATTTATCCGTGTTCTCTCTCTCTCTCTCTCTCTCTCTCTCTCTCTATGTCTTACAACATAGGAATAACTCAGATGCTCCAAATCGAAAATTCATAAACATTTGAAAACTTCTAACTGAATGCTTATGCCAGTGACAACCAAAGTATTGTCACCTTTCATAATGCACGATTCGTAGTAAAATGAAACGTTACACACTCGTCACCACTGTCATGAATGGAGCGCATTCGACAGCAGTGGAGCAGCGAACACTCAATTGTTCCGCCAAGCTCTTTCTTGGCTGCGACATGAACCATAAATCAAGTAAATTCTTCTCCCCTCAACAAACCAGGACAAAGGAATTCCAAATCATGAGCCAACACTGACTCGCCCGGTGAGGTTTACAGGTTACAACTCCAACAAGATAAGCATTGCCCCGACGGCGAGGGCCGATGGAAAATGGAATCCTCTGACCATCACGAGCAGAATAACAGACAAGGAGAAAGGAAGCGGCGGAGGCATTAACCTCACAAGAAGCAATCACCTCAATCAATATGAATAGATAGACGCGCGCATCTAGTTCGCGGGAGGCATCTGATCGGATGAAGGAACAAGACGAGATTCCAGGGACTCCGGCCAAAATGACGGAGATGGCGGCGCCCCGGGGTAGGAGGGGAGAGCAAACGAAGAAGAGGCGGGAATTCTACCTTTTCTACCCTCCTTCCGTCCCGTCCTTGAATTGCGTTTATCTTGTCATATGTTATGTCATAGTACATACGGTGGCAGCTGAGGTTTGACCGAGACAGCCACGTCTTTCGTCTGATCTCATCTGGACATGAAGAGGGTAGCCTGCGACGACTTTTGGGACGCGTTTTTAGGTACTCTATGATATTTTTTATTTATATTATATTAAAACATTCCACATGCATGATCTTTCTTCACTCCAGCTTCAGAGAAATTCTTCGGATAGATGCCAAGAAATTTCGCGGATGTTTCTCGCATCCGTTGACTTCTAGAGGATAAAAAGTGTGCCAAAATCCTTCAAATAGCTTCAGTGTGCCAAGGTCGCAACCCATTCTCTCTATATCTCTCTCTTCACTCTTTAGTTGACGGAGATGGCCTGGTATCGAGTTGCGAGGGCGTCCGAATACCTCGCCATAACTGGATTCAGGGTAAGTGACATCAAGCTTGCCAAGAAGTCATGGATCTTACCGGGGCAGTCCTGCACAGTGTTCGACATCTCGCCAGTCAACTACACGTTCGAGGTGCAGGCCATGAGCGCCGAGAAGCTCCCGTTCCTCCTCCCCGCTGTTTTCACAATCGGCCCCCGCTCCGACGACATGGAGAGCCTCCTCAAGTACGCCAAGCTCATCTCCCCCCACGACAAGCTCTCCAACCACGTGAAGGAGCTCGTGCAGGGGGTCATCGAGGGGGAGACCCGCGTGCTCGCAGCCTCCATGACTATGGAGGAGATCTTCAAGGGCACCAAGTCCTTCAAGGAGGAGGTCTTCGGGAAGGTGCAATTAGAACTCAACCAGTTCGGCCTGCTGATCTACAACGCCAACGTTAAGCAACTCGTCGATGTTCGAGGACACGAATACTTCTCCTACCTCGGCCAGAAGACCCAGCAGGAGGCGGCGAACCAGGCGAAGGTGGACGTAGCCGAGGCGAGGATGAAAGGCGAAATCGGGTCCAAGAACCGGGAGGGGCAGACCCTCCAGTATGCCTCCAAGATCGACGCAGAGACGAAGGTGTACTCGACGCAGAGGCAGGGAGAGGGCGCGAAGGAGGAGATCAAGGTGAAGACGGATGTAAAGATCTTCGAGAACAAGAGGGAGGCTGAGGTGGTCGAGGCCAACGCGGAGCTGGCAATGAAGAAAGCCGGGTGGACCCGGCAGGCGCAGGTAGCGGAGGTGGAGGCGGCGAAGGCGGTGGCCCTAAGAGAGGCGGAGCTGCAGATGGAGGTTGAGAGGAGGAACGCACTGCGGCAGACCGAGAAGCTCAAGGCAGAGAAGCTAAGCACAGCCATCGTAGACTACGAGATGAAGGTACATAACATAGCTATCTTGTTAAGAAATTGGGCCGATGAGTTCATTGTTATCTTTGTAAGATAACAATTAATATTTTTTGATGGCCTAAAACCTGTTAAAAATAACGTGACTCGAGTTCGGAATTACCTCATATTAAAAATATATCATTCTTGTAACCTATTTACGTATTAGTCGATTCATTTTTGAATCAGGTGACTCGAGATTTCAAATATTTCCCTTGTTTACCATAACCCGATGATCCCTTCACAAGTGACGTAACACTGGCTGACAACATTCTCCCTTTGACGGGAAAAGGTGCAAGAGGCCAACTGGGAACTCTACCAGAAGCAGAAGGCGGCAGAAGCCACGCTCTACCAGCAGCAGAAGATCGCCGAAGGGCTCAGGGCCGCCGCAGAAGCGGCTTTCTTCTCTCGGCAGCAGGAGGCGGAAGCCGAGCTCTATGCCAAGAAGAGGGAAGCCGAGGGGTTGGCGGCGCTGGCGGACGCCCAGGCCACCTACTTGAAGAAATTACTGGAGTCTCTTGGAGGCAACTACGCCGCGCTGCGGGACTACCTCATGATCAACGCCGGACTCTACCAGGAAGTCGCCAGGGTCAACGCTGACGCGGTGAAGGGACTGCAGCCGAAGATCAGCGTTTGGACGAACGGCGGGGAGAAGGGGGAGGGAGGTGCAATGAAGGAGGTGGCCGGGCTGTACAAGATGCTGCCGCCGTTGCTTAAGACCGTGGAAGAGCAAGTAGGGATGCTACCGCCTGCCTGGATGGGGACGCTGAACTCCAGCTCCTCCGCACACTGACGGGTCTAGCGACTGGATGATTGAAGATATGGGTCCTTTACAATAAATTTCCATTCGTAATAAATGGTCTACGAAGACATTATGGGCTGTGTACTTCATGCAATGTCCTTTATTAAGAATGTAATCTATTCCCTCAGTTCAAGCTGCGGTATTTCTATTGGAGAACAGTATTTTAGAGGAATTATGATGTGGAGAATAAAAATATAATCCACACCTTATGCCTCCCACTTGTGTTAGAACTCAATATTCCAATTAAAGATCTAGAGCGTTATCCATGACTCATATAATTATTATTACAATGATGATGCAAAAATGGAATGAATGAAAAATCAATAAATTATTCTCCCCTCAAAAAACTTGGACAAAAGAATTCCAAACCATAAGTCAACATTTTCCCACATGGAGATGCCTACAAGGTTACATCTCCAACATCATTACCATTTTTCTAACAGCAAGGGCCAATATAAATTGGAATCGTTTGAACATGATGAACAAAGTAACAAACAAGAAGGGAAGTGGTAGGGATGAATAGAAGAGTTCTAGAGGGAGTGACATTAACCTCATGGAAAGCACCTTGACTAAAAAGAATATATAGGTGGAGCCATCTAGTTCTTGAGAGGCATCTGATCAGATGAAGAAATGAAGATTAGTTTCCCTAAAGGGGGGAAGGGGGAGGCACTTCTTAGAGCATCCAAATAAGAGGTTAGAGTTTGACCTTTCCTATGTCCTTCAATCACTTTCTTTTTATATGTATTTTTTTTAAAAAGTATATAAAAAATATGGTCCAAATATTTTTCAATATCTCTTTTATAACTCATTTTAAACTTTGCCCTCACCACATTTAATGGGGTCAACGGTCCAAGTATCCATAGATGTGATGGGTCTCAATTGCGATTTGAGATGGATATGGATCCTATTCAGCCCAATTTGCACCAAGGAAAGGTTGATCTAATATGGAAATTGGGCCTATACCAAACCCATTTTCAAAAGAAAGGATGGGCCCAAGGGAAAAGAACGTTCACCCCTTCCTTTTCTCTCTCTCCCAACAAACTCTCTAAGGCACATGTTGGGAAGGCGTCCATAACTACCCAAGCAACCTTTGGGAGCACGACTCATGAGATTGAGGAGGAGCATCCAGCCCTTGATCAAGGATCAAAATTGCAACAAAGATTAGAAGATTCCACGAGGAATTTGCTAGGAGGGTCAAAGATGCCAAGGTGGTCAACTAAGAGGCATCCACTACCTAACTTCTGTGTAACTTCTCCTTTTGTTTCATAACTACTCCTAAATTTCATCTATAAATTGAGGATTTTTTGTATTATTTGAAAGGAGGAAGTAATGCAGTTTATGTTGGAGAATTTCTCTTTAATTTTTAGCCTTTTCTTTGAGGGAAATTGTGAGGGTCAATCGCTCCTTTGGGAGAGTTTGTGAGGGTCAATGTGCCATCCTTAGGGAAGCCGTGGGGTTCAACCACCATTTTCATTCCACCCATCTAACCTCTTTACCTTTTCATTTCATCTTTCATCACTTTTTGAAATCATTGAAGATCAATCTTGAAGTTCACAAGCCAATAATTATAGGATTACATCTCTCCATATTAAGGTATTGTTGACTTACTTATTTTCAGTGATTTATGATATGATTTCAAATCTCTCTTGAAAATTTCATTGAGTGATCCTAGAATATACATAATTTGTCTATTTGGTAATCTATACAACTTTACCTAGATTTTGATATGATATTTTAAATAAGGTCAAACCCTAATTATTATATGAATAAAATCTTTTCTTTTAAAAGTTGCAAGATTTAAATTATTCACTCTCCTCTGAATTTTCCTTACATCAAGGCAGCCTCTCAATTCCATTTAATCAAGGTAAAGTGATAATAAATAATGTACTATTAATGTCAAACGTAGTAAAGTTGAATGAAAAATATTAGAACAGATTTTATGATGCATTTCATGAATGTTTGCTTAAATCTACATATTCTTCTAGAGAACATTTCACTGGATTTTCTAATCTGTATTTTAACATGATTGTTCAAGTTGTATACCCTTCAGAAGTATTTTTCAATTAACAAAAAAGTGTTTGTAAAACTAGAGTTAGGAAAATAATTGAAAATCTAACTATTACTCAAATGAACTCAAATGTATGCACCATAAACATGAGTGAATGATCAAACATAAATGCATGTCTAGTTTCTAACAATAGTTCACTTAATTTAGATTTATAGAATAGAAATTGAGACCTAAGCCCTAGGATGATCAGAAAGAATTGGGTTTTCTGTTGGACTTCGAAGCCTTAACTATCTTAAAACATTTTGATGATGACAACATTCATAGGTAAAATAGAACAATTTTTTTGAACACATGATTCAGATAAAATAATTATAAATTCATAGATAATAAATATTACTTTTTCTACGATATAGATGATAATCTATAATGGCATTTGATGCTTGTGATTTGAATTCTAGATTTATGATGAATTTTCTACTCAGAATCATTAATTGCTATATTGCTGTTGAGAGTGGTGATACTCACAATTATTTTTAAATTGAATATTATGTGTTTGAGGTAAAATCTAACATTTTGAAATGAGATAGTTTTTTTATGAATACTAATTGAAAATTATTTTTGAAATATGATATGTCACTTAAGTAATGTTGTTGAATACATATATGAAGATCCAATATGTCTACTTCATATTTATGTTTTATGTGAGGTGATTTGGTTTTAAATTGATTTCAAAATCATTACTTTTTTTAAGACATCATTGAACATGCTTTAGGGCTTACATATGGATATTGAGTGCGCTAAAATTAATAATTTTGGATACATGTGATAAAGGTTTATGTCAATTATTGGTTTAAACATACATGATCACCAAACTTTTACAGGATTTGTCATATGGGTTTTCAACCACTCAAATTTTGAGTTACTTTTGAGATTTTTACATTGAATAATGGTTGAAAATACATCAGTTGTAACCTTGACTCTACAATCACAAATATTATTCTAACAATGTGGAAGGATTTTGTATGCAAATTTGAGTGAAATTAAAATCTTGCTTTAATGATAAGAAGGTAATGAGTCAAGGAGTGATTCTTGATCGAAAAATCTGTTTTCATTGACAAACGCTTCTACAATTAGATAGCTTCTAGATGTGAAGGGGAAGTGCACAATGAAGGACAATTCAGTTGACGTTCTTTAGATTCCAATCATGACTTTTTTTTTTCAACTTCTAAAAATAATGTCAGAGAAATTCTATATTTTTGTAGTATAAACTCATGATTAGGCCTCACTTATCACACCAAGGGAGCTGAGCCATGTCATCAGCTTTGGCTCATCTAGAGCCATTAGTCTAGAAGAAAATTTTGGTTTGCAATTCATAGGGAATTGAGGCATTGTAATCAATGGGGGCTTTCAAGTTTAATATCATATATAGGATTATCAAATCAAATACAGGTATGGTGTTCAATTTTTTTTCCTGTTTTGTGTATATGAAAAACTATACTTGGTTCTAGTTTAAATTTATCGATAAAGAAAACAATCATTTTTTCTATAGATGGTGTTTTTTGTGGTTTTAGTCATAGTTACAATAATCGGTCTTTGGTTTTTGTTTTAGTCATAGATATGGAAATTATGTGTGTTTTCAGTTTTAGTCACATATACCATAAATGTTTTTAGTGTAAATTTTAATATTGGAAATGGTAAACAGTGTTTGGTTTTAGTTTTGGTCATGGATATGCTTAGTGGCATCAATTTCAGTTTTTATCATGTATACTGCAAACTGATAGATCAAAAGCTTTTAATACGCATCCACAAAATAATGTTCCATAACACTTAAATTTAAGCCCAATAAACCTATCCATTATGCCTTATATTCTAGCCCAATAATCAGAAAAAATTCACTTTTAATTTAGGTCCAATGATAAGATCCATTACACCTTAAAGTCAGGCCTAATAGTAAATTTATTGCTTCTCATTTAATGAGAATTAAATCAAGATAAAATACAAGAGTAATCCACACTTTATTTGTTAAATACTAATCAATTTTAAACACCTAATTTCCATATCTTGTTGGATAATCCTAGAAACACTTAGCATCACATTTATGCATTTTCATAATGATGGAAATGTTTAAAGTATTCTTCATATATTATGATCATCATCAAAATACATAAATCATCAAACAAAACCCATCACAATTCATTAAGAAGATATGTGTAAATATGGTTGACAAGCTACTTGAGAAGATGTAAGGTAAGCACCCATCTAATGATTAACTAATCATGAAAAAATAGACTTTATATTTATGTTTAGTGTGTTTTATGAATGAATATCATTAATCAAGAAAGAAATGTATTAATATGTATATAATTACTTTATGATACAATAGAATAGTCACACCTTTATTCTTGTTTCAATCATATTCGGTTTTAAAGTCAATACAAATTATAAAATTTTAATTTGTCTAAGGTGCAAATACACTTGTGTTAACATAGTATCTAGAAGATTATGGACTTTCAGTAATAACAGTGCCAATAAACTACTATTGTTTGGTTTTTGTCAATAGAGTCAAATATGATTTTTTTGGTTGACTGAATAGTTCATAAAAATATCAAAAAGGATTTTTATGATATCCCATCATATATGTTATGACTTGTAGTAATGACATTATTCGTTCATAACTCTAATTGAAGTTGTACAAAAAAGCAAGATCACCTAGATAGAATTTGAACTTTAGAAGATGCTACTAAATGAATTACTTTGAAATTTTTTACTCTTAAGCTATGTAATAGAAACATCCTATGGTAAAGAACAGAATACAGATAACAATGAAGAATTAGGATTTCACCAAAAAAATTGGGATAACAAAATTATCATTTCACCAAAATTTTTTTTATACTTGTTGCTTTTGAAGAGGATACAAGGGTAAATGGGAAGGGGGGTCGGGTGGAGTAGTATCCTTGGAATGACTTTGAGACTTCAAGATTTCTAGTCAACTTATTGAACCCAGAATTCAAAGTAGGTGGTTCACATGACTTACTCCTCTCTTTAAGGATCTACTTAGGTTCTACTAAATTCAAGTGATATAAATGGTAAATACCAGTGATTCCACTACACTAGATTTCACACCTTTAGTTAACTCAGATTTTTCTTTGAAATGATTTTTCAAGATTCATTATTTTAAAAGGCCAACCACCTTACTGGCTAGCTAATCTCTTTTAAATTTATGGTTCTAGCTTGGTCTGAATGATTAAAGAATTCAATTAAAAATAAAGAACAAGCGAATGCTCTTAAATGCTTGACGTGGAGATTAAAATTATTTTCCTACTTGAGATTTTTGATTACGTCCCTAACATAGTGACTGATTTTTATGATGTTTTAAGATTTATAATGATCATAAGAAGTTCAGAAATGGTATCTAAACGACTAGGATATGATCACTTTTAATGTTTGGTACATTTCCTATGTTTCTCTAGTTTTTCATGCAGTGTTGTGTGTTTCCTTTCTCATTTCTATAAATCTACTCTTAATATGAAGAAAATATGAAGATTGTAGTGAATTATTTTTGAAATTTTTTTATAAAAAAATTATAGAATTAAAGTGAGAACATTGAAACATAAGGAAACGATTCTAGAAGTTAAAAATTATACATTTTTGCTCTCCTCAAAATTGACTCTTGAGTTGACTCGTTTGTTATTAATTAAAATGTTAATATTTCAGAAAATAGGTATACCTATTTTTATCTCATTTTCAGGGTCACAAGTATAGTTTTATGCTATTGTGATGTGAAAATAGCATTTACCTTCGAGTAAATTTTCTACAATTTGATTCTTACTTTATCTATAAAAATTCTATAAATCGTAATTGCACATTTGAACACAATCAAGCATGTTCAATGTTCAAGTAGATGTTCTAATACGTTTTGCATGTTTCTGATTCAAATGATACTCAAATATGTTTTTATGTCAAGTTACCATTTTACCTTTCAGAGCATTTTCTTCAATTTTATTCTTATTTATATCTATAAAAATTATATAAATCACATTAGTGTATTTTAAATATAATCAAGCATGTTTAAGGTCAATAACATATTCAAATAAGCTTTTAATATGAAATTAACATTTTAATTTAACCATATATGTCCTCAATTTCATGCTTCGTTTTGTCTTGAAAAGTAGCATATCAATTCACATGTAACACAATCAAGCATTTTCATGGCTAAGGGAAATGGTATGCCAACATTTTTCTAAGGTATCAGCATACTTTGGTAATGTCAGATTACCATTTTACCCCTATATGCATTGTCATTATCAAAACTATTAAGGCTCCCTAAGCCAACAACAATTAGGGCTAGCAGCTAGTCATTATAATAGTTGCATATAAGTAATTTCTGATCATTTCTCATTTCATAAAAATCAAATCTCTACTTGTCTGAAACAAATTTTTCTTGAAAATTTTCAATCAATAAGATGCAAATGCTCCCTATTGTAAGTTGTTCTACGCTTGGGGGTTGGCGGTAGAAACCGAATAATACATGAATATAAATCCATTAGTTATTACTGAGTGTTGACTGCTAAACTCAGAAGGGAAGAAATGATCTGTATTATGTGTCACTTTGATCCACGTAACAAATTGGATGCCTTAAACATGCACTGTCGCTTCCATTGTTGACCTTGCAGCGACCTTATGTTTCACTGGTCATCTGCTGGGCTGCATGTGTGCTTGCTTCGCATATACACAGAGTGAGAGATAAGTAGATAGATAGATGGATACCGAGAGAGAGAGAGAGAGAGAGAACACCACAGTCGCAAAATATTTGGTAAATGCTGACGTAGATAGGATTATAACACGGAAATAGTAAACCAACTTCAAAAAAAATCTAGCATTGAAGAGAAAAAAAGCTGTATTTCAGGGATGTAACTGGGGATCCTAACTGTCTTACGGGGACAGGCAAAGCCTGAGAGACGAACGGACAGGAATGCTCATTGAGGGCTTTCTTTCTCTCTCATCCCATCCATCTTGCACATAGGATAAGATAGTACTCCCAAGAGTTCTTTTCAAACGGCGTGCTGCACTATTTCGAACTGGACGCATGCTCCCTTTTCTCTCTTCTTCTCTTTACGCTAAGAAATTATTTTTTCCTCAGGAAAATCTGTCTTCCTCTCCTTACACTAAAAACTCCATTTCTTGGCCAAATCTCTTCCTCTCCTTATGCTGGCGCTGTACTGACGAATGTTGTCGACATGTGCTCGCGAGCGCCATCCGGACATATGCGGTCAGCTGCTTGGGATGGTGGCGGGATGCATAGGCAAATAACGTTATCTTGTCAACATTTGTGTCGTATTACTCACGGTAGTAGGCACGTCTTTCCTGTGTTTCACATCTGGACATTAAGAGGGGGCGCTTCTCGCTACTCTGGGAGGGTTTAGTTCTCGCCATGTTGACAATTTTTAGCAGATTAAGACGTACTTTAATTGGTCAAATGCATACTCTGCAAGTATACTCCACTTTTTTTTATTTTATACTAAATTAAAAGCTTCCAACCAACTCTGAATGAGCTTTGACTTCAGCCTCGGAGAAATTCTTCCGATAGATACCCAGAAATTTCGCGGATGTTTCTCGCATCCGTTTACTTTCAAACGATAAACCTCTCTCGGTATCTAAAAGTGACGTGTGTCAAAATACCTTAAATAGCTTCAGTGTGCCAAGGTCGCAACCCACTCTCACTTTATTTCCCTCTCTCTCTCTCTCTCCCTTCCCTTACCCCTGTTCTCCCATCCCTGGTTTGCCAGTTCGACCATCCAGTTAACGGAGATGGCCTGGTATGGAGTTGCGAGGGCGTCCGAATACCTCGCTATAACTGGATTCCAGGTGAGTGACATCAAGCTTGCCAAGAAGGCATGGATCCTACCAGGGCAGTCCTCCACAGTGTTCGATATCTTGCCAGTCAACTACACGTTCGAGATGCAGGCCATGAGCGCCGAGAAGCTCCCGTTCCTCCTCCCCGCTGTTTTCACAATCGGCCCCCGCTCCGACGACATGGAGAGCCTCCTCAAGTACGCCAAGCTCATCTCCCCCCACGACAAGCTCTCCAACCACGTGAAGGAGCTCGTGCAGGGGGTCATCGAGGGGGAGACCCGCGTGCTCGCAGCCTCCATGACTATGGAGGAGATCTTCAAGGGCACCAAGTCCTTCAAGGAGGAGGTCTTCGGGAAGGTGCAATTAGAACTCAACCAGTTCGGCCTGCTGATCTACAACGCCAACGTTAAGCAACTCGTCGATGTTCGAGGACACGAATACTTCTCCTACCTCGGCCAGAAGACCCAGCAGGAGGCGGCGAACCAGGCGAAGGTGGACGTAGCCGAGGCGAGGATGAAAGGCGAAATCGGGTCCAAGAACCGGGAGGGGCAGACCCTCCAGTATGCCTCCAAGATCGACGCAGAGACGAAGGTGTACTCGACGCAGAGGCAGGGAGAGGGCGCGAAGGAGGAGATCAAGGTGAAGACGGATGTAAAGATCTTCGAGAACAAGAGGGAGGCTGAGGTGGTCGAGGCCAACGCGGAGCTGGCAATGAAGAAAGCCGGGTGGACCCGGCAGGCGCAGGTAGCGGAGGTGGAGGCGGCGAAGGCGGTGGCCCTAAGAGAGGCGGAGCTGCAGATGGAGGTTGAGAGGAGGAACGCACTGCGGCAGACCGAGAAGCTCAAGGCAGAGAAGCTAAGCACAGCCATCGTAGACTACGAGATGAAGGTACATAACATAGCTATCTTGTTAAGAAATTGGGCCGATGAGTTCATTGTTATCTTTGTAAGATAACAATTAATATTTTTTGATGGCCTAAAACCTGTTAAAAATAACGTGACTCGAGTTCGGAATTACCTCATATTAAAAATATATCATTCTTGTAACCTATTTACGTATTAGTCGATTCATTTTTGAATCAGGTGACTCGAGATTTCAAATATTTCCCTTGTTTACCATAACCCGATGATCCCTTCACAAGTGACGTAACACTGGCTGACAACATTCTCCCTTTGACGGGAAAAGGTGCAAGAGGCCAACTGGGAACTCTACCAGAAGCAGAAGGCGGCAGAAGCCACGCTCTACCAGCAGCAGAAGATCGCCGAAGGGCTCAGGGCCGCCGCAGAAGCGGCTTTCTTCTCTCGGCAGCAGGAGGCGGAAGCCGAGCTCTATGCCAAGAAGAGGGAAGCCGAGGGGTTGGCGGCGCTGGCGGACGCCCAGGCCACCTACTTGAAGAAATTACTGGAGTCTCTTGGAGGCAACTACGCCGCGCTGCGGGACTACCTCATGATCAACGCCGGACTCTACCAGGAAGTCGCCAGGGTCAACGCTGACGCGGTGAAGGGACTGCAGCCGAAGATCAGCGTTTGGACGAACGGCAGGGAGAACGGTGAGGGAGGCGCGATGAAGGAGGTGGCCGGGCTGTACAAGATGCTGCCGCCGTTGTTTAAGACCGTGGAAGAGCAAGTAGGGATGCTGCCGCCTGCCTGGATGGGGACACTGAACTCCGGCTCCTCCGCACACTGAAGGTTCGACAGGCTGTAGATGATTGAAGAGATGGTTCCTTTACAATGAATTTTCATTCGTAATAATGGTCTTTGTACTTATGTTAAATACTATGGGCTATGTAGTTCCTGTAATGTTCTTTCCTAAGTATGTGATCTATTTCGTCCGTTCAGCCTGTGATATTTCCATTGGGGACCTCTATGTAAGAGGACTTAGGATGTGTAAAATAAAAACATAATCTACATGTTATGCTTCTCACTTGGGTTAGATCTCCTGAATGTTCCAGTGAAATAGAAAATAAAAATAATTAAAAATAGAAATCAAATTTGCAAACACCTCTTGTCACTTTGCCCATCACCTGAAAATAGATCACCAAAAATGAATGTGAAATCAGTTTCAAAAGTAATAAAAAAGTAGATTGAGAGCCTTAACTGTGTCTTGTCTATTGCCCATATGATTGGAGCAAGAAAAAATTATTGAAACACAATAACAGGAGTTGCAACTCTTTTTTCTCTTGGTAGGGGCTAGCTTGAAATGGGTGCATGTACATCACACTTCCTACAGTGGTTGCAAAAGCTCTGAGTGAACGTAAAATACGCTGGGCCAATGGGCTCATCGTTTTGAGACACTTATGAATGGATTATGTTTTGTTAAAAAGAGAAGTCAAACTTGTAAGTGACAACCGTCACTCTATTCATCTAAACTTGTCATTGCCAGGAACAGATCATGGAAGGTCTCATGTACATGGATGATTTGGTATAGAATGATGATGTGGTCATGAATGGCTTCAATTTTTTGTCAATTATTTTATAATTTATAAATTACTAGAAAATTTGTGGAAAATATCTTCATTAATTATCTAAAAACTCTAAGATTTTATTTTCTAAATATTAACTTCACAATCTATTCCTTATTAATTTTAAAATAATTATTAGGAATAGAAACCTTGGATAATGATGTTAGCATATGGATTAAAAATAAGAAATAAATTTGTATCATATAAATTATTAAAATTATCAAATTGAACATAAATTTATCACATAATTCTCAAACTATACTAACACATTTAAACATTAATAATTCATATTTTACATTGATTTATACGAAATACTTTGATTTTACCTTTGTTATTATAGGAAAATAAAACAATATTAATGATCTACCACTTATTATTGGGATTGACTTTATTGAATGATTAACTCAAGATTTTGTCAAAAATTTATCTTGTACCAAATAAGAACGAATTTCACATGGGATTTTATGATATTTGATGAGAACTTGAAATATTAAAAAATCAATGGAGTCCTAGATTTTAAGGTTACACTTAGATCATGAAGGGGCGGTTGAATTGATTGTATCCTACTTGTTTGACTCACGTCAAATATTTCTAAAATCTTCAATCACCTTTTTTCAATGTTAATCCTAAGAATTTCTAGGTTTTAGGATGTTTGAAGTGATTCGGTCCTTTGCATATGTTTGTTTTTAAGAATACTCATGCTCTTGAGTTCAACTTGATCAATAGTCCAACACTTACAATGATTGGTTGCAGGACAGCTTTTTTAGAATTTCATTTCAAACTTTTCTTCTAGATTCACAAATCTAAGATTCCAACAATTGATCATAGGTTTCAGACCTTTGGAGGAATTGAATCAAAATATAATTACAAACTTTTCCTACAAAGATAAAGTAGGATCTCATCATACGTTATTTTTAGCTAAAGACACTGACTTACAGACAACAGCTGAAAACCAATATGCCATTATCTATAAGGTTTTGTATATCCTTTAATTAACATTAAACATTGACATATTTATTTAGACCAAGTCTAGCAATGAATTTGATATATAAAAATACAACTAATAATACATCTCTAGATTAGATAATGATTATCATTCAAAACTTGTTAAAATTGCTTTAATAAAATTATAAGAATCAAGTAGATACATTGAATCATTATGAAAAACCATAATTTTTTTAGACTAAAATATTTTAAAATTATTTTTAAAATGATATTCATTAATATTTAGAAAATCTTGAGCAATAGTATGAGTGGTTCAAATTCAATCAATTATTTTAATATAAAAATATTTTAAAGTAATAATTTAACATCACGAAACTTATTAGACAAGTTATCTTTCATATCCACATGTTACTTCAGGAATTTTCATCAATTCAAAGGTGCTAACTATTTCTTTTGGTAATGATTTTTTTGTAAATACTAATAATTTTCACAATAATATCCAAGAGAGTAAGTATGAGTTTTAACATCCATTAGATTCTGGAATTCAACATTATGAGATCCATGACGTGACTTAGTCGTTGTATATTAAATCACACAAATCTAAAATTTATAAAACTAGAAAATACGAATTTTCAGATATTTAGAAGTATTTCTGAATAAATATATCAATTATAATTCCATAAAACTTCCAAAAATAGCGATAATTTTCCAAGTTGATCACATGGATGTAATATAATATCTGGTAATTATTCAGAATTTTCCTCAAATAATACTATTTTCTATGAATTTTATACTAAGAAATGAAAAGGAAATATATTTTAAATTCACGAAAAAAAAGGAAATAAGGGTGTGGACGTCAGGATGATGTCAGCACCCCGGCGAACGCAAATCGGGCGGAAACAGAGTTCCACCCGACGATTCTTACGTAAGCGATTACAGACGATTTAATTAATCAAATTAAGATCTGTAAAAATCAGAAGAATCTCTCGTTGCTGAAATCTTACTATTGGACAGTTTTCTGGATTTTCTATGGGCTGACTAGGTAGCTGTCCCTCTTCTCTCTTATTCCCAAGAGCCTCTATAATTTGTTTCTGGTGCAGCATCATTTAATTCATAGTTTGTTGCATCATTTGGCTCATTTTCATAGCATCAAGTTTGATTTGAGAGGACTGATTTTTTTGAAATGTATGTTCCTGTTTTGGACGAAATTCAAAATGTGAATTGGATCTAAGTGCTTCTGGATTTTGAATATTATTTGGGTTTCTCCACGAAAAATTATTCCCCCAATTAGGATTATAAGAATTAAAAAAATATTCCCTATTTTTACTAAAATCGTGGGGTACCTGCACTTGTTCTTGCCTAGGATGATATTGAAATTCGAAATGATCATTTTCACCATACATAGGATCTGTACTATTTGAATTAAATTGAGGGTTAAGAGGCTTTCTAATATTGTCAATAAGCAAATCAAGTTTTTCTAATCTTTGATTAATCTGATTAACCTCATTTCTAAATTTAGATTCATTATCATGATGCAATTCATGAATTCTTCTCTTCTTATCCCTGTCATATAATTCAAAAGAAGCTTGATCTCTATAATTTTCACTTAAATTTTCATAAAGACTGTAAATCTCATCAGGGGTTTTCTCCATAAAAGCTACTCTACATATAAAATTAACCATATTTTTATGTTGTTCTAATAATCCATCATAAAAAATTCTATTGAGCTGCCACTTGAGTATAGCATGCTGAGGACATTTTCTAAGTAAATCTTTGAATGTTTCCCATGTCTCATGTAAAGTTTCTCCTGGTCTTAGAGAAAAATTCTATATATATTTTCTCATATTTTGAGTTTTTCCTAAGGGATAAAATTTTCGAAGAAATGCCTGTTCTACGTCTTTCCAGCTAGTTAATTCTCTATCTAATGTGGATAGCCAATGACTAGCTTTGTCCCTAAGTGTATGAGGGAATAATTTCATCTTAATAATTTCCGGTGTAACGTGAGGGAGATTAACTAAATCACAGACCATATGAAATTTTTCTAAGTGCTGATGAGGTTCTTCTAAAGGTAATCCATGAAAATTAGGGAGGATTTGAAAAATTCCAGGATTTATTTCGAATTTAACATTGGGTGCTAATGGGACTCTAATATTGGATGCTCTCTGAAATGAATTAGGGATATAATAATTTTTCATGGCCATAAGATTTTTCTCAGTTTGACCTGTACTTTCTTCAGGATCTATCAAAATTAATTTTTCTTTTGGATTTTTCGTTTTGAATGAAATAATAAAAGGATTTTCTAGCCTTGGATGCAAGGATCTTCTACCATGCATAAAAATCAATAAATTCGAGGGAAAAATTTAGTAACTGTTACCCTCCTTCACGATGCTCTAGTCCTTGCCTTGCTTCTTTTCGTTCCCTTTTTCTAATAAAAAATCGGCAAAAAGAAAATAAAACAAGAGTTAATTTTTTTTCTGTACTCTAAGAGAAAAAAAGAAAAATACTAAATATTATGCAATACATCCCCAGCAACGGCGCCAAAATTTGACGTGACTCAGTCATTGTATATTAAATCACGCAAATATAAAATTTATAAAACTAGAAAATATGAATTTTCGGATATTTAGAAGTATTTCTGAATAAATATATCAATTATAATTCAATAAAACTTCAAAAAATAGCGATAATTTTCCAGGTCAATCACAGGGATGTAATATAATATCTGGTAATTATTCAATTTTCTCAATGAATACGATTTTCTATGAATTTTATACTAGGAAATGAAAAGGAAATATATTTAAAATTCACGAAAAAGAGTTCCGCCCGGCAAACGCGAATCGGGCGAAAACAGAGTTCCACTCGGTGATTCTTACGAAAGCAATTACAGATGATTTAGTTAATCAAATTAAGATCTGTAAAAGCCGGAAGAATCATAATAGAACAAAGTATATTTTGGTAAATTAAAATCACAAAGAAATATCACTAAATGAAGTGTAAAGTAAGTTTAAAGCAGGAAAACAGAGTTCCGGCGTTGCGACGGCGATGCGTCGGCGATGCACCGGAATCCTGAGCATTCGGGAGGATCGTCGTGCAATATCCACGGCCTTGAAGGCTCTCCTTGGACAAAGACGACGTGGGCAATCTCTAGATCTCCTTTCGAAGTCTAGAGATCAATGGAATAGGTCGTTGACTCGTCTCCAGCGGCTGTCACCCGGCGGAGCGGAAAAACGGCGACTTTGCGGCTCTCTGGCGGCTGTCACCCAACGGAGAGGAGCTGGAT